ATCATGCACATAGGTTGGTAACAGCAATGTGTATTTTCCTTGGGTGCAAGCTGACTCTTCATTAAATCATATCAATACTTGTCAATAAAATCTTCTGAAATAACTTAAAATTGCATGGTATAAAGGTACAATGGATATCTGTCAATTTTTCAGTTAAAAGAAATTAAAATTTTTTGCAGCAATGAGAAACAGATCCACTTCAGTGGGGGGTAACTCTTCTCAATGTACCACATCTTAGTATGTAAATCTGATTTCGCCGCATACCTAGACCTGGTCATGATTTTGCTACTTTGTGGAAAACTTTTAATCCTATTTTTAAAGACTTCAAAGAATCTTTGTAATTTTGTAACTTCAAAAAAATGATAGGGATATAGCAGTGGCTTGACGCAGTTTAGGGCACCTTAATATTGTAATCATCATCATCATCATCATCATCATCATCATCATCAAAGGCGTAGGCCTAGTGGCCCTTGGCACCTCTCACAATGGCAGCCCATTTGAGGCGATCTTGAGCATGCCTCATGGCAGTTGCTAGTGGAAGACCAGTGTCTTTTCTAACCTGGTCTTGCCATCTCAAAGGTGGTCTACCTCTACCCCTATTTCCCTGAAAATCTTGGATAAAAACAGACTTGATGTAGTTGTCTCCTGGTCTTCTTGCCATGTGACTGAACCATTGGATGGGATTGGATGGGATATAAACTAATGGATGGGATTTTTGCAGTATATAGATAGGGGCCCCGTTTCAGTTCCACTCCAAAGGGCCTTCTGTTCCTTTGTTTCACTACTGGGATATAGCCAACTCTCTTAGGATAAAGACAGCTTGTATTTCCTTGTCAAGTTTATAGAATTTATTTGCTTTCTTCTCTAACCAAAACTTTGGTTATAGCCTCTGCTGCTGATGAGTTATAGGCAAGATGTATACGTGCTTACAAACTTTGACTAGCACATTGACATGCCAAGCTCCATTGAATGATGACAGAAGACAATGTTGAGCATCAAGGTTTTGAAATGTTAAAATTTCCTCCTACATAAGTCAAGTCTAATTCAATACTGCCAGTGATTCAAAGGGCAACAACCACAAAAAAACTATTCCTACACATCACTTTATTTCACAAAGTGAATCATCATTAGGTCCACTTAGAACCCTCTCAATAATTCATCTGAACAATCTGGGATGCAGCTAGCTATTAATACTTACTTTCTTTCAAATGTTTCTGTATTGGCACAATTTCACGTGCAGAATACAAATTTCACATCAGCTGATATGGTTATGAGATTGACAGTTTTATCACCAAAAGTTTCGAAAAAAACAAAACCAAAAGAAATTCCATAGTGCAACATTTTCAAAGTGGAAAACAATCCTCAGCTAAGAGGCTTTAGTAAAAACCTTCACACTGGGGACCTGACTTGTAATATTTAAGACAGAAATATTCAAGTGTAAAAATTAACTAGAGCTTCGTACATGGAACACAAATTCATCTGGAGCTGACAAATTGTTCAGGCTTAGAAAGGCACATAAAAAGGTGTTTAGGTCTTATGCCATAAATGACAAATTACATTTAGACACTTTAATACGATATGAAAGTTACATAATGCCAATAAATTAAACAATCTTACCTCCTTGTGCTGGCAAGATAATTCAACAGAAGACCAAAATGTTCAACAAGCTGCACATCTTCATTTTCTTCATATTTAGGGATTGTTATGTAAATAGCTCCAGTAAGATCCTTTCCACCTTAAAACAGTATTTGAGTAGTCCATCATTGGTAACTTCGTCAAAGAAAATTTATGTAATACCATGTTTATTAATGATACATCTCAAAAACTAAAGAGTGCAAGCCTAGTGATGCCATCGGACTGCATCAGTCTTCTCAATGCTTCCAGAGCATCAATGTTGAAATGCAAATTTGTTGTGACCTGCCCTAAATTTGGACCATTTTAACTTGAAAATCTTTATGCATATTGTTTCAAATAAATGATTAAAAGTTAGAATTATACTACCTACCAATCTTTTATCTATCTTATGATCTTAGCAATAAAATGCTTCTTTCATTTTGTTTTTGCATTGTTATTTAACTGTTACTGATACCATTTATCACAAACACTAGAAAACCAAAAAATCTGTTTTCTTCCAATTCTTATGAAGTGAATTTGGCATTTAAAGGTGCCTGCAAAGCCCCTTAACCCTAGCAACTTATCTTCAATCACATTGCAACTACAACAAAATCAGAGATTTCTGCTGTTTTTCGCTGGAGTTTTAGGACTACAACCCCAACCTCTCTTATAAAAACCTCAAAAGTTTTTGCTTCAATTTCTGTCAACCAAGTGGTGTGGATTTGGGTTGATACAACTTTATTTCAGATATTAGACAATCATCACCCTCTTGAAATTACCAATATTTGCTTCAGAATAAAATCTTAAGTATAAAATTTCTGCACATGCTGTGGTGTGTGAAAAAGGATGGTTTTTAGTTGCAAATCTAAGATTCGCTCTTTTGCCATTTCTAGTTACAACTCAATCACTTTATAACAGACATGGTAAACAATCATATCTGTGGATTGCTTTTTATACAAGTAAAAGCATTCACCAAATAATATATATAATATATTGTAGAGCCATAGACATAGACATCTGGAAATGATAGTTAGATAGCTTTTAAAATATACATTATAGTGTAGCTATCACAAACTTCAGACAACCCTTTATAAAATATAAAAGAAATGTATCCCTTCACAAAAGAACAAGGTAAACTGAAATTATACATAGGTAGTAAAATTGGACATTTCTATTCAATTATCAAATGAACTTCAATTGTTTACCTGTAATGATATATGACAAAAACCAGCTCTTTTTAGATTAAAATGTTGGGTTGTTTTCATACTAATAGCCTCGAACTTGGATGCATATTAAGAAGCAAGATGGCCAAAAAGGCTTTTTCCTTAGAGGAGCAAAATTATTAGCCCCTCAGTTAGATTAACCACGCAACACACTTACACACTCTACACACTACTCTCTACACATCAAAACAGGCAACCACTAAGAACAAGCTGAGGCTGAGCTACCGTAAAATGCATTTTTGAACAACGTTTTATCTCAAAAACAAGGATTTTTAGCCATCATGGGTGCTTTCTCTGTGAATCTTAAAATATGTCAGAAATGAAGGTTGCATCACTCACTTCGTTGGCAAGTGAGGCCTGAACACCTCCCTAGAGCAAAAAGCTAGCAATCACATTGCTTACACCCTCTTAATCTAAGAACAAATAAAGAACAATCCAGCCTCAGATTTTTAAAAAAAATTATGAACGGTCAGCCTGAACTTAAATTTACTGGTTCTTACAAAAAGTGTGTAAATGCTTTAAAACAAACATATATATAGGAGGTACTAAATCTTTAATTGTTCGTTTTGTAATTTTGAAACTTTGATTATAATTGAGTTGGTAAATTTAGTTCTCTAGTGATGCAGACATTCATTTGTAATTAAATTAGTAAGGTAATATTTTTTTAATTAAGGATAAGTTTTTAATGGAGGGCTCCTTGGAAAAACAGCGTGAATTCAAATGAAACAAGTGAAATGAAAATGTGTGGGTGGAAATAAAAATAAAAAACTGGAGCACAAATGGGAAGTAATTTACTATTCTATTCCTTCGGGTGACACGACAAATTTTAGCTTCGTGTGTCAAAAAACTGTAGTAGCCAAAGAACCAAAAGATAATGAAAACAATTTTCAGTAGTAGATATTAGATGTATGAAGACGGAAATAATAGTCTGAACTAGCTTTGTCAACATTTATATGTATTAGAAGCTGTTTGTTGTATATTTGTTAGTGCATGGATACGATTTCATCTCCGCGTTGTTCTCCACAAAAAGGAAAGACAATAACGAATGAAGGTCTTTGAAAAAGGCGTGCTTGGTAAACATACAAACAAGTACGCACTGATACGTTTTAGAACTAGGTCGTAAAATAACAAATATTGAATAGTAAACTAATTTCTGAATACCTGTTATAAATGCCGCTTTTTCTGAGAGAAGTTCTTTCACATCTAACGCCCTCGGCAAGTCTAGTCTGATGTCTCCTGAAGTAAATGAACGAGCAGTCGTTACAGTGGGGGACAGTTCCTAATGAAATGTCGTTATTCATCATTCCTATTTACCAGCAGATTTAACTAATCATTTCCAATCCATCAAAATATTCCGTCCTTAGGTAATAAACAACTTGGGATGGATAACGAGTTGTCCCATAAAACAATAGAAGTATCGAAAAAGATTTGCATTAAAATTTTAGACTGATTTCTGGGGGCAAAAGAGGAATATTGACATAAAAGCGCAAACTATGATACACAAAGAACTGTGTGCAAGTTTTAAGTGGAAAACACTACCATTCAAAGACTACACGACCAACCCAATCAATTGTGAATTGATCGACCCTTAATGGCGTTCAGCCAACCATCATCATCGTAGTTAGTTTGACTTTGGAGCGCTCTTTCATACCCAATTTTCCGTCATGTATAGGACTAGACCCTGTAGTTAGTCAAAAGTACTAAAATGATCCGATAAATAACAATTATGGCAAAGTAGATTACATAAATCTAGACTGAAATGCTCATTTACGAACCTGACAAAGAGAAGAAGGAGGCCTCGCTGTCAGACGAGGCCTTAGACCATCGATCCGGATTGCTGCTCATATTTATAAATTCTTTGAAAACTTAAGTGATCTTTTCTCAACAGCTATCATCTTATGATATGTAAGAAACATTGTTTTTAATTCTTCAATGTTCCATCAACTGACGTATCGTCATGTTTTTGCCATCAATGGCCACATTACTTTCGTACCTTGATAACCAATTATTATTAGTTACCCATTCGCTTCGGCCTGGCCAACTTTTACATAAATTAGCATAAATCAGCATTGCAAGTATTGAAGTGAATTATTACCCTTTCCAATAGCAGAGGAATGTCTAAGTATCAAATAATCAGCAATTTGTTCATAACTGATAATTCGCTTTGGCCTACAAGAAATTTTAACATTATGATAGGCACTGAAGTGGACTTAAACGAATATGAAAGGCAGATGAACATGATTAGGAGTGCATTGACACATCAAGTATTGGTCAAAAAAATTTTACCCGAATTTTCCCACTTTCCATACGTTTTCGAAAACTTTATATAAATTACATTGCTTTGTATAAATTTATATAATTTATAAAATTACGATGAAAAACATAAAATAGTTAATGTAATATATTTTGTCTCAATTAATTTATACATATATGATATAATTATCTATATTCAAGTTATTTATACGAGCTCTTAAGTTGTATATTAAGATATTACAAAACTTGTCCAATGCCTGAAATTTTTATTCCCGAGTATTTGCCTGAATTTTGAAACTTTTTTGAAATATATGGGGGTGTGACACCCCCACACCCCAAGTAGCTACGCACCTGAACATGACAAGAGGGTGTATACAGGGAATTATGAAAAGCCACGAAAAGCTTATAAATCGACAAAGAAGCCTTTGTCTGTCTTTCTGCTAAACAATGTAAAACTTATTCGTTACAGATGGTATGCTTCCATGTAAACGTGCATGGTTTCCCAAAGCATGAACAGCCCTAATTCTTATCGCCAAAATTTTCAGCTATCTGAGGGGCCCTATCTTGCTTTTCGCGTGCTTTCAATTTTTCCATTTTAAAAACGTGCCCTTGGTAACATCATTTAGTTTACGATGTTGATAAGAAACACCAGCCAATAGATATAATAGGCACCGAGTTGCGTTTCCGGCAATAATCGTTTCTTTCAATACCAATGACGAGTCGTCGTGCGTTCGTGGAAGTTTCCCGTGCACGGGAATGCTGATTATCGAGGATTTCAGTGCATTTGCACCGATGAGTGTTCATCGATTCTTCAACATAGGAGGAGTTCAGGGGCATATCTCTTCAAAAATTTGGAATTATTTCACCTAGACTCCTTTATAATGCATCTAATTTTTCTAATCTTCTAAGAACCCATGAAACATATTGAATTATGCTGAAACTGGATGTTGGAAGAAATTTTTATAAAAACTGCTTACTAACTACATAGACAACTAATGCTTTATCTAGCCGCCGAGTATTGTTGTCACTGAATATTATTCAGTGAAGACTTGCGTATTAACGAATAGGTTAAAGAAATAAAAGAAAAAAACGAACAAATTTAGGTACAAAAGCTCAGAGTTGCTTTCATTAGTAGTCTGATTGCGCCCCTGTGTCGGTGTCAGTGGTAGATACAGTGTCAGCAATCAAATATCTATCGATAATGGTAAAATCTTGAGTATTGAATCCATAGTCAATTTCTGCATTTAGTCAATTACAGCTGGATGCAAAAGCCGCCTTGCAAAATTTATTATTTTCTGCTAATTTATTAAGAACTATTACATTTTGATAAAATATGATGTGCGCACCGGTGAAGAAAAAGAAGTGTGCCCTATGAAAACCTTTTCGTACCAATTTGTGTATTAGTCTGTGCAGGCCCGGCGAGAGCTTTTACAGGAAACTCTGTGGGAGAAGAGAGATTGGGCCAATGGTGACGTCATTAAATTTGGATTGTTATTGTTGTTGCTATTGTTAGGTATGTTGTTATTACTTTTGGGGCCTCTCTCAGCCCAAGACCTGGGGTAATCCACCCCTGCCTCCTATCAGCGGGCCTGAGTCTGTTATCAGTTCATTACTCACTACTCTAGTCTATGCTTTGAACATGTCTGCTGCGCATCGCCAGTCTGGAAATGATGATTACTCACGTCGTTCACACGTGGTGTTTTCAGCTCGGAAATGAAAATTTTTCGACATAATTAATTTATTGCCCATACAAAGCGATAAAAAAGTGGCCGAGAATTAATTTGATAGTTTACCATTAACTTCGTGAAAGCGCTCATTCAAGGTTGTGCTTCTTTACAAACCAGCATTTCAGTGGGGATAAATTTAATCTTGCAGATAAACGGACAAAATTTCCAGCAATAGATGTTTCCTATAATTTTCCGTGTTGGGAGCATTAAACGTTGGGAGAATTTTTAGCATTAAACATCAAAAGTTTATTTAAGGTGTCCAACAGCAAAATATCGATAAATCTTGTCATTACAAAGGCAAAGGTTACTGATAGCGCCTTTTACATTTACAAGGATGCATAGATACGAAACTTAAAGACATGACATGGGTCGCTTTGCTGAGACATGGCTGAATAGTTTGTTATTATACTCGTACATATAAACTGTTGTAATTCGTACATATAAACTAAAACTAAAATAGCATGAAATTTGAAATAATGAAGCTTCATTTATTTATGAAATTAATCATAAATAAGTTCGTTGTTATCAAAATTTTGGATCATTCAAAAAAGTCCATTTTCTAGCTGTTCTTCTATGCTCAAATTGCAAAGGGCTTTTACTTTGTCGCTCCTATTTTTGCTTACAACTGCGATTGAGCTGGAGTGCTTGTCTTTGCCATATTCATTTTTCAATTGATAGATCAACTAGAATAAGAGAATAGAATTGTTTTAAATTGAACACGAATAAGAGAATAAAATTTTGCAGCAATTCAGAAGGATCCTTTGCAAGTTATGATATCCTAAGTATTACCTATGTCTAGCGTTACACTAAAAGCAAGGGTGTTTGAGTTCAGGGAAAGAAAATGGAATTTGGAAAGAATTCAAACAAAAATTACAATGCATGGACAAATCTGTAGTATCCGCTAGATTAATTAATTTTTAAGAATTTGGTAAAGTTTAAGAAGTATTTTTGACAACAATGCTTCTAAGATTTATTAATCAAAGCAAATTTTACTTTCCCCTCCACCCCACCAAACAGACTAGCTTTGGGTACCCTAGTAAATAAACAAGTGCATATAAATAGAAAAATGGAAGCAAAAAGCAGTTCTCAAACTCTATCCTGCTTGGAAATTGTTGGGATAAAGTCCACTACTTTCATTACAGCCATTGGATCTGTCTTTTTTTCTGGCTTCTGCTTTCATAAGAGTTTTAAAGCTAAAGTCAATCCCTGTTGCAGCCTTACCCCAAGGAACTCCTCGAAATCGATTGCTCCAGAGCCATCCTCATCAATGTCAAGAAAGCACTGCTCCCTTGTCTCGGCATCTGATTTGTCCCCCATATCATCGAGTACATGCATACTTATAAGAAAAAAGTTGAAAACTTCTAGATCAATAGGCGCATTTACACATTCTCAATTTAACAAATGTGCTATGTCGCATGTGCACAATCCAAACTTTAATTTTGCTTATCAGTTGACACTTTCTACTTTAACTTTACTTTTGATTTAATTGTTTGAAATAATTTTCACAGCCTCTCAGTTCTTACTGATAGAAGAATAGCGTACTACAGGACATTCCAAATTGAATGCCTCCCTCCGGACATTTAACTACGCCTGCCATAATAACTATGCGTGGATTGGTCTTAGTTGTATTGCATGAAGTGAAACAAAGATTAAAAAGTTGTTTAAGCTTAGAAAATGTTATCAGGTGATAATTCTTAACATGCATACATTGCAATGACAGCTAAATTGTAATATAATTGTTCCCTTTCTGTCGAATTTTTCTCCTTAAACTTTGAATGTACTCACAGCTCTGATTTGTCAATCAATCCATCGCCATTTATATCAAAGCACTGAAACTGAAATCGCAGTTCCTGTATGTCAACTGATTTGAAGTCTGAAAATCTGCTTGAAAGAGCTTTTATTGTTTCTTGTCCCATATCTATCAAAAATGAAGAAAGTGACTTTTCTATGAAAAGTGATTTTAAGTGTCCCCTCCAAATTAACTTTTGCAACAACACCTTTTGAAGCTATGAAAGGTTTAAAGGGTTTGAAGAAGTAGATTTGACTTGAACCACAAGTTCCTTTCAAGTTGAATGCGAGTACAAGCAATGCATGCATCTTTGATTTGCTAATAGACAGTATTTCTTCTACAAACATTTCCACATTTCTTGCTCTAAACTTACAACTAATTTGCAATGGTTGTTGGCCTTTTGGCTCTCGTTTCTTTGCAACACAACGAGGAACGGCAAAAAACAGCTTTGTTTTATCATCAATCATATCTATCAAAAGATATCTATACATATTTATAATTAGAAGATGTCTATCAAAAGATAAAGAAATTCAAGCTGCACTGCTAGGAATCCATAATGTACCTTGAGTTTTTTTGAAGCCGAACTTTTTGTATTATATTTCTCATGAGTGCAAGAAAAAATCAAGCTTGCTTCAAAATGGGTTTACTGATTCTTGATTGTGTAAACAGAGGGTGCTACTGTTACAATATCAATCAAGCAAGCAAAAGCTTACCGTAAAATTTTCTTCTGGCTTCTAAGTCAATCTTCCTTTCGCACACTAGATCTTTCCAGAAAGGCTCGTGGAGCTGGTGGAATAAAGATGTGTGCAGTGGTACCAGCTCTTCAGCTCTTCTTGTTCCTTGGTAGATAAATAAATGATACCAAATAGAAGACAGTGATGAAGAAAAATCGAAATATATCAAGAAAAGAAATAATGCATCGCACTAGGGTCCTAAGCAGATTTAACGAAACGAAAGCTGATAAGAATCTTGAGGACTGTAAACGAAAAATAAATAAATGTTTGGATTGTAGAACAAAGCCAAATTCAACTATGACAAAAAACAAAATAGTTCAGTACCGCAAAATTTGAAGATGGCACGAAATATTGGAAACATATCTATGTCTTCGCCTTTTCGTACCATGCTCAAATGCCATCAAAAACTCACCTTAAAATGTTACAGATAATTGTAAGTTTGATAAACTGTAAAACCAATTTTGAAACCTAGAAGCATTATCGTCGATCCTAATACCCTTTTTGAAAAGGGTGAAACTGTTACAGATGATTGCAGAAAATCTTAAAGATTGATTTGTAAATATCACGTAAGATTCTAAAGGCTACTAAAGCCGGTGGCCAACTGTCACTCAAAATTGGTAAAGAAGACCCTTTAAATAAAGCTGTTGAGTATGAAGATGACATCCTAGTATTAAAAAGATCGAGGAGTATTTTTGATGCTGGAAATAGTTTCATTTTAGGCAAGTTGCTTTTGAAGTGGTTTTTTGCCAACTTAGACCCTATTTGCACGAGACCGGTTCCAAAAAGATTCGTATCCATTTGAGTTCACTTAGGCGTTCTGATTACACGAGACCAGCCTTCCTTCATCCCATATTTTCATTTTTTCATAACGTTTCACCGCAAAAATAAGTCATACTACAGATAGCCAGTCACAATCCCATTGTGGTGCCTAGAGAAAAGAATGAGAAACTAGGGAGCTAACGCATGGGAGAAACTAAAGCCTTTTTAGCAGTGAGATTTCACGAAACGCAGAAATTGCTTAAAAAGCACGGTGTTCATATTTTTGCACATGAAGACAGTTTCAGACGTAAATAAATTTGAAAGGAAACTACTTTCAAGATTTCACTGCTTAGGATCAACGCATGAATGCTTTTAATCTTTGGTAGATTCCAAGAGAGTTGCACACACTCAGCTCAGTTTACCTTCTTTTGTTAAAATACACCAACTTGTTTCTAAACAAGCCACATTATAAGTTTAGGTGAGGCAGTTTTATATTCCTTTCTTTTAAACAGGGTCTTCATACATCTTATCATTAGTAAAAGTCTCATTTTAATTCCCAAATTTGTAGAAATGCTAAATCAATCTGACACTGAAATAAGGTTATTATTATTATTATCATTAATTATCATTGTTATTATTAATATTATTATTCCCAATTATAGCCGTGTTATACACCACAATCTATATAGAAACTGAGCCCCAGTCAATATATTCGGTAAAATAGCTTCCTGTATGTATCTGGCTGTATCAAAAGCTTGGTTAAGTTGAATAAGAAATTGTAAGCTACCCAAAAACCAGTTGGGCCGGAATCATTTTCTTCCACAATCCTATGAACACTTTTCAGTGAACAACACAGGCTTACACCATGGGGGAAGGTGGGCGAATAGATATTGGGGCAATCAGATTCTTTCTGGTAAAACAAAATACTAGGGCAATGACTTCTGAAAAGGCAACAGAAAAACTACTATTTTGACATATTTAAAAGATGTTTGCAAAAACAAGAAATAAATCGTAACTGTTTATCAACGGTAAAAAAGATCTCTTTATCTAGTGTAGCACTTTTGAATGAATAATCATAAAATCCTTTAAATCTATAGCCTGGCTTTACGAAGAAGCAATATGCTTGCAATTCTACATTTTGAGCTACATAAACAATCTTATGATATTAATGTATATATTTTAATATCAATGTGATATAAAGAGCCTTTGTATGAATCAGCCTAGAAGGATTTTAGCCCGGAACCGCATTATTCAGCAAAATCCGGTCCTATACCACGATTTCTTAAAGGCCGGACTTAACTGCAAGAAAACCTTTGCAATAAAACTTGAACATTTCAATTCAAACTACCTATTAACAATCTTAAAACGGTATGTCACAGAGATTTTTACCAACAAGGAACGCCAACTTTACGTTCCATGACTCACATTTTGAAGAAAACGCCCATGACTTACATTTTGTTACGTTGAGACAGTTTCAATATCATAAGATTACATAACAAAAATACGATTACCCCTCTATCAGCGTTTTCTCGTCGAATTTACACAAAATACAAAATTGAACCCGCCGAGAAGTGGGAGGGGGCGCAATTGTTCTGTATCCGCAGAGTAAAGATTGAAAATGGCTTTAAAAAAACAAACATTTAGTAAACTCAAGCTTTTCGTAGCGTATAGTTTTCTGACGTTTTAAACTCTGACACTCTTCAGAGTTTAAAACGTCAGAACATAGATCGAAAACTTTACGCTAGGAAATATATATATCCAGTTGTGGATCGAAATAGGCCAATCAGAAACACGAACAGTATAGGTTGTCCAGCCAGTGCCGTTTGCCTATTGAGAATGTTACCAATGGAGTCCTAAGGTGAAAAAGAACTGCTTTTGTCTACACAGTAGCGGTTTTTTCGTGCTTATGTAGATAGATTCTAAAACTGCTAGGTGGAACGACGATCGAGCTTTACCAATAATCCGAAACATGTCGCCATTATAGTTTTTTGCACAATCTGGGTTTTCTGGTAAATGCTGCCCGATAGCAGAATCGCAGGTTTTAGTTGTAATTTTAGATTTGCAAGACCGAGGTGGCTGTTCTCTTTGGGGATGGGTTTTGTTTCTAATATTAGACGGAACATATTCTATCCTCCAATCTTTGGGTAGTGCGTCCTACGTAGCCAGAATCACACTGGCACGTAAACGCATATACAACGGAACTTTTTGTGTGGCAGGAACGCAGTCCTTTTGAATAAAGAACGCAGAGTAAAGATTCTGTGCCGAAACACAAGGTGGCAACAGGCACAATTTCCTCTGCACATCTTGTACGCAAGGGAGGTTTGGATAAGAAGAGTTACTTATATAATCACCACAATGGAAGAGATATAATTTCATTTCATAAAAATCATGAATATGCTGGTTAAAAGTGAAAGAACTTCTTTTTTGAAATTCTTCTAATAAAAGTGTGAAAAACTAATCTCACTCTGTCAACCCATGCCAATCATTTTGCTCTACAAATTGTAGAGGCTCAAAATAAGGGGACAGGGTACTTTTTCGGGCAAAAAATCTAAGCCATCCCTCTACTCGAGCTTTGGCCGTGCGTCTTGGCACGCATGTATAACACATTGCGTTATCAAAATCGCATAATGATATAGACCCTTGGAAACAGACACCGCGGAGCGCTGAAAAAGTAGGGTATCTAGAAAAAGTGGAGGGAGGGAGGCGAGCTTTACAGGTAATTTAATGCTTAATATTTGGCATTTTTGCAAAAAGTAGGGGGCAGGCAAAATTTGCAAAACCGTTTTGCTGAAGCCTTCCCAAACCCCCTGCTCCGCAGTGCCTGTTGGCAAATTAGAACAGACTGAAATATGCAACATCAAGAAGTTTTCATTGTCTTTGATACTTTCTACTCCTTATTCTTTGGAAAAGCTTCGAAAAAGAATTACTGAATTTGTAAGAGCCATTTGCTAAAAGTAGTAGAGATTTACCAGTCAATACTCGGGTCTTACTGGCAAGGTAAAGGTACAGGTTATTTGGTGTCTTAGCTTATCTCAATCGCTATACTTTTGTCAATTGACTTGCTTTTAACACTATCATCGGCTTATTATATCCATGAAAGCGATTTTTCCAGTTACAGATGAATTTGTCTTCGATTTAAAGTATCGGAACTTTTCAAGCTTTTTCCTAGAAAGTTGTAGAAAGTTGTGTCAAATCATCTTGCTACTTTTTTGTTTACTCCTGTATGTTGCTTTAACAGAAATATAGTTGAAATCATCATTGAAAGAAACAAAACCAAAAACTTACCAAATGAAGTGTAATTTGCAGGCGATTCAAAATAAATCGTTTCGTGTTTTATTGGAAAACTTGGTCGAATGCCCATATTAGCTGCAACTGTGTTTGCAACATAAAGGTGAGCACAGCTTTGTTTATTAGAGGCACTGCCTTATATATATTTGCAAGTAATTTGATTTGACGTCACATTTACATATTCAATGGAATATAGGTAACTTGCAAAACGATGTCGTCAGTTTTGAACTACAATACACAGACGTTCCAACCATTTTATCATGTAGCATTAAATACAGTATTTTAAACGTGACATGACGTCATGTAACGTACGTATTAACTTTCTTTAAAAATGTGAGAGCATCAGCAATAAAGAAGATTGAGATGATAATAACATTTGAATGCATCAGATCTAATGCTAGAGTTGAATTGATTTTTTTTTTGTAACCCACACACGCAGATTAATGTTTTTATGAGGCAATTCATCAAAAAAATTTAAGTAGCAGTAAGGAGTCAAGCATAAAATGGTTTTATCTTTTGTGGCATAACTCCAAAAAACTATTTTAAACACTTGACTTTCTGAAAGAGTATATTTTTATCGCTAGCAAAATGGAGGGTTGTGAGAGTTTGTTTGTTAAGGGGAGGGCAACCCCTTCAAAATCAGCCAGTTATGTTAGGTTTGGAGAATTCATTACTTGGCAATGGGAACCAACCCTTTATTTTGCTACTGATCCTCCATGAACGAGCAACTCCCTATCAGTGTTTTTGAGTCGGCGAAGATGGTGAATGATGTCATAACACAACAGAAAATCTTTAACATAAATGGAAGTATATAGGGTGTGGTCTTGGGTGTGGTTTCTAGAAGTTGCTCACAGCACAGCCTCCTTTCCTAACTTGTTAGGACGACATCCCTGCGAATGTATGTGAACATATATGGATCAAGATATTTTAAAGGTGCTACTAAAGATTTCAAAAAGCATAAAAATGGTTGTTTATTCAATTGATTCATTCCTACAATGTGTGTTCCATACATCAAAACACAAGACAACCATTTTGTCTAGATAATTCATATGCTAATGACAAAAGAAAGGTAAACTAAAGTGATTATAGAAAGAAAACAAGGGGAGTTGATAAGTAACATAACACCAACATTAGTTACCTTGGCTAAAAACTTAAGAATTAGAAGGGATTATTATGAGTAAAATATTTAAAAATATGTATAATTTTAAAGAAGCAATAAAACTAATTTAGCATACTAGATAAATGATCTAGCAAATTTTCCCAATTTTTCGTAGTATAATTAAACCATTCTCACCTCAGTAATAAGGAAAACAAAATGATTGTCAACGTTAAAGAAAGTTCAAATGGTTCATGTTTTCATCCCAGCAATATATAAAAATTGTATCCATTTAAACAAATGAATTTTCATCGGAACAAAACGAATTTTCATTTAAAAAATCTATTACCCCTAACTGGGATTCAAAAAGCGTCTCGAATTGTGAAAAATGAAGCTGGCAGTATACAGTACAGGCAGTGGCTTGAGGTGAAGAAAGGTGGAACCCTGGAACAAATTTTGGAGCCGTGTTCTTTTATAATGCAGGAACATAGTTTTGACTAGACAATCATTGACACTTTGGCCAGCCTGGTGATTACCAAAGGCAAAGGTGTGTTTTGGCCTCCCGAAGGACTTAATTAAAATACCACGGCAAGTTGCGTCTTTTCATAACATTTTTATTCATTTGATTAACCTATAGCACGAGTCTCACTTTGCTCGGTGAAGCCTAATTATAAGAGTGCCATTCGTTTTTTAACAACCTCTCAACTCTCATTTTGTTTCTTTATATGCAAACTTGATTTTTTCTCTCGGTATAACCATAAGATTTTGAGTTACTTTTTCTGGCATCTTTTATACTGTTTGTCATTTTGATGCTTTAAGGTAGGACAGGTGCACCGGCTCATGGCGGAAGAAGGGGCTTTCCTTGTCCTATTCCAATCAAATTTCAATTACATTTGAGGTTTTTGTATAACTTTCCTTATTTACCTTTTCCTGTTAAAGGTTTAAGGTTTATCACGTCGATGCACCGACAGGCCAACTTACTGTTAACGTTTACTCACGACTGACTTGCTGATGTCTTCAACATCTTCTTACTATAACTTGTACTGCATCTTCCCGAGTTAGGATATCAACAGTAATTTAAATGATCCCTATTTATGCAAAACGAGCTGACTTATCTATTCAATATTCTCCCTGAGTAGCATATTGCACTGTCAATTTTTTCGAACCCAATACTTTTTACTGTAAAAATTTACTCTCAAACTTCGGCAGAACATTTGGGCAGAAGCATCAAATCAAAACCCTCCTCCTCAGCATGGAAAGCTTTTGATACAGAGCAGCTTTCCAAAGGAACAACAGAATGTCAGTACATGTTACCCATTTTAGAAGCAGCGAATCCAACATGCTTTTTTCTTAACGGGTCCAAATTGACAAGCGACAAATCATCGAAGGGTGGAAGTAGCGTGAAGAGTGAAGCAGAAAGAAAATAAATAAACATCAAAAAATTGTTTTAATTTGTGTCCCTTGAGCTGAAATTATACAAGCTTTGTTTTATGAAGCAACGGTGTACAGCGATTTAAGGCTGGCTTGAAGCCTAATAAACAATTGAAATAAAACGCTCGCTTAAAACTTACAATGTTTACATCGCATTTATCTTCATTCTTCCACGTACTCACTATTCAGCCATCTTGTGCCATTAACAGCCCCGCTACAATGTTATTGCTATATAACAGTTACAAAAACAAAGGTTGGGACACTTGAAGAAGATTGGGGTAAATTAGGTGCAATTAAATTCAGCAATGAATGACGTCCTATCAACAAGTACATTCATTAGCGGCTCTACAAAGATTTTGTTGTTGCTAGCTATAGACTTCCTACACCTAATCTCAAGCAAGGATTGTTGTTTCTAAATACGGGGTTCCCTAAACCAGCAACAGACAAACCTTCAGACGCCGAAAAGCTATTTAGTACATTAATTAAAGTGGCTCAGAAAAAACATAGCCACAATACCCCAAAATACCCCCAAAAAGGCTCATATTTGTAGCAAAACTTGACTAAGCAAAAATAATTTGCAAGGCTGTTTGTATGCCTAGAATTGAATCATGCAGTGATCAAGGGTGTAACGAAAGTTCGATGCATGTACGTTTAATAATTCTTCAAGTCTGAATGGAGTTCAACGAGCTGCGATAACAAATTGAATGCTCTGAAAATATACTGGAACGAACGGAATGAAGACCTCCGGTTGTCCTCGATGGTCTTTAACAATTCAAGAGTAATCAACGTATGATACACTGTAACTGAATTACAATACACGTTGGTAGGTATAATCGGACTAAAACACATTGATACTATTCAACGTCATTTACTAATTTGGCCTTTTCACTAAAATTGGGTGAGGCCCGATAATCTGTAAACGCTTCATAACTGCTATCAGAGGTTGATTTTAAAGACAATCGGTTGTCGTCAAGACGATCGAAAAGAGGATTCGAGAAGTTTGTTCCATCCTAAAATAAATAAAAAAAAGATATAAAATTCGCATCGAGAATTTTGAGGAGTACAATCAATGGATTAAGGTTAATATCGTGTGTTCGAGATCATTAACAACTATTTACCTTTATTTCTTCGAAAAAGCCATCATTCTCTGTTTCTTCCTGTAACCCTGCATATGCAAATGCTGGGTTGTCTACATTCACTGCAAACTGGTCCCGTGCTTTGCTACAGCAAGTGCTTGGATTAAAAAAGAGAGGAAATAATAATAATTAATCAGTTTTTGATGAAACTTTCTACCTAAATGCAAAGGAGGAAACCACAATTCATTACCGAGTTCCCAAGAAAATGTTGGGTGTCATCAGGGCTGTAAAATCGTAGATACAAAACACCAGAAAAAAAGAATGCTCCTAACTTTAAAGCTGTCCATTGACACTGTCAAGCGGTAAAGCATGGTGGTATGTTTGAGTTACTGTCTGCATCATGGCAAAACAAGAAAACTGTATGCAGGGCGTTACTAAGCTTAAGCGAAGCGCAGTAGTTGTAATATAACATTTAAGTAGGAATGCTTGACATAAACAGAATGACTATGCATGAAGAGAAAAGCTAGGAAGGCATCACACCAAAATGTGGCAGGCTGTTTAATCATATCTACCTTGACTTCTAGAAAATCAGCAGGCAAAAAGCGTTTGACTTCGAATAAACACATTGTGTTCACCATCACAAAAAGAAATTATCATAAAACGATTCAAAGATAGAAACATTTGACAGGGTCTGAAGAGTGATTACATGAAGCCTATATGAAGTGATTCTAGAGTTTTCTCAAATTTTTACCTGTATTTCCTCCACAGGACGACAACTACAATGATGATAACTACTGACACAATGATTGGTATGATAATTTTCATGTAATCTGCAAAAAATAGACTTTATTAAATCTCTGCATTTTAAAGATCCCAAAACTCGTTTTATTTGGATCCCAAAACTCCACTAAAACGAAAGCATTGTAAAGATGGTAATAGTCAAACAACACATAGTTATATATTTCTGCAATGTTCATAGCCATTCTTTGCTATTAGCATGTGTTGTTACTCGTCGCGTTGTGACTGATGGCAGACTTTGAGAAAAGCTGACCAAATAAACCAACTTTATTTTTCCAATCTTCAGAAACTTTAAAATTTATGAAAAGGGCGAACATGAGATTCTGGCAAACATCTCAAGTGATGCTACCATGCTATCATACTTTTCAAAAAAATCAGAAATCAAGAACTCTCTTAACCATATGTAACCTCGATTCATTAACAAATTTAAATGCAAAGCATATGCACAACAGACCCTCTCTATGATCTCAAAGGAAGGCAAAATAGCTGAAAGCAAATACATCAACTTCTCAGTTACCTGATACCGGCGACCGACTTGCTCTTGCTCGGTGGACTTTCGGTGTCACAGTTGTTGTTCTATTTTCTTTACTTGGTATGCTTTTCAAAAGAATGAAGAGATATTTAGAGAAGAGCTTGTTTTGTTTACACTAACACACAAGTATAAGCCATGGAAGTATTAACAATGTTTATATACAAAGAATCAGATTTCAGAAAAGTAGAACACTGTTTTAGCAATCTATGTTAAGCAGTTTTATTATGAGGGTCTCTTACCTGCAAACAACGGTACCATTTCGCACAGTACACCGCATTTTTTCGGGACAAGATACTCTGGCACAGCTAGGTCCATTTTCACACGAATCCCCAAAAAACCCAGAACGACACCTAAGAAGCAGATAAATCAAAAATTTATTAGTGCTCGTTGGCAGCTTACAGTGCTACACAAAACACCAATTCAAGGCATGGAAATACCACCACATCACGGTGAAGGGATCGCAATCACCTGAAAAAGGCTGGATTGGGGACCTGGAGATTTTGAAATGTGTACTGGGTTGCACTGTGCCTTATACTTACTATGAGTCTGAAATCATGTCGAAGCGTATCAAATGCTATTTTAGATGAATTTCGGAGAGGCGTAGCGATGATAGTCATCTGATATCAATTGGGTATTGAATACAAGTACGACTGCACATTAAAACAAAGCTACCTGCAAGTGGGGTTCCCTTGTTCGTTGAAAACACATTGACCGTCATTTGCACAATGTGCAAGACAGCTTTTCGAATCACATCTTTCACCTTTGAAGCCTGCGTCGCACCTAGGATGCCATGAAAATGGATGAATATCGAGACAAAATCTTGCAAATAACAACTGATTGATTGATGCAAAAATAAATGCAACAACGCAAATATCAAACTCTTTTAAAGCCCGTGTACACGGTACCAGATGAACATTGTTACCAATATCTGACGCTAATTTCATACGGTTATATACCAAAATGTGTAAAGCTCTGCCTAAAGGGCACAGGGCACTATATGACAGATAGGTAAGCAAAAAACGTCATTATATGTTACCTTACTTGTGACACTCTATTTGATAAACACTATTAAATCTATTAGTTAATAGATTTTCAGGCGTTCAAATAAACTAATCTCAGATAAATTTGTCGAATTAGCTATGACTAAAAATTTAAATAGATCAAAGTACTAACGTGCAAGAAACCGAATCGTCAACCAAAGTGCAATTGCCACGGTCGTTACACTCGGACCGATCGCAGAAAGGACTCACCACTAAAATGAACAAAAGGCGCTCATTAGTAAGGTCTTTATTTTCAAAATGTAAAATGTCTTACCCCAGTGCTTATTTCAATCGTTTTTCGAAATGCGATATTCAAATCTCTTAGCCATTTAACACAAACAGTTTAACAATTTTGAGACCGTTACATCCATCGACAGAATGACACAGCTACTGTTTGGTTTTTCAATGTCATATATGGTCTTAATCCTAAAGCCGTTACAATCCACTGTGTTTTACCTGAAATTGCTTTTAACAAAGTGGAAAACGAGGCTGTTTACTGCAAGATACAAGATACTGTTTTTGCCAGAAACAGAGTTTCAAAGAATTAAGGAAAGCTCATTCAAAAAAGGAAACGAAAAGGCACAGACGATTTCAAAGTATTCTCAATCAAGCAAAAACCCAGAAGATTTTCAAAATATCATTCTTCAAACTTCAATTTGCTTGTTAACTGGTAGTTTTCTTTCAACAGTACAGAGAAATGGACTCCCTTGAGTGTATGTGTTTGCCTGTCTAATTTTCTTAAAAAAACCTGTACTCTATCGTCTTTTTTATAAGGCTGTTTTGGCTTATCTTCAAAACCCACCTGCAGACTTTTGGCTCATGCTATCCTTTAATCAATTGCAAAATCAATTGACAAAAATGTTTAAACTCACCCTCTTGACACTGAAGGCTAGTCAGCGGCACATCCGAGCTGCAAATGCATTTCCTTTTTTGGTCAACTGCCACGCACATCTGCTTGCACGTTCTTGGCCAGCAAGGATTTTTGAATCCTACAGATTACAATTTGGTGTGTTTGGTGAACACATAAAAACCGTTTCAGCAAAGCAATATATATAACTGGAACAAAGTAAACCGCTTGAAAACTCATAAAAACAGTAAAGTAAAAGCAAGGAGTTCGTACAGAAGGGTTCATTCCTCAAAATAGTCCGTACCCCAGGTCACTGTTACTGAACGAGAAATTGTTTAAAAAATAACCAAAAAACATTTTTAATTACAATTTTGTAAACAAAATACCTGCTGGTAGAAGTTGCTTTTGACCTTGTACGATGCGAAAATTCCCCGTGTCACTGGTGTGCAACAATCGCTGTATTATTTGAACACCACCTTTTCCAAACTTATTCATTTTGTATAAAATTTTCGACTTCCAAGTGATACCATAGATGTAGTCTTCAAATACGTCAATTGTGAACGGATGGTCAATCAATGAGCTATTTTGCCTGGAAAATACCACTGTTCGACCTGACCCATCGATATTGATCGCACTAATGGTTCTTTGCTTTGTATCAGCCCAATACAGTCGCTTTGCAGGCAGATCTAAAGCTAATCCAGTAGGCCATTCGACACGCTGTGACAGGAATATCTTAGGACTGCTGCCATCCATTTTTGCCGTCCAGATAGCAGGTTGTTTTCCAAGATCGGTCCAATACATGTATCTACAAGAAATTGCAAACAATTCCGTAAAGAGTGGATGTTGTAGTATCTAAAACCAAAATCAAATGCTGATGACTAACACTTAACGCCAAAAAGATATTCAATATCGACTTGTGTTCAACTGTATTTTATAAAAAGTATTCTTGCAGTTTTTTGAGAAATTTCGTTGAAAAAATAAAAAGTACATACAGCTCGTTATCAAAATGACGTACCCTCTAATCGGATCAAGAGCAATGGTGTGCGGTTTTGTTAAAAGCTTAGACACAAGTTTTCGGCGGGTTTTCCCTCGCAGATCTGTAATCATAATTCTTGGCTTGCCCAAATTGAAATCAATCCAGTATAAATTGTCTCCAACCCAGTCTACTGCCAGCGACAAAGGATCAACATCAGTTATCTTGAGTTCCAATTCTCTGATAAATGTCTCAGACATATCTCTTTTCACACGGTTGTAAGATGACTTTTTCAATGCCTCTAAAAAGGTTTGAAAATATTCAAAAATACCACAATATTTCTGTTCTTTGATATAAAACACATAACGTCAAAAATATGCAGCTTTAGAACCAGAACCAGAACCAGAACCAGAACCCGAACCCAAACCTGAGCCCGAAACGATTATTTGATGAAATGGAATTTCAAAAAATAGTCCTATTGATGAATGAAAATTTAAGAAACTGAAAATAAAAAAGGTGTCTTACCATTGAAGAAGAATCCTTTTATCTGTCTTTGATGGCGACTGCCAATAAACAAAAAGTTTTTTGCTAAATGAAAGTCAAGGCTTTGAATCTTGATTGAATCGGTGATCATGCTGTTGTATCGGTACCTTCCATTCTCAGCCAACACGAATCGCCGTAGCTCATTTTCAATAGGCACTGCCACTGACATAGCAGATCCTAAAGCTTTACAACGATGAGGCTGTCCTACGATTGGATTGTAGCCATCTACGCACGAGCACTTGTAGGAACCGGCAGTATTCGCGCAGCTCTGGCTACATTTGCCAAATTCGTCGCATTCATTAATGTCAATACAGTCCTTTCTATTACGGGAGAGTTTGTGACCTGTCTTGCACCGACAGAAGTGTCCAGTTTTGAGCTGAACACACTCGTGCCGGCAGCCACCATTTTTTACCTTACAGCTTTTGTTCTGCCCTGAATGGAAAAGAGCTAAATAATGAAAACAGAAGAACTATAGAGCTCGAAATAAAGTAAACTTTTTCCTGTCACTTTAAGGGCTAATATGATATACAGAGAGGTGTATAGACGGGGCAACCCAAGAGCTTTTGTAGATTACTGAAGAAAAATCAAAATTCTATCAAGTAGGGCAGAAAACAAACCAAAATTATTTGAACTTATAAAGCCTACAAAGCATGTTTAGAATGAAAAATAGCACTACTGATCTTTAAGTTTCTGCGGGGAAAATTAGGGACTGCCTTTCTATTTGTTAGCCTATTCAATTTTGCACAAGACTTTCAACGACTATATTTTGAAAAACTCTTTTCGGTATTAAAGATTTGTAAACCGGGAAAAAATGATAAATTGATAATACCTGAAGAACAATATAACTCATCTTCGCCACCTTTGCAGTCGAAAAATCCATTACAGACAAGCTTCTTATCAATGCACTTTGAGTTTTGGCACTTAAATTGGTCTCTGCGACAAAATCTACAACCCTGCTCATCAGAACCATTCACACAGTGATTAATACCATCGCATCTCTTCCATTTTCTTATACAGAAGCCATTGGAGCAGCGGAACTGGATCTTAGGGTCACACCAATTCTTCTCGGCTAGAAGAAAAACCAAACAGAATTATGCGGAGCTGGTGAATTTACTGCATTTCATTTGCTACAAATGAAGGACATCAACAACAAAATCGTAAACAGCTGCATGGAAATGCATCACTTAACAAAGATTGGTGATTGGTGGGCCGTTACATTTGGGCCCTAAAGTAATAAAATTCAGAAATTTGAATGGCGGAATCTGATATTGACTGGAAAAGAAACGCTGTAGCTTTTTGACTTGGGCAATCAGTTCTGACAATGGCTAAAGGCAATCAAGTATTGCTTTTAGTTTTAATTGAATAGTAGGCATCAAAGCTTGCACTATACAATAACTGTCGTTCATAAAAATTCATAAAAAGAAAAAGCTGTGGTCCGTTGGAGAACAGGAAGAGAAATGAAGTGAATAGCGTCTTACCACAGAGGTGTGGGATCTCGTCTGATTTGTCACCGCAGTCGTTGTCTGCATCGCAAACCCAATTGCGCTTGATGCAGATGTTATTGGCACACTTGAATTGATCTTCTTGACACCTGGTAACATTCAAGGGGCAGCCTAAAAAAGGAGACACGTGTCTGAGGTCTCTTATTACATGTTCACGTAAGGGAAATTATTTTCCAAAGCTAAGTTTTCATTGTGACTAATACAAAGTGATGAAAAGCAACCCGGTAAAAGTTTTTGCTGCGGCGTTGAAAATTTGTCCTTTCATATGATAATTTCAACACGCAGCAAGTTGCAGTTCTGTTGATTTTCAGTTCCAGTGTTCTGCATCCCTTTGTTGAATCATCGTTTTGAAACTTGTTAAGACTGAGAAAATTTTTCGTTCACATGGAAATTTGTAAAAAAAAACAAGCCCGCGCTGGATTGAAATCTTTAACCACTATGGACAAAAAATTGTGCATATTTTCGGGAAGAGTTGCAGAAAATTGCAAACGTATTCATTCAAGGCAACCCTGGGTTTGAAAATGTTACAAGAGAAAACATAAGGTGTATCATTTATGAATAATAGCGAAAAGAAAATCTCGAGAACTATTGGCCTAAATAAGTACGCTAAACAATTTGTTCACGAAAACAGTATAGGTAACATGAAAGTCTTGTAGTATGATAAGGCCTATGTCCGAGAACCCGTTAATCCCACAGATGGACTAACCCGTAAAGACAACACTCCGTTACCTCAAAAAAAAGAATCTCACACAATTTTGAGATTTTTTTTAAGATTTGACGTGTTCGGGTAGAGATGTTCTGAGTTCAAATTTTTGTTGAAAGATGGCTTGATGATTAAAGATCCCTTTCACATCTGTCGATTGCATCTAAATCTATCATAAATCGTTTTAACAATAGACTGATTGATTTGTTAATACCATTATAACCATAAGCTATCTAAAACATTTTCATTTCTGATTTCAGTAGATGAGAAAATCAGCAAAAAGGTTACAGGGGTCAGAACGGTCTTAAGAAAAAAGGAAAAAACCTTTCTCATCTGAGCCATCCCTACAATCCATATCGCCATCGCACTTCCACTGTTTGCTGATACAGTGTCCACTGTTGCATGTAAACTGGTCTTGATGACAGCTTTTATTCTGGCAAGAAAACTCATCAGAACCGTCGCCACAGTCATCGTCATGGTCACATACCCATTTGTTATCGATGCATTTGCCATTTTCACATCTAACACAGAAACAATACTTGTTAACGCACCCTTCTGTGACTGATATGAAAACGATTTAAATGATGAGTAAAAGACACTAGATGAATTTTCGACCAATTCAAAGAGTGCCAAAGTTCCACAGTTTAGCAGTTCTATAAGCTCTTAGTTATAATAAAACAATAATAATTAAGACAATTACATACCGAAAACACAATTACATGATCATGCTACTTGACCATAGTAATCGAAATGGTACTCATATCAGTACAAAAGAGCTTCTTTCTTGAAACCAAAACCTAAACAAGGAGATGGACAAGTGAAGATTTACCTAAATTCTTTAGCGGGATCACATTCCTTTTTAGGACAACCATCCTCATCACTTTTATCCCCGCAGTCATTGTCAAAGTCACATCGCCAACGTTTGGGAATACAGCGGTGATTTTTACAGCGGAATTGCGTTGAGCGGCAACTGTGAGAAGCACAATGTTCTGGACTTTCATCGGAGCCATCATGACAATCATCGTCTCCATCGCATGCATAACGTTTCATTATACATCTGATAATCAAATATCTTTACTTATCACAGCATCGCACAAAAAGGATTTACAAAATGCAATGAGAATTTGATGCAGGCATAGCTCCAGATAATAACAGGCTATCAAAATAAATGTGATAAGAGTCCACTCTATTCAACATATCAAAGTGAAATATCTTTTCTATGGATGAATACATAAGATTTCCAATATCAAAAGACAGTATTTCCTCAAGCGTCTCTATTTTCTCCCGACGTTAGATACCAATCAGCACACAGGATTCTAACAACAAATCCGCTCCAACAAACAGCTAGAATTAGGCCCATTTATTGACCACTCTAGCGTTTTTACCTTACTATCTACATTGCTATTCTTTACCACAACGAAAAAAGAATCTCCATTTTCAAGAACTTCAGCGAATTAACAAAAAACTCAGAAAACAAAGCCTTGTAAGTTACCTTGAATTGTTACATTTAAAATGGTCTGGCTGACAAGTGCTTGACGCACAGAGGAGCGGGTCCTCGTCACTACCATCCCCACAGTCATCATCGCCATCACATTTCCAAGAGGAAGAGATGCATCGCTCATTTTTACATTTCAGACGATCTGCAACATCGATTTGAAAAGAGACATTGTCAAATATGCAATTAACTATTTACCGTTACTTACTTTCAAGTACAAAGTTCTACCCGTATCAAAAAGGCAAAAATATTACTACCAATCAATGGGGGATTAAACCTGAACGGTATACTAAGGGAAGCTCAGATCTAACATATCAATTGTTCTAATAGATCTAACACATCAATAGACGTAGTCTGCGCCCCAGTCCACAAATGCTGCTACGTTTATGGACGGTGCAATGTTGATGAACATTCTGTCCAGACAGAGGGCTGGGTCTAGTTTATGGAAATAATTTATGCAATGAAACCATTCAAACTTTGCAAGAACAATCTTCGAAGAAATATTCACTGAAGCTAAACAGGACGTAGATAAGATGGTGCATGAAGAGTTCAAAGTTTTACAAGGTTGGAACCATTGACAATTTTAGCTAATTGCATAATTTTCAAGGGTTGCATTAATTACCACCAGATCCTGGTGGAAACTGTGGACAGGATATTAATCAATATTGCACAGTCCATAAAAGTGGCAGCATTTGTGGACTGGGGCATAGGCTAGATAGACGCGGCATTTGTCATAGAGAAGAACTAACTATGTCCGACTGAGTGGAAGAAACCATGAAAGATGTTTACCTTTTTAGGCAATCGTCAATAGCATTAACGGAAAATTACAAACAAGCTAGAAGTGAATCTCAGTTAATGAATATAATAAAGCTAGGCTGCATTGACGGCACTAGAACAAACCTGCAGGACACGGGAACTGTGAAACTGAACAATTCTTCTCATCTGAGTTATCTTTGCAGTCCGGGACTCCATCACATACCCGGCTCCGGAATATGCAGCGGTGATCCTCACAGCGAAATTGGAACCTGCTGATCAAGAATTCCATATATATCCAAAGTTAAAATGGAATTATGAAAAGTAAAATTGGTTCCTGGTTAAAGACAAAAAAGAACCTCGTAGACGGCATGTTATTTTCATGTTTTAACGGGATATCTCCTTTCCAGAATTGCTGCCAATTAAATTATCACGACTTAATTTCATATGATACAGGAAAACTAAAACCAAATAGAAGCATACACGAAGCACTGTCTTGCCGAGCAATTCTCTTCATCGCTCATATCACCACAGTCATCTTGGCCGTCACAAACACGATACGGAGCGGTGCAGTTGAAATTCGAACACTGGAACTGACCTTAAAAGAGAGGAATCGACGTTGACAATCACATTTCATGTCCAATTCAGAAAGCAATTCAAAAAATAAATGAGTTTTAGGCATTGAGTCATGGTAAATAGACCTTTTCTAAAGGGGGTAATTTGGTTTTGGCGTGTTCACTGCAGTTTCATGTGATATCGGCATCCATTGTTGATAACTTGCTATTGATGCAAACTGTTTTGTTTATCAGCAAATTCAAATTTCTTTCATTAAGCTACATTTTGACAGCGTGTTTATTAAAAGCATATTTACTTATTGTCTTAAACATAAAGAAGAATTAAAGAATTATACAGAGAATGTCCGTGAGTGTTGCCAAAGACACTGAGATAAACCTGAAAGGTTATCGAGCCCAGTGCCCTATTACATACACTTGTGATATATATTTTATTATACAATCTGAATTTCAAAAAAAATTATAAGCAACAATAACAGAACAAGATTACAAGAAAGTGGAAAAGGAGGGGGACACGGCAGCTTCTAATTTAAGGTGAATTTTATGAGGAGAGATGAAATAGAGATTGTCAGAATTCATTAAAATGAGTGGAGCAGAGTGGTCGGCTGTATTTATACTAATAATGGTATAGTAACAAGTTGAAAAGAAATTTACTGAATAAATTTTTGCTTGGTTTGGAGCGAATCTCTTCAGGTATTTGCTTCCAGATTTGATACAAATAAAGGCAATAAATTTTTTCGACTGATTTTAGGTGAGTTCATGTGATAAGTTCCAGGTCAACCAGTAGCATTGAACATTGAGGCACGAAAATCATGACTGAGGCCCTGTTCACACGATACCGGATTCATTTCATATCGGATTCACTGACCCAATCCGATACAAATATCAAGCTCTGTTCACACGATACTGGATTCATTTCGTATCGGATTCACTCCTGTTCACACGATGACGCTACGCTTCAAAACTGCTCCAAAAAATTCCATTGTCTTGAAGCAGTTGCATAGCAACGTGGAATGTTGTTCGTTGTTTTGCTCTTTTTCTGATTGAATGCATTCTTTGACGTGACGGAAATGATAGGCTGTTTTGTTTTGAAGAAGAAGTATTTCGAAATCAATTTTCAAACAATCTAATTTTCCTTTGCTTTAATCTTGTGAAGCTCGTCATCATCGCAAGGAGCATATTAATTGTTTAACTGCGATCCACTGTGATTTTGTGTCTTGAAAAGAGTGCCAAACTGTTTTTAAAAACCCCGAAAACGAGGCTGCTTTTTCGAAACAGAGGTTCCGGAGCAAACCGTATCGGATTCATGCGTTCTCACGAGCTCAAAAGCGATCCGATATAATTCCATTCCAAATTCACTGCGGTGGTTTTGACTTCGCAAAAACGACACGGAGCGTATCGGATTCAAGCGTCATCGTTTGAACAGAAGGCCTATCCGATATGAAAAGCGATCCGATACGAAATGAATCCGGTATCGTGTGAACAGGGCCTCAGTGGATTGGGTACATTTGGGTATACCCTCGCCTTTCATCATGACTCAATGCCTTTAAAAACACAAGAATATAAAATCAACAAAATAAAGAGTGTGAGTATGCAGATTTTCAACTAACCTGTACAAATTAAATTAAATTACATAAAAATTACTTACCAAGCTTGCACTTTCTTTGAGGACAATTGCTACCTTCGTCACTGTTGTCGCCACAGTCATCCTCTGTATCACACAGCCAAACACTCGATATACACCTATGGTTTTTGCATTCAAATTCTCCAGCAACACAGTTGGACAAACAAACCTTTCCATCAACCGATAAACGATAATTATATGGGCATGCGCATTGAATGCTGCCATTTGCAGATATCAGGCAAAGATGCGAGCAGCCTCCATTATCAATGCTACACTTGCTTGCCACATTTGGTTGTGCTAGCGGATGTACCACCTTGCAAAAAAAAAATGAGAAAAGTTGTCATGGCAGGAACAGAAATTAAGCTACGTAACAATAGAAGTCAAGCTTTTTGTTACCCGTGAAGCATCGCATACAGATATTAAGTACGTCTCTATTTAATTAGTTTGTCATTATGTCAAAAGTGAAAGTCATATATGGGGAAAGTCATAAAAGCATTTGATTAACAACATCATTCCTACCTTTAACGAGTACACACCATCCACGTCCCTTGAAATTACTTTCTTTGAAAGGCCTGAAAGTTTGTGCACACTGTTAACCGTAGCCAACTGCAAATCAGACCAGAACAAATCATCCCCAAATACAGTTATACCAAATGGGAAATTTAGTTTATCCAACAAAACTCTACGATTTTTTCCATCAAAACTTGCCATTTCGATGTGATGGAGATGAGAATCTGTCCAAAAGATTCGCTCTGTGAAAGAGTCTACTGTTATTCCTTTTGGGGAAACAATGCCCTCGGTGATGATTTCTTTCCTCTTACTTCCGTCCATTCCAATCCTAGTTATGCAAGCCGAACGGCTAGTCACGGTGTAAAATAAAAAGCCTCGTTGCGGATACAAGGCTAGGGCTCTTGGCTGGTTGATCATGTCTGCAAGAATAGTTTTGTATTGACCATTGTAAATGTTGTAGACAACGAGGCTATGCACCTCACTGTCTGTCACGTAAATATTTTTGCTGATCCAATCCACCGCCAGGCTATAAGGATTTGAGAGAACGGTGGAAGGAAATTTTTCGGACTTTTGTGGACTGCTAAGTTTACCTTTGAAAATTTCCCCTGGTTGTGTATCGATCCAAAAATAAAGATCATCAGACTTTGCAAAGTCAACAGAAAAAAAGTGCCGGCCCTTGCGTTGCCACAAATCGTAAAAGCCACCATTCAAAGCAACTGTCCTTATTGTCGTTTTACTGGCAAAAAGTAATTGCGCAGGATCATAATTTCCATTAATTTTACATGAACTCGTGCTCGATTCCCATTGGAAACCATCTTCACACTCACATTTGTAAGACCCTACCGTATTGACACACTTCTGAGTACAAATAATGCTTGAAAAGTCGCTGCATTCATCAATATCAACGCAAGATCGTTTGTCGTCTTGCAGTCTATACCCTGCCTTACAGGCACAACTGTAGCCCTGAGTGAGATTTATGCAGATTTGAGAACAGAAATTGAGTTTTCTGTCACTACAGTAGTTGACAAAACATCCCTTCTCATCCATTCCATTTGGACAATCAAACTGTCGATTGCAGACTTTGTCCTTACTGATACATGTCTTATTGTTTTTGCAATCGAATAGATGGCTTTTGCAAAATCCTGGCTTTGTTATATTGTGACAATTTTTTTCATCAGAAGAATCCTTGCAATCTGGAATTCCATCACATCGTTTTGTAATTTTAATACAAATACCATTGGAACACTTGAACCTGTTTGAAGGGCAAGCGACTGCAGTACAATTATTCTCGTCACTACCATCGCCACAGTCATTTTCTCCATCACACATCCATCTTGAAATTACACAAAGGTGGTTCTTGCATCTGCAAAATGAAGTCAAGTACAAAAATCTAAGACAGATACGAACATTTTTAAGTGACATTTTTAAGTGCTATATCTACACACTTACTTTGAAGATAAAGAAGGCCAAATTTTACCCGAACTTCATTCAACTATCATAGTGACAAGATTCATAAGAATATTTGTATTGCAACTGTATTATTTGTATTGCAACTGATTCCGGTATCCAGTTGATATAAAAATCAAAAACGTAATCCTTCTGGTAAAAAAGGCAGGAATATTATAAGATCATAAATGCTGAGTGCCATTCAACTGCTGGTTTCCTAGAGCTGACTGTAACTGACCATGTAACGTAGCAGACTTGGGTATGAATCGAGAGTCTTCCGAACATATGTTTTAAGGGCAAACAAAGTGAGGAAATTGTTATCAAAGGCAGGTATCAAAGGCGTTGGACTTAGTACCTGAACTCATCTCTTGTGCACTCACGAGTAGGGCAGCCTTCACTCGCTTTTTCATCCGAAGCATCTCCACAATCATTCTCACCATCGCATTTGAAACGCAGAGGAATACATTTGTTTGTTTTGGGACAAGCAAACTCGGATGCCTTGCATTTCTTCTTCGTGCAGTTGTTACGCTCATCCGACCCGTCCTTACAATCTCGATCACCGTCACACACAAAGCGCTTTGATATGCAGCTTCCTGTAATTCATGTATAGTTGTTTACAGCACACACAAGTTGAAACATTAATAAGTACTTTTCGCTTAACAACTTTTTTAAAATAAACGTCGGATAATGACTAAAGTTATGCAGAAGCGGATCGTTAATAACGCTAGAAGAAGAATGGCGCATTTGCTTTGTTTATACAGAAAACGTTCTTAGAAAAAAATCCAATAAAACCAAGAAATATAACTGTCACAAGCTCCACATTGCTATCGGTATAGAAGTTTATTTGGATTTGGTCAAAACTGTACTTTTGTTACTGTTGCTACATTACGGTCGCTACCTTTGTTACTACACTTTTGTTACGGTCAGCTTTGTTACTCTATATAAGACTTATGTCGGCCCTATGGAGACTTTGATTCTTACCGTCCCCGCACTTGAAATGGGCATCTGGGCAGGTCGCATTTTTTGAGCTGCATTTCTCACGAGGCTCATCACTAGAGTCGCCACAGTCATTTTCCTTGTCGCAAAACCAGGTATCAGGTATGCATCGACCATTCTTGCACTGAAATTGCCCTTCCAAGCAGGACTTCCGCTTGCAAAAATCACCCTCATCCGAGCCATCTTTGCAGTCGTCCTCACCATCGCAAAGCCAACTTTGGCGAATGCAAACTGATGTCGAATTGCATTTCAGCTATAACAAAGAACAACAATTTGAGGACAGCGGATCTAATCAATATGTTTGCTCAAAATGAAACATTTAGGGAGAGGTCCGATAACAAACAAGTTATTTTCCGGAGCGAAGCGCTTAATTTAATTAATATCTTTTGATACAAGTTCTGCCTTAAATTTGAGACTGGAAAGGTGATTACTGGCATTGAGCTTTAGTTGCGCATTACAGGATATTCACAGCCGTAAAACTAGGAGAAAGCTTTGCTACCAGACACATTTCTCCTGTGTATACTGAAGAAAGTAGATGGACAAATGTTTAAGGACGAAAGAGTAAAGCGGAAGAGAAGGTTGAGCCATGCAAGTCTGTAGTTAGCGCCAATGGAAGAACTTGAGAGAAAATTTTTTGAAATGAAATCTCGAAAAACGGGAATAAAACAAACAGGGGCATAATTATAGGGTTGCTTCTAGATGACTCGAACAATTAGCCGTTTTGTATTTAGAAAACAATAATTCAATGCCTTGAAAATATCATTCTATCTTGCACCTGAGAGCAAGAGATGGATTTCTAGCAGCGTGCTGAGGTGATATCGATTACAAAGATTGACGTACTGTCCCACTAGGGCATGTCTTGGGACCACATCTCTCGTCCGAGAAATCCCGACAATCAGCATCTCCATCGCAAACAAATCTTTTTCTGATGCACTGGCCATTGTCACATTTAAAAAAGCCTTCATCACAGGTGGGATAAGTGCATTTCGCCTCATCGCTACCATCTTCACAGTCAGCTTCATGGTCGCAATGCCAGATCTTTGGAATGCAATTCCCGCTAGATTTACAACCAAAATGACGAGCCGAACACGAATGGACACCTACAAAAGGAGCATCCTTTATAACCACTTTTAGGTTAATACAATGCAAGAAAATTTAGAACGATCGAGATGAATCTTCTAAATGAAATGGATATGATTAAGTTCTCCTCTTTCATCAGTAGCAACTATGATGTAGCTAAATTTGCAATTGAAAATTACTGACTGAATAGAAAATCATTTTGAAGATTGAATACTCACGACACAGTGTCTCGTGTTCATCTGATCTATCAGGGCAGTCGTAATCTCCATCGCAAATGTAGGAGTAGCGTATGCATTTTCCGTTCATACACGTAAAATCACTGGAATTGCAGTTACTGGTCTTCGTTACACACCACTTGTCATTAAGCAACTTTAAATCAGGTGGGCATTCGCATTTGCGCTTTCCATTCACGACTTTACATATGTGACTACAACCTCCTTTGTCGTAGCAAGGATTTGACGAGCCTTATGAGAGAAGCAAATATTTATTAGTTTTTTAGTCAACTTGTTACTCAGTATAGTAAGACCTACTCTGATATTGCATAAAAGGCCTAGGCTAAGCACCTTTGCAGCACGTTGTCTTAACTACATGGATTTAACAAATATGGCCTGGATACTCTCTGAATTCGCTTACACGGGATCTGGTCGGAAATCGTTTCCACGTGCACTAAATCGGGCCCAGATGAGATCTACATCCTACACGAAGCTCATTTTAAAAACTGGCAGCAACAGACGTCGTTCATAGACAACCAGTGAGGTAGCAACATATCAGATCCGATTTGGAACAGCTCCGAGCTTTTGCAGATGAGATTCATACAGAAACGCCCCTGAATGCGATCCAAAAAGTGTTTGGATAGAGGATCACAAAGCATATGGATCCACCTTTGTTTTACAAAGGCAGGTAGCAAAGAAACAATGCGGGTTGGAACAGATTCAAAAAAATATATAGTGATACTTGCAGTTTTGTCTTTCCTTGGAAAAGATTTTAATATCCATCGGATGAGCGTCTAAGCCATTAATCAAACTAACTGGATTCCCTCCATTGTATTTGTTGGCTTTCTTTACTGACCTCGTCACCCAATCGGTCCAGTATACATACTGCCCGAAAATGGCAATGCCAAAAAAGTGTGGCACGCCGGAAACGACAGTTTTCCTATCGCTACCATCCAAATTCGCTGATTCGATCCTAAGTAAAAATGTTTAAAGATGAATAAGTGATAAATCAAAGGCATGAAATTGCAGAAGTTTGCTTGTTAGCTTCATTACCGCGTTTATTTATAGCTTGACTGAATATGATACGAAAAATTATAGCAATATCGTTCCAAATCGAAACTCGAAAATTAAGATATATAAGCTACTTTCATACCAAGGTGGCAATGCAACTTAGAAGGCAATGTAAGAAACAAAACTAAAAACTGAAATTATTATCTAATTCATGTAAAGACCAGTGTAATCAAGAGATGGTGGGAGTCTTGCTACTGTTGGATAGAGTGGAATACTACCATTCAGAGGTAAAGTGATATCTTAGTTGACTTAGCCTCAATACGCTTTGTTATATTTTAGTTACAGGTAAAAAAAGCCCAAACAGAGAGTTCATTAGCTAGAGAAAAACTTATTGCAAATAAATTTATTTCTATTTATTCATTTTGCAAATTTTGTCATAAGCACAACACAACTAAATACATCGCATTACTGTCACAGGAATGTTTATAACTGCACCAGTTTGTGTTTGACGGAAATCGCGAGCAGAAAAAACAATCATAAATAAAGGCATACATTCTCCTTTGAAGAGCAAACTAGAAACAGAGCTAGTTGACCGTCTGGTCCCTACTAACAAAGTTTAAAATTTTAAATACGTGGTTGCCGGAGGTTTTGAAGAGCGATTTTCTTGAATGATGAAAAATAACTAGTTAATAACTTTACTTAGCAAAATATTCATGTAATGTAGACAAGTTTCAATTTTAAATAAGTTTTAATCCAATAGAAAATGCTTCGAGCTTTGATAATTTTTAATAAGCAAAGAGCAAACAGAAATTATACTGACCTATCAGCGTGGGCGTCAGCCCAGAAAATGCGACTTTCTGAATAATCTAAGCACAAACCATTCGGCCAGACCAACCCATGGTCAACGATAGTTTTGGCAAACATCCCGTCCATATTTGCTCGCTTTATATAAGGCTTTTTACCCCAATCACTCCAGTAAAGGTACCTACACAAAAAACAATTGATCTCATTGTCTTGTGTTGATAAATGCAACAGCACTTTCGAAGCCAAGCAATGAAACTAAAGGAGCATTTCCTAAATATCTAAATAACTAAGCAATCAACGAAGCAGAAATGGATGAAAATGTCTTTACTAAATAAACTTTGCTGTAATACCTAGCGTAGAATACCATAAATAAATATTGTTCCTGCTGCATAATCTATTTGTTGGCAAATTCTTACAACGTAAATTCCAAACAGTTTAACGCACACAATAGTTACATACCCATCGCAAGGGCTAACAACTATCGCCCTTGGCTCGTCCAAACCCTCAGTAAGAATCACCTCTCGTGCTTTCTTGCCTTGAACACCGACTCTGCTGATGGTATTTTCCTGGGCATCGGTCCAATATATCCTTTTGTTAAGCCAGTCATAGGAAATGCCATCTGGCGTTCGTAAATCTAAGAAACAAATGACAAAATAATGTTGTAAATTGTGTAGTGCTCTGTGATACTCTAAAACATATCTCGTTTGATTCGACATGGGCAGTTGCGCTTCCAAGATGAGAGGGAGGCTCAACTGCCTTTCAAATTATCTCTGCACTTCTTGCACTGAATATCTAAAACTTAAGCAACTCACTAGCATCTTTTCACTAAACAACTTTTATTCGAGTTCTATATCTTTTAAAAAGATGGGAAAATGCCAGTCAAGGTAATTGAAAAGGAGAACAATTGCTTATAGCTGAGTAGAATAAAGTACATGCGTATACTGGAAAGAAGGCGATTAGACAAAAAGAAGGGGGAAAACAAACACAAAAGAGGGCAAGTAACTAAGAAAACAAATGGGGGAACATACAAAACAAGGTAGTAGACACGAAAAAGAGGGGTAGACGCTTAAGAAGTATAAGGGTGAGTTGGAGTGAACAAACCTGCTGCCAGAATTTGTTTATCCGTGCCATTGAGATTTACCATGCCAATCAAATTGGTAAATATATCTGAATAAAATATCTTGTTGGAATCGTAATCGTAGTCGACCCCAATCACATGACTAAAAGATTTTATGGGCTTGTATGGTGGCATCATAGCTATCGACTTCTCAAGATGCAGCGTGATGATTTCATTGCGCTTTGCAAAGAAAGCAAAACTTCTCACTGGCTTACAGGACTTCATGTCTACGTCAAGGTCCCCATTGGTACAAATGCATCTGAAAAAACGTTCACACAGAAGCGATCAGTTCGTGCAAAACGAATTGCGTCGAACGGATCGATATAACATCAAGATTAGCTAGCGAATAATTTTGTTCTCAATGAAAGCGCATACTATGACGAAACTTTGTTTTCTGGATTTTACGTGCTATCACGTGTTACAAAGCGGATATAACTAAACTATGTTTACAGGTATTGGAAGAGGAGAGTTTGTGAAAGATGGCGTTTAGAAGAATTGAGGCTTGAAAAGAAACTGAAGAAAGGAAAACCCTCATCATCAAATAAAAGTGATCAAGAATAAATAAGATTCGAAAGATAAATCATTACAACTTCCCGGAACGTAAGCAACAATTTCATTTTCAGCTTGCAATAGTAGAAGTATTTAACGCCCTTTGCAATTACACGGCTAGTTATTTATGGAAAAAACACAAGAACATATTATTAGCTCCCAAAAAGAGTTGATAGAAAAATTGTAAAAAACAAAGGGCGAGCGGCAATGAATTTCATACTCCTTGCGCTCTTCAGTGAGAAAGTGCACAAGATAAGCAAAGGAGTAACTACAAGGAAAAGGTGCAAATAAAGGCTTTTACGAAGCAAAGAGAAAGTAGAACGTACCTGTGTGTATCATTAGATGTTGCAAGGCAGAGCTGCTCACAGCCACCGTTGTTGTGAGAGCAAGTGTTATTGCCTAATTGAAAAACCGGTATGATTATATAAAACCGGATTTATCAATATTTTCTAGAACTTTCAAGCCTGTTAATGGGATTTCGTAAACGGTATACATTTGGATAATAACCCTAAGAACCAATAAAAGCCGGGAAGTTTATTCATTAGAACAAATATTCATCAAATAAATATAATCTCACAATTGTGCGAGTAAATAATCAGCAGAATTCATACATGTCCTAAATTCAGTTTTTTTATTGAAATTTTCTAGATATTTGATAAAGGTTGGCTCCCAAATACCAACATCATTGAACAACTTTGCTTTACCTTCCTGACGCTCCTTGGCAAAAGCATGAATATCACGTATGCTGCCGACGTGGACGCGGAGTTTGTCAACTTGCGAAGGGTTACTCTTCTGAGCACGGAATATCCCTTGATGCGACCAGTCCGTCCAGTATATATAATCGCCATATACAGTAACAGCATAGAGATAGTCCAACGCATAGCTAATATCGAGCTTAACAATGTTCTCTAAAAAAGGCATATAAAAATACAATAACATCTTTTTCTATTTGCTGAGCTTCATCGCGAAATCATTAACCATAAAACAGCATCTATAATTCAATTTAAGGGAAAAACAACATTTTGAGACAATACAAAATAAAATTTTCTGGCAGTTTCAATTCAGAAACAAAATATGTCTTAGCAAAGAATGTAAAAATTGTAAAAATAATATAATGATGACTGTTTTCCACAGTTAATAAAGGTTGCTTATCAATAAAAAAGATCAGTCCTTGCTAACTCTCTGGGACAGAAATATGCATGTGAGCAAAAGATCAAGCACTCAGCAATCTGTTGAGCCAGAACATCATGGCAACCATTTAAAGTTTACCTCCATTTAAAGACATCCGGAAGATTTTCTTTGCTGTCGCATCGGTCCAGTAGATTAAATCCGAACTGTAGTCGATTGTAAGTCCATTTGGCCACCCAATATGTTCAAAAAATGTACTGTTTACCAATACTGTTCTCTTCGATCCATCAAGTGCGGCTCTTTCAATTTTTTTATTCTTGTAGCCCCAATCAGTCCAGAACATAAGGCCTTTTTCAGGATGGAGAGCTATACCTCTTGGACTATCTAGACCCTCGTGGACAAGAACGAACCTATAGCTGCCATCAAAGCGGCAAACCTGAAGAAAGTAGAAAAACGACATGTAATACTTGGAAACGATGAGTACAAAAACATCATTGTGAAACTTCTCAAAGTTCTCACCAGGGCACAGCCAACCGAGCAGAATAATATCTGACAAATACGAGCATATATCGCTTGAAGGAAAATATCTTTCAGGTTTTCTGCAAGAAAATACTGTTATGTTAAGGCAACTGAAAATATCAAAGTAAGTATGTCATTCGAGCTTATCTTGACAGAAAATGCAAACCCAGATCTAAGTTTAAGATAAGAAACACTTGGTTTACATTTACAAATAACTAGATGCTAATACATGAACAAGTTAACCTAATTGTTTAACTTTAAAATGACACAGTTACCATGACCAAGTTAATAAATACGATGCGTTGTTGTAAATATGTGAAAATCACTAGTGTTCTTACCTCGATTAAATCTCTTCCTGCGTCAACGATGTAAAGATTTTTCGCTATCCAATCGACTGCCAGTCCTTGAGGGTTCTCCAATCCTGTGTCTATGATCGCCTTGAACTCTGTTCCGTCGGTCTTAACGCTGAACAGCACTTCTAAAGCGCTATCGACCAAAAATATTTCCTTCGTTTCATAACAAAAATCTGCAGCCCAAGATGATTTCATCCCTTTAATAGGAACTATGGCGTCTCCTTCGTCTTCTTTGTTGAAGGGAATTCCACGAACCTCTGAGAAAAATTGACGAACGAATGAAATATAATAAATTAAAGATCAAAGTAACTAGCCTTTGAATAAGGGAGAAAAATGAAGATCTAAGGAATAACTCAAAGTAAAACAAATAAATAAAACTCAAATATGACAAAACGCAAAACTTTATCGCCCTATGATCCATTTATTTTCATCTACAACAGAAGAACTAAAACACTAGCATGGCAATGCATGAGCAAATGAGAGACACGAGTAGTGCTTGAATCTCTTGATTCGTATCTAATCACAGACACAATACTCCGTTAGGTCGTCGTTGGGAGGAAAGACCTTATTGGGACACTAGCAGTTGGAAAATTGACATTAACCTGTGGTTGTAGTGTACAAAAGAAAGCTCTCAGTGCCGACACATGTGCGTCCATCAGAGGCCAAGGAGAATCCAGAAGCACATCCACATTTGCAAAAGTCTCCCAGGTTGAAGCATAATTGCAGGCATCCACCATTGTTTACCATACAAGGATTCCATCCTAGGCAAGACAAAAATAATAAGAGTAGGTGCCCACGAAACTGGGAATAAAAAAGGGTAAAGTCGTTATCGAGTATAAAGAGCAAGTCAGATCTTATCAAAACGTCTGGGGAGGAGGGCAATCCTGGGGTATATTTTTTTAGCATCGCTTTATTTAAAACGTCATGGGTTATCTTTTGGTAGGTGACCTATTCCTAGCAAGCCTCATAGTCCACTTCTGTGTAAATTTTTTAACTTTGTAATCTTCAAGTGTCAAAAAGCGAAGAGCAAGAGGGATTAAGATTTAGTCAAACGAACTTTTGTCAAACGGGTATATAAAAATAGCTCTCTTAATGAAGAAGAAAGTAATTCTCTATGATGTCATCGATTGGCCATTGACAAATTTTCGTTGTCGCAAATGTAGCAACAGCGTACAATTCAGTTTCCTTGATCCAACTCAGTCTTTGAAGTCAAGGCTGCAGCCATTGTATGACGTACATGGAAAGTTTAAAAAAATAGAAACTAAAATCAGTGGCAATAGCTATTGGATGAAGAAGAAGTTGAGAAAAAGTTCATTGCCATGTGAAGATTTCTATCTGAAAGAAATAGATGTGAAAAACAAAACTTAATAAGCAGCATCAGTCATAAACCTAAATAAATGATATCAATTTTAATAACATCATGTCATAACAATAAATACTGAAAAAGAAGAAAACCTTGCTGTCTTTTTTTGTCAAATACTTCAATCCCCATTAAACTGGAAAGGTCATCTCGTATAGTTTGGAGCTCTTTTGTTTCTACATTCAATCTCTTGATGGTTCGCTTTCCCCAATCAGTCCAAAATATAGCGTCTGAATAGAAGGTTATTCCAAAAGGATGGGCAACCTCAGGAGCTTTTACAAGAATAATTCGTTCTTTGCTTTTTAAGTTTAGAGATTCAATGCGATCAAAAGTGGCATCGCACCAAAATATAATCTCCTTTTCATAGTCAATGGTAAGACCGTTTGGAGTACTGAGGCTAGAATTTACCAAAATTGACCTATTGCTTCCATCCAGATAGGCAGTTTCGATTTTTGGCGAAGAGCCCCAGTCTGTCCAAAACAGTTTTCTGAAAAGGAAATATAAACAATTTACGATCACCAATAAGTTCCTTTTGGACTAAAATATGGGTATTTTTCAAACGAAGTTGTAACATTCCTTCAAATGCATCACAAAATCTTTCTTATAATAGTGGAAACAATTTGCATGATCTGGTAAATACGGTCCTGGTGACATTTGGTTATTATGATGCGACTCGATAATATTACATACCCTTTCTGAGGGAAAACTGAAATCCCGCGTGGCTGATCTAGCTCTCTTGATATGACAACTTTACGGTAATCACCCTGCAAACGTGATACTTCGATGACATTTTTGCCGGTGTCAGTCCAATATAGATTGCCTGCTATCCAGTCAATGGCAATATCGTCGGGAGATGCAATACCTGTTGGTGGCAAAATACATACACTGATTTAAATCATAAATCGTCGATTCATAGTCGTGAATACCAATGACAAGCTTCAGTAAATCTTAGATTGCTATGTTAGATATCTTAAAATGTTAGATATCTAACGACTAGATATCTTTTGGAAACATAATGACGTTCAAACACGAAAGACAGATTTTCAAATTGGACACATTTTGCTGAAAGGAACAAGATGCATTCACCCTTCGTACAATTGGCTAACGTTCGTTCTTTTCGTTCATGTTGGTTCCTTTGGTTCACATTCGTTTTTTTGTTCACGTTCGTTCTTTTTATTCACGTTCGTTCCTTTGGCTCACGTTCTTTCGTTTCATGAATGTTCGTTCCTTTGGCTCACGTTCTTTCGTTTCATGCATGTTCGTTCCTTTGGTTCACGTTCGTTCTTTTAGAAAGATACAAAAATTATGTTTTTACCTGAAACGATCACTTCACTTCCGGAACCATTTCTGTGAATTCGGCTGATTGAATCTTTGCTGACGTCACTCCAGTAAACGTATCCGGATGCAGCATGGAAGTCGATGCCAGCAGCATTCATAAGTTGGGTTACAGGCAACATTTTGTCAATTCGTTCTTTGGGGTCAACAGAAATTCCCCTTACCTCGACTCTTCTTGCATACAGCAACACTGTCTCTGTGTCTATAAGAAGATATATAATGCTAAATCCCACAATGTTTTCATAGGGAGGTAGTTTACGAGAATATCGAGGCTCAGTTTTGCCAAAATCTAAGAACAAATCAAGAATAACAGCCAGGCTCAAATTTCGAGGAAAGTATGATTTTGCCTGTCCTTCTCACAGCAATTAAATTCATTAACAGCTTTTCAAACAGGTTTGATTTTTGAAGTCGACTGAATCGACTAATTACTCGACTGAATGTTAATTCTGGGCGCAACTTCGAATTTATGCAAGGGAAAAACTTATTTTGTTTGCGACGGTTTCAGATAAAAATACTTCAAGAAGATGCTTGGGTTCAATATCGAAAATTTCATAGAATATCCATATACGGTAATCAAAGAAAAAACAGGCAATCAAAATAGGTTATTCTTTTAAAAAACGTTGCACAAGTTTAGTGCTAGTTAGAATTAAAAGTTAATGGAAACTCATAAGGCAAGAAATTTTGTGATTAAAAATTTAGGTCGGCTTTTAAAATGCTTTATTACGTCTTAAGTCTTGAAAAGCTCGCAGTTTCCAAAAGGAAAGAAAGTCTCTTGGAGCAATTTGGAGCAAGTTAAGAATAGAAAGTTATGATGCTCATGGATCCCTTCGTATTACCTCGAGATAATGATGCAATTAAAGTACTTTAACAAAGCAGTAAGCAATGAAATAGAGAAATACCAGCATATCAAAATCCTTGTCATAAAATCCTCTATGACCAGGGACCGCGCACCAGTCTAAAAGTGGAGGGGCTGAAATGGGTCTGCCTGTAAAATTTTTGTGGCCACGCCCTCTAGAACACCGAGAAACACCCTTTTTAGAAAATACCTGCTAATTTCTACTGAATTTTCATAAACAGTCTGGCTGAGAGAAGATATCAATAACTACAAAAATTGATAAAATTAGCTTGAGGGTAATGGAACACCAATCTAACCAAGTTAAAAAACACATCCTACCATTAAACAAGACGAAACACCTAGAAAATGAGCAAAAAGGTTCCCATAAAAGAAGAACTGCTACTACACAGGAGTAAACTATCCAAAGTTGTCTTAGAGCAGGGGTGGGCGACCTATGGCCCGGGAAGAGAACTTTTGTGGCCCGCGAGATGAAAAATATCAAATTCATATAGGGTTTTTTTTTGGTTTGCAAGGATGATTTTCCGAAGAGTGCCAAATATTGAATAAAACATAATTTAAAATGGCTTCGAAAATCATCCCCAAAAAGAACAGCCACTTCAGTGTTGCTGATCTATAACTACAACTAAAGCATGCGATTCTGCTATCGGGCAGCATTTTCTGGAAAACCCAAATTGTGCAAAAAACTATAATGGTGACATGTTTCGGATTATTGGCAAAGCCCGATCGTTTTTCCATCTAGCAGTTTTGGAGCCTATCTATATAAACACGAAAAACCGCTTTTGTGTAGACAGAAGGAGTTCGTTTTCACCTTAGGACTCTATTGGTAACATTCTCAATAGGCAAGCGGCACTGATTGGGCAACCTCATCAGTCGTGTGATCGCGTTTCTGATTGGCCGATTTCGATCCACAACATGATATCTTTATTACATAGCAAAAAGTTTTGGATCTATGTTCTGAGGTTTATATTCTGAAAAGCGTCAGACGAAAAGCTTTGGTATACTCGAAAGTTAGCTGTTTCAAAGAAATTTTTAAGTTTGTACCAGATTGTTTGCATTATCTAAAATCTTGATCAAATAATGAAAAGATTTGCTCACTATCCATCGTCACCAATTCATCCTGCCTAAAGACAGGACAACAGAATTTTTGAGGGACTGAGTGAAAGTTAGCAAATGCTGCAAGAACAAATTCGAGAAACCACGGTTGTCCTTATTTTGTCATGTCTCAGTTGCTAGGGGGGGGGGGGCTAAATTGGCGTTTAAGTATATTTAAGTGGATGGTCTGAGCTAACCTTCGCATGAAAATCCGCCTGGCATTAGTTCCATCCCGAATGGGCATTTGCAGGAATATCCGTTTGGCTTTAAGACACAAAGGTGTGAACAGTTGTGTTTTGAGCAGTAGTTAATCGTAGACTGCTGCAAGACAGGATGCACAATCTTCAAACTCATTGGCTTATTGAGGTCTTGTTGCAATATTAACTTGCCACCACCTTGCATCTTACTCACACGCACTATTCCTGCTGGCTGACTCCAGTCGCTGTAGTAAATAAAATCTTCAAATGACGTCAATGCAAAGGGATGAATAATCACTGACTTTTCCAGTATCTTGGTCCTCGCTGTTCCATCGTAATTAATTCGTTCCAATACATCACTTTTCGCATCCATGAAATACACTAATCTGATGTAAAGAAATAAAAAGTGTAATGCAATGGCCGAGTTTTTTTCCACCGAAAATTAATCCTACTAAAATTTTGGCATCGGAATTTTTGTACTTAATGTACCTCAAAATAGGGGCGCGTTTCTAAATGGCATTCAACTATACTGTTTTCTCATTAGTAAAATCTTTAAATATAGTCTACATACCAATGTTCTTGACAAGTAATCGTTCACAAAAGCCAGGTAAGGACAATCAAGTAAAAGTTCTTGTCCTATCATTTCAAATTTATTGAGACATTACCTATTTGGAAAATCAAGAGCCAGACCATTGGGCCATTTCAAATTGGTAACAGCTAGGGTCTTTCGATTTGCACCATCCATATCCGCTCTTTCAACACGAGGCACTTTCCCCCAATCAGTCCAAAAAAGATACCTATTAGCAATATAAACACAAAATAAATATAAATGTAAAGACATTTTGGTTAACCGAATAAAAACAATCCGATTTACAAAACATGTATAACAGATGCTAAGAAGCCCCTGTGACACGAAAGAATATATTATGTCCAACAAAACGACAAATAAAATTACGGTAAAGAACTGCAAGGTTCTTTTATTCCAGTACCTCAATAAAGCATTCAAATTTTTTTATGAAGCATCACTATAAAGTATTTTTAAAAGCAAGTAGTTCCCTTAAAAACAATGAAACCCGACTCACAGGCTCACAGCACCACAAACAAATGATTAGACTTCATGATACATTAATGATTACAAATGATAAGTGATTAGGAAGCTACAAAATTGAGATTGGAAACAAAAAACGACCTTGTAATAACCATTAAGGATAAAATTACAAGCAGGAAGTAAAAGGAATGCGAATAGACGAGAAATTTTAAATGAATTGCAGCTTTCCACATCAGCTGAAAGGCTCTACTAACGAACAGATCCCTTAAGGCTAAGTGCGGAAACACGGCACTAGACAAGCTACAGAAACGACAAAATCGCGCGACCAAAATAGTAACCAATAGCCCGTACAACGCTTTTGCTCTTCCAATTATAAAGAAACTGGGCTGACAGACAGTTTATGGCTTGATATTAGAAGAAACTTTGCAAATGGTTTACAAGTATACAAATAATGAGGCTCCCTCGTATCTTGCGTGCCTGTTCGACTGGTTATCAGATCTCGCCTCGAAATCCGCGTTCCTTTCCTGTCTCATAATCATTATCAATCTATAAAGGGGTAAGACTGAGTGCATGTTGCTTGGCACTTCTCAACATATAGCAACTGTTGGATCCGATTCCAGAGATACAAACCTGTTATTCAATGGTGCAACATACAAATATCAAGGTACAATTCTGGATCAACAACACAATCTCGCTGAAGAATTTTGACCGGAATTACAAGAAAAATCATCTAAACATCTGGCCTCTTATATATTCCAGTCCTAACTGCATTGTTCAGTTGAAAAAATCCCAGCTAAAGAAGCTGAAATCGATAGAGCACGAGCCTTCTTTATATTGAAGTCAAAGACATGCGACTCAAAACAGGAATCGATAAGTACGCTATCTGGTGAGAAAGTGTCTAAATGAAAATGTGTGTACAAACTTTCAAGATAATTTTATGATCAACGACCACCATGTGAAGACAAGAAACAAAAATATTCATCAAAAACTCCAAAAGTTGAACTTGAGTTAACTTTCTACAAGGTTCGTTCGAAACATATACATTTTCCGATAAACATGACAGATGTGGCTCATATCACATCAGACCAAGTCAGTTTAACGTTACACGAGCACTGAAAATTATTATTTGTTCCCAGAAGTATACAGTAGTATATATATTATAGACTCTTACCCTAGCTTTGGATCAACAGCTATAGCTCTAGGTGCATCATGATTGGAACCAATTATAATAGCTCTCAACGAGCCATCCAGTTTTGATGCCTCTATAGTATCTGTCTTTGTATCGGTCCAGTACAAGTTGCGGGCAACCCAGTCAACAGAAACTCCTTCAAAAGAAGAATTTCTTATAAAGAACGGAAAGTACATGTACACCCACCCATATTGAGTAGAATTCAAGAATTAATGACAGCTTTGTTCAAAAATAGCAAATTCTATAAGTTCTAAGTTCCGTATTTATATTGATAATGTAACCAAAGTAAGCAAAATAGCTTTCGCTTAGTTTAATTAGTTTACCAAAAAAATATTTAATGATAGCTTGTGGGAAAAATAGATGATGGGAAATCGTTACCTTCAGGTGCAATAAGTCCAGTAGAGACGATGGCCTGGCGACCTGTACCATTTATGTGAGCTCTTTCAATGCGATCCTCGTTGACATCAGACCAATAAATCATTTGTTCCTTCCAATCAAAATCAAGACCAATAGCATTGGTAAGGCCTAAGACTATCGTGCTTGCTATTCCACTTTTCATAGAGTATCTTCGAATTTTCCGACGGTCCGAGTATATCAAGAAAGGGTCTGGGCCTGCAAACACAATAGGCATGAACTACAGCCCAGGTAACATTCGAACCACGTGAGGCTAAAAACAAGTATCGGTGGCTCTTATACTAAACCTATTAGGCTGGATTCAAAGTATCTCTTAAAGGCAAAAGCACAGTGTTATACAATTTGAAAGCAGAAGAACCTCAAGGCAACAACGCTTGGTTTTCGAAGTTCGAAACGGCAATGCAAATATGTGGGGTACCAGTGTAAGCCTTATCAGAAATGGAACCTAAGTGTGCCCATTTTCTTACTCTGTTGATAAATTGAAAAATAATGAGAAATTGAAGAAAGGATGTATATGTATAAACTATAGAGCCATTTAGACGTCCAACAGGAGACACATATCCGATAACGTGTCTAGTGAACAGCAAAGCAATCCATATTATGTAGGGTCGAAGACGTTTGATAGTAAACAAAAAAATGTTTAGTTGACAACAGCAAATGCACTTACCAACAGCAGAGCACGTTTTCTTGTTCGGTCTAAGAATATAGCCTTTGTCACAATAACAACGGTAAGATCGCTTTACATTGACACATTTCTGACTGCAAATATTTGGAATTAAGCATTCATTGACGTCTTCGCAGGTTTTTGAGTCGTTTCCCAAAGCCATACCAGAAGGGCACCCACAGGCAACACCTTTCGAAAAATTGGTCAACATTTATTTTTAACTCTTTTACGAAAAATGGTCGAAGAAACGTTAATCAATCTTAGCCGAAAATCTAGACAACCAACAATGCTGTGATTAGCCAGAGTATCAATCTAATTCATCAGGCAGCCAATTTATTACGCAGTCAAATTATGATGCAGAAAATGCAGCAGAAAAAACAGGAATGGAAACAGAAATACCCAGGTTTAATAAATCTGAAAAGAGAGGATTGAAAACCTACAAATGAATTGTTCACTTATATCTGCAGGAGTGAAATATCCAGTTTGATATCATAAGAAGGAATAATTTTATCGATGCGATGGATGGTTGCCCTCTTATAAGAATCTGAAGTTACTGCAACTAAAGGCAAAAAGCGGAGACCAACAAGAGGTTTGTGTCTTAGTCTTTAAGGAGGAAAAATTACATTGATACATGATAAATGAATCGGTGAAACTTAAGATATGAACCTAAATACAGCAAGGTTATATATCATGCTTTAAAAATCAAGCACAGAAGAAAATTTTTTCATATGTGTGGATTAGAACGTTTACTTTGCTAACCTGTGTTGCTTATTCAACAATTTTGTTTACCATGAACCTACTTAGAAGTCATTTCTATGAAGAAACATACCCCCTGGCGCTGCAAAACACTCGTGGCTGCATCCTCCATTCATCGATCTACATTGGTAATATTTGCAACCGGGTCCTTCATCATCTCCCCCATCGCAGTCCTTTCTTCCATCGCAAAGTTTTCTTAGGTCAATGCACTTGGATTCATTTGCACAAGCCCATTTGCTTCCACGAGCACACTCTGCCTTCTTCGAAACGCGGCCTGCAAAAAACAGTCAATGGCTTACAGCAAAAAGAAAAAGAAGAAAGCGAACACGTAAATAGAACTGAAGAGAAGACCGATCAAAACAAACTTCAATCTTTAAATTTACATCGAAGCTAGTTAACTGAAAAACAGCTGCCAACGAGCAAATCCTACTGCCTATTGCAGTAGCAAAGACCAGAGCTATAGAATAAATGTTGTGACCTAGGCTAGATGACATCTCAGTCAAGATAGCTACACTGAAAATAATTCTGTAATATCTCACCACAATCGTTTTCATCTGAACCATCACTACAATCCTTGACACCATCGCACTTCCATTTAAACGGCAAACAATATCCATTAGAGCATTGGAATGTATCGGAGCCCGTGCAATTGGTTACTTTACAAAGTCCAGACTCATCCGAATGGTCTCCGCAATCATCGTAAAAGTCGCAAACAAAATCTTTGTTGATACAAAGACCACTTCGACAAGTGAACTCTGTTTCGTTAAAGCACTTTCTGCATTTTCCATCAGCACAAACACCTAAAGACAAATTAGCGGTCATGAATCTTTGCCCTGTGATACCCGTTCGAGTATGTAAAACCATTCAAAAATACCTGAAAATTGGTACAAAAATTGCTAAACTTCGTCAACCAAATGCTTTAAAAAAAAATATTCAAACAAAATATTACCGCAATTCATTTCATCAGAGCCATCACCACAATCATCGTCACCATCGCAAAGATGTTTCTTGTCAATACATTTCGAATTTTTGCAACCAAACTTTCCAATATCAGTGCAATTCTGCTGCGCACATTCGATTTCGTCAGTATTCTCAGGGCAGTCAGGTTCACCATCGCATCTCCACGTTCTTGATATACATTTTGACTGATCACAGGCAAAATAAGTGGAAGAGCAAGTCCTTTGAACTGAATATAAAAAACTAGATCAAACAAGAAATTTCTTGGGAACGATGTTGATAACAACAAGAAATGGAGTAAGAAGGCATCGCGAAGAAAGGAACAGCAGCTTTTCTAGCTCGTGTGCAAAAGTCAAGTAAAATTTGAGCACAATTGTTACAAGACTGCAAACAACTAGATAAGACAAAAACGAATAAAAAAGCAGAGTAATGCAAAAGAAAATTGAGATTCATACTGCAAGAGCGTTCGTCGCTCCAGTCACCGCAATCGTTGTCTCCATCACAGGTCCAGCGTCGCTGGATACACTTCCCTTTGTCGCAAGTAAATTGTAAAGATGTGCAGTTACGCTGCGACTGCGAACAGTTCTTTTCGTCACTTCCATCAGTGCAGTCACTTTCACCATCGCATCTCCAGGACGCCGGGATGCAACGATTTGTTCCACACGTGAAACTGCCTGGATCGCAAGTGACAGTTTCTATCGAAGATGAGAAGGAAACAGAAATTGAGATAAACATACAAAATCAGGAAAAGGACACAAAAAATTAAGAACCTTTCGGAAATAATGAAGAGATTGTTTGATAAATTATATAACTTTAATTCGGCTTCAATGTTAGGATACTGGTTACCCGACACGTTGGCTACGGAGACAAAAAAGTTAATGAAACCTACTACAAGCTTCTTCAGTCTCATCGCTGCCATCTTTGCAATCCCGGTCGCCATCGCAGCGCCATCTGCTTGTGATGCACACACCATTGGCACACTCAAAGTCACGTCCACATCTCGGCTTTGGCTGTACCGCTCCGCTCTCTAAAAAAGATTTTACAAACTCCAGAAAAGGTCTACGAGTGCTTCAGATTGGTGAAATTTTGTGTGGATTAAAAGCATTCTCAAAATATTTTAATTGCGTGTAATACTTTATCCAAACAATCACAATATAATTAGCGAATAAAATTACTACAAAAATAGACTTTTGAAGCACATTTTAGATACTAATATTAAAAATCAGATAAATGAAATGTAATGTTGAGACTAGCACGGAAAGACTAAACAAGATTCTTATTCGTTATCAAGGGTTCCAAGTAATCCTGACAAATGACGCTAGAGAATCTAAGAAGCGTTTTTAAAGGAAAGCAATGGAGTAACAGTACTTGTCTCCCAGTACGAAAAAACAAGAAAAATATATGAATGTGTAGGGATAATATAACTTTGCAATTAACTCTGATAGTAGTCTTACCCGTGCAGCTTTGGTTGTCTTTGCTAAGGGTAAAATTATTGCCGCATGCACATATGAACCCGCCAGGCTTCGCCAAACAAAGTTGTTCACAAGGGTTCGAAAAACAACTGTTGTTTCCTATAGGTGACAGAAAATTGAGTAAGATAATATTGACAATACAAAAAGCAATCTATGAAATAAATCAGTTGATGCTTGCTTTAAGAAATTACCATTTATACATAGCGCATCTTTATTCTAAAGCCTTCACAATGGAAAAACTTTAACTTGACTTACATGGTAAATTGTCTATACTTCCATTTATAAAGTACACAGATTACATTATGCTAAAATAACGAAATTAATTCTTCAACGAAAAGGAACTTCCGCAACTATACCTGTTTGCATTTCTCTATCATATACTTGTACCTCCATTAGTCCTACGAGTCCATCACGCAAAATGTCTATTTGCGAAACATTTTTCCTTAAAACTGAATAAATTTTGCTATCCTGCCAATCAGAGAAGAAAATTCTCTCATGGTGTATTGCCAAACCAAACGGATGCCTAAGTCCAGAGAGTATAACTGTCCGATCAGAGCCATCAAATCTCATCTTCTCAATCACGTTAATCCTTGCATCTGACCAGTAAACATAGTCCTCCTTGAAATCAATAGCAAGACCATTTGGCCACCCAATATTTGTTCCATTTACCAGAATCGTATGATTTGAGCCATCCATTAGAGATTTTCCAATTTTTGCTGGCTGAGCCCAATCAGTATAAAACAGGAGCCTTAACAGAAGCATAACAAAAATAATCAAAGCTAAGAAAGAAAAAAAAGGAATAACTTTTTACACATTAATACCAAATGGAGTATTCACACAGAAAGGCTATAATGCATTCCATTCTGTTTAAAATGAAGATGCATCGTATAAAATAAAAACAGTATAGTTTTGTTAGCTTGTGCCTCAATCCAGAAACGCATGCCTTGGTTATTCCACTGTTTATTATTCAGGTAAATTACAAAACTTTAGTCAATTAAAGTCTTTTCAAACTTACGTAATGGCAGATGAACATTAGAAAGTAACTTCGGGAACCAGGCGAACTCTGTTAAAATCTAATCGCATTATTAAAGGTCAAACGTCTTAGAAGTATCAAAATCAAACCTATTTAAACAGTGGCTCTTTCGTATTTAACAAACTATACAAACCTTGAGAAATTTGCTAATGGATTCAACATGCGTAAAATAAGTTTCAATGCAACACTGTTCTGCGCTATAACTCTATCTTAAAGACTTTTGCTTTATAAAACTGCGTGAGAATTAGGGATACAACAGAGGTCCTAACACGGAAAATAACACACACTGTAAATGTAAAAAAATGTTCTGAGGAACACACAAAACTACAGCCTCTAAGACATAAATGTACAGCATCAACCATGAAAAGAAATCATGACGAAACATATAGCTTAATGTAAAAAATAAAGGTGAAGCAGAAAAAGTATACCCCTTAACAGGATGGACTGATATGGCTCTTGGGCTTTTCAACCCATCTGTAATTAATGTCTTTCTGTAATTTCCGTTTAATTTAGCAACAGCTATTTCTGGTTTCCCCAGCAATTTTGCATCGGTCCAGTAAATATTTCTTCCGATCCAATCAACAGATATTCCATCTGGATTCTCTAAGTCATTAGAAATAATAAAATTTTGAACGGAGGATCCATCTTTAGGCGCAAATCCAATTTTCCCAAGTTTTACGTCAGTGAAATAAATGTTTCCTTCCTTTACATCGAAGTCAACGCCAACTACATTGTTCATACCGAGAATTGGAACGGAAACGTCGCGGGGTTCATCTGGATCTAACGATATTCCACGCAGCTCCGTGCTCCTGGCGTACAGCAAAAACACATCTATCGGCTCACATGTTCTGTTGTCACTGGTGAGACGAAACCTATAATTGCAAAGACAAGAAGGCTTCTGACGTGGAGCAATGACACACAAGTGCTGACAACCACCATTTTGTATCTCGCATGGATTTGGCGCAATGGGTTGACGTGATATATGATAGGTGTGAATGTCCATCGGGTGTGTTAAGTTTCCTTTTAATAAAACTTTATCCTTCCTTTTCGCATGTGTCTCTGTTTTACTCACCATAATGATTCCTTTGCTTGTCCAGTCCGTGTAATACAAATAATTTTCGAATAATGTAAGGGCAAATGGGTGTTTGAGGCCCTCGACTACCCGCCGTCTTTGACCGCCAAAGTAGTTCACTGCTCCTATGTAATCAAAACGAGCATCTGCCCAGTATACAGTTCGGGTAGCGTAATCGATTGTAAGAGCATTAGGCCAGCCTAGCTTTTCTTTAACGATTGTCTGCCGGTGCGTTCCATCTAGCCAAGCACGCTCGATGCGTGGGTTGGAGCCCCAGTCAGAGATAAAAATCAAACTGTCAAAAAAAAAATAAAAACATAGAATAGAAAAGAAATCAACAATGTAGCATAAAAAAGGAATCAAAAGAGAACAACTGGGAAAAGCAACTGATTATCCATTTTTGCTGCTGAGCAAAATTTTGTATTAAATGATACTGGATAAGACATGTTAGCAGTAACATTAAATTCGTTTTGAATTTGATAAAAATATTACAAAGTTTTTTAAAACCTCTTCAAAGGTGGCTGTGCACCTCTAAAGGCGTAAAGGCAAATTGATCTCAAATTACAAATTAAAATTATATTCAAATTACCGATACACAGATCTTTACCTTAATATCAAGGATGGTTATTTATAATTTTTCTATAGAAAAGGCTTCTATTCGAAAGCTATGGAAATCTATGAACCTTGATTGCATATGTGTAAGAAGGGAGAACCGCAGGATAGGCTGTCCGCCGGATTCTGTGAATCTTGCAATGAGTATTAATACGAAAGATGTTCAGGAACAAAGGAATACGACGACGAGAATTCAATGCAGTGAGATGAATTTTCAAAATAACTTAATTGCATACCCGTCTCTAGGATCTATTGCCATGCCACGTGGACTTCCAAGGCCACTAGATATCAAGGAACTTCGGTAAGTACCATTCGCGTTACAAACATTAATCATCCTGGCAGCACTTTCAGCAAAGTAAATATTCCCAGTTATCCAGTCTACTGCCATACCGTCCGGGACTGCAAGACCGGTTGAGACCACTACCTTGGCCTACAGAAGATACAGAATTACAACATACTGAGAAAATCAATTTATATAACGAAGATGTTACAGTTACGGGAAAACATACAAGATAACTAATATCAAACGAATTTACTTGCCTCAGAAATAGTTGTTTTACTTGCAAAGTGGGTAATATAAATCTTGTTTTCGGTGACGTCACTGAAGTAGACCTTGCCCGAACGAATATCGAAGTCTAGGGCAACTATGCGTGTGAGATTTGAGATGAAGCTCTCAGATTTGCCAGTGTTTATTTCATATCGATTTATAGTTTTGATGTCAGCAAATATCAGTTCTGGTCCCATGTTCGCTATGAAATTGAAAAAGGTAGTGAATTAGCCTTATTGTACAAGAAATGATGCATTTATAGCGAATAGCATAATAGCAACATGACCTTCTTTGACCTAAATGAAACTATTTTGAGTAATACACCATCACCTGCAGACAATTTCTGTAAAATCTCAATCAAACATAAAACTAGAAAATGATAAAATACACGGAGCACTAAAGAACGGAGTAAAGATGTTCATTGCAAACGAGGTATGAAGAAATAGAAAATGGCGGCAATGGCCAAAAACATCATGCTTATTCGAATACTTACTGTCAAAACGACATTTATGAGGCGGTTCAAAGATATATCCTCTAGCGCAACTGCATTTGAAACTGCCTGGTGTATTAACACATCTTTGATCACACTTTGCACTAAATTCACGGCATTCATCTACATCTACAACAAAATGAGACTTACGTTTATAAAAGCAAACTTGCACTCTCAAAAACATTCTGCAAAAGGAGTCCAACGGCAGATCAGTTCAGTGCTTATATTGAAAATATTGTGCTATGAGCTATAAAAAAAATTACTTTTGATGAAGAGGTACTTTCCAACAAAACCGAAAAAATACCCTTTCCACACGGTTCTGAATAAATTAAAAATTGCTGTTTACCGGTGTTGTCATACAGTGCCTGATGCCTATTTGGGAGAGTGCTATACGCTTTAACTGTGCAGAACAATAAGATTCTAAGTTGCATTTTTTGAATTTGCTACAGCTGTATTTAAAAACTTTCGTTGCAACTCTAAATTTAACGCTTAATGCGACCACCAGGAAAAAGGCAAGTTCTTTGTTGTAGTAAATGTGTCTCAATATGCTAATTGTAATGACCGCAGAGTTGTAATCTATTTCCATGCTTCCTGTTGGTATCGTTCTATCTAAGTTTTACGAGTATATTTATATATGTTTATGCAAAGAAGGATAGCAGCAGCGTAAAGCATCAAACCTTGACATGTCTTTCCATCCTTCCGTAACCGGAAACCAGGCTGGCAATAACAAAGTGGAACACCTCGTGGAGTTGGTTGACAACGATATTCACAACCGCTTGTTCGGCAGTTTACAACCACTACAATGAACATCAACGTTAAATAATGATTATTGAGGTTAGAAAAAAAGCCTCTGGTATAAACGATTCTCATCCATATAGAAAACAACATCTGACTACCTCAAGGACTCAAGATTAGACGCTTACTATTATGTGCAAAGTTATTTGCTTCTATCATTAAATAGGCATTGTGGTTAATAATGAGACCTTGTGTGATTTAGATGCCAATTTATGAATTTTTGAAAATATCAATATAGATGCTAATTTATGAACTTTTGCAAGTTTGGATTGTTAAAAAGGAACTTTGCAAAGGAATAACAAATCTTTTTTGCAAATCTACATGTCAAAGCTGAAGACTTTCAAGAAAATCGACTATGAACCCTTGAATAAAAAAGTAGAAATAAAGTTTACAAACAGCAGCCAATTCCTTCATCAGACAGGTCGCCACAATCGTTTTCAGAATTGCAAATCTTCTCCACAGGAATGCATTTGGAAGAGCCAATACATTTCCAATGCCCGACTGGACAAGCTGGCACGGAGGCTAAAACAGAAACCAGCAAGATTAGATGCAGCTCGTACAGGTTTACTTATCGAAACAAAATAGAATTGATAACTACACAAGACACATTACTGAAATCAAATTCAATTCAATTACGTTAGTTTAAACTATTTTCAAAACTTGCAACCTGAAAATACAATTTAATTTGCACTATATAGGACACAGCAAAAGCAAAGCTTATTGGCTTGGGCGGCTAAAAACTACAAGTTTGCAGCTTTTTTGCTCGTGAAATGATTATGAAATGGAAGGAGCAACTTGCAAATAACAGTGTGACACTACAAAGTACGAACGTCTATGCTTAACAATAATACACACAAATAATTCAATATTGCACTTTTGCTTATAACTATGATATACAATATTTAAAATTGATATTATTGTGTTTATTTTCATTTGAAACAAAATTATTTTGAGGGTTTGGGCAAGTCATTGTGCTTGCAACACACATAATGCATGCAGTAAGTCAAACAGGTGTAGAGAATGTTTGCTTCTTTGTTTAAATTGGAAATATTGGTGGGTGAATGGACGCTTGTCTTTGCTAAAACTAGCGACACTTTTTGTGCATGCGTAGTAGGGTTTTAGTTCAACAATAATACGGCCAAACATTGGTATTGGCCATAGAAACATAAGGTTGAAACACTGCCAATTTATACGAGTAAAATCGAACATAATTAAGAGTAGGCAGTTTCAATCTGCACGTTAAATTTAATTTTTAAAATATTGCAGTGTCATATTAGGAAGCTGTACATAAAGTTAAGGAAGTAAACCTCCATGTGACGTCATGCTGGGTCTACTATGAGTCAGCCTAGACAGGAAAGCAGGGTGTTTGTACAGGAAAACCAAGAAATCTTATTGTCTTATTTGCCTGGTAAGCACGATTTCCATGCATACCATTACTTGATAGCAGTTTAAAAAATATTGGAAAAAGATTTCTTCAATTTTTGAAAAGAGTATCTTGATCATGTTACTCTGTACTCTGTATCTCAATTAGCTGTTACTCTGTACACTTTAAGGCAGCAGTGTACTATGGAAAGAACTAGCAGAAGTATAATTAAGCATTCTTTCGATATAAAATAGCGAACGCTAGAACAAATCAAAGCAATTCCCTGTTGAGCGTACCAATATGATCCTTGCAATTAACGTTTTGGCCATCAAAACCCCTTTGAGAGAAACGGGGACATAATTTTCATTGATTTTGAATGAAGAACTACAAAAAATTTTTCCCATTAGCATGGAGGAAAAATTTGAAGAATTGAACATGTTCTTTACCAACTTGCTTGAATTTTTGTTTTTGAAATGTCTGAAGAAGCTTTGCTTATAGCTTTTGCTAAATCTCTGTGTAAACTCAAACGATCGGGAAGGCTACGTTTTCTTCATGTTTGACTTCCAATTTTGTCTTACGGAACATCGTTTTGCATTCTTTGCTTTGATCTAGCATTTTGGATTTTGCAACTGTGAAACATCCCGCATAAACAATTTAACATATATTTAATGAGCTATCGAAATAAAGAAAGTTCAGTAGTTAATGTCAACAAATGCTTTTTTCAAAAGTTTAACTAGTTCGATTGATCATTCTTGACATGAACTGAACGCGGGATTAAACAGACTAAGCAAACCACAGGAGAAAGACAAGCCTTGAATGTTGGCTATAGAGTTGTTCATTGTATACCGCCCCTATAAAAAGTCAGCTGCAAATACATCATTTCATTCATTGCAGAGGTATAATCAATATTTTCATTACATTCATAGTATTAAAACAGAGCATAGAAAACGCTTACTTGAGGCGACCAAATACAGTTGCTTTTAATTTTTTGATCAATAAAAGGGATGTTCCTTATAATATTAAGGTTGGTCTATGTACAACTGAAACAGCATGCCAACCACCCCAGTAGATGCAGAAATTAGGAAAAAATTACAATATAATTAGCAACGATAAACAGAGATGAACTCAAAACAGATTCACGACTAAACGTAATTTGATTCGTTGACTGTACAGCATTGGGTTCACCTGTCAAGACAGCTGGCCAATCGGTTATTTATTTTCCTTTACAACCATAATGAGAAAGAAAACAACGAGGCTTACCACAATTTTCTTCATCAGAACCATCTCCACAGTCATTGTCACCATCACAATGCCACTGTTTGCTAACACATTTGCCATTCCTGCACTTGAACTGCAACATTAAATCACATTTTGGTTCTGCAAAGAATTAGCATCCAGTCAAACATAGAAAAACACAAACAAAATTGTGAAGCGTAAGGTTTCGATGTGTACTCTACTTAATCGAAATAAATCTACCTAATTATTAACGAAAGCATTCAAAATTCAACTAAATTTGCATTTCTGTTTTCGATCACTAGTTCCTTGCTCTTCACAACAATCCATTTTAGTCATTCTGATTAAAAGATAGTATTGGCCAAATAGGTAGGAACACTCACTGCATGAAACAACTTCGTCACTTCCATCTGTGCAATCAACTTCTCCATCACAAACAAAACTCTTTTTGATGCAGGCACCATTATGGCATTTAAACTCCCCTTCCTGGCATTTCTGTCGACTTGCTTGGGTGTTTACTGAAAATGAAAACTTAATTGGTTCTGACTGCTAGCTGGAGATGAGAAAAATAATCGAAATGTTATGAACAAGTTCTCTCAAGAAGAACAGTGGCGGAAATTCAGGCTTTCATTTGGGGGGGCCCAGGCCTACGATTTTCCGACAAGATAACATCACGGACCATGTATAATTTTAAAGAAACTGCATATTTTGATAAAAATAGTTGATTTTTTGACGGGACTCTTTAGAAATCTTGGCTCACCACGCCATAATTAAGTAGCAAGAAGAACAATCCATTTATGATTTTTGATATCAAGATTGATATCTCATCTAAGACAATTGATGATACAAGAGGTAGACCGATAACACTTTTGACAAGTCGTACGTTCATTTTATGCATTTTATCTTGTTTTCGTCAGTGAGAAATACGTTTGAAAATAACTTTTGTTCAGAAGAATCAGATAGAAATTTTGGCTGATCTTTACGGAATTGAAATTAAATACACAATTCACAAGCAGTTTTGATTTTGGTCATGTATTGTTTGATTGATTATTTGGTAATGGCTAATATTTTATCAGCTATGCTATGTTTAAATTTTGCAAAAAGGGCACAGAGAGGTTATAAAGGCCCCTGGGGTAAAAAAGGAAACGTGGATCACCTGCGAGCGAAGCGAGCAGAAAATTTCGCAATTACGCCCCTTATTTTAGCTTAAAATTCCTTTCCAGAATGTTTTCTTGGAGTAATTTCGACACGTTAAACGGTTGTCAATTATCCGACGAAAGCCCGAAATTTTCCGACGACGTCGCTGATTGGGGGGGCCCGAGCCCCCCAAACCCCCATAATTTCCGCCACTGAAGAAGAACACTAAGTGCTAACTTTCTCATTTTGAGTCTTACACGGTACCCAGATGTTACTAATTTGAAGCCCTGAAAAATCACATTAGTGGGCTCAAAAAAACATGCAAAGAGCTATCATCCCGTCATTTAAAATTTGACTTTGCAGTATGAGAAACCTACGGAGCGATCCTAAATCACACAAAGTGCTCAAAAACTCAAGAAACTCAATTTAGCCAAGAATGATAAGAAAACTTGAGAACAACCCCCAAGCTTGAGAACAATTCTGAATAAAGAATAAGCCTAGCATTAAAAAAGTTGCAGTGTGCAGCGTGTCTTTTGTGCACTTTGGATCCTAAAATAAAAAAATGATTTTCAGGCTAAGGTGACGCTTAGATTATGCCCAATTTTGTTGACAAATTTGAGCCATTGGTGCTGATTAAGATGGCACGTATGGTGATTATGAAAGCTTATAGTAGTACTATATAAAACGACAAATTACATATTTACAAATATATAAACACTTACAGCAACCCTTTTCATCTGAACCATCAGGACAGTCGCTATCTCCATCACACCTCCATCTATTCAAAATACATTTCCCTGTTCCACATGTGAAATACGAATGGGCACATGTGTGATTTCCTGAATAAAAAATTGTCATTGGAGAACTCATGTAACAAATGTGGAAATGAATACATCAATATTTAAATGAAAAACATGTTTTTTACTGCCTAGTCTGCTTGTAACTGCTAAATGAGGAAGTGTGATGGCAGTTTAGCAGGTAAGTTTGAAAAGGATTTGTTAATCTTTGGCTGCTAGCTGTGCCATCATCTTCAGTTGTAAACAAAGTATTTGTGGGTAAAACAAAGGTCACTGTTTTAGAAAAAATTCTTCAATAGCAATTATGGTTTAATTTGCAGACCTCCATTTTTTCACAAGTACTTGTTATTTCATTTTATGTTTCGAATAGAAAAGACCAGTATGGATGTTGCGTTTCTTGCAGGCAAAACACCTTATTGGGAAGGCAGCCATTAGTTGGCACAAATATCCAGGGGAGGAAGAATGCGTCAAATGAAATCAATAATGTAACTGAGTAAGAGATAACAGTAGCAGGAAAATTTGACAATAACATACTACAGTTGTGTTCATCTGATCCGTCTTTGCAGTCTTCTTCACCATCACATCTCCACCACAAGGATATACAAGCAGTTGAGCCACTTTTGCATTTGAATCTACTCTTACCACATTCAACATCATCTAAAATTTACAGACATAAAATTTGATATAAAAAATAACCAATAAAAATCATCACTAAAACTTGAGATAGAGCAGAATTCTGTATAAACAGATCAATGGAAACAAGCGTGTAACTTTATCCAAACATCTAGCATGTCCAAAGCATGCCTCCAGTAGAGTACCTATGCCTTGCAAAATTTAGAATTGAAGCAGGACATTTTTGTAGAGAATTTTTCCGGTATACTTTTCAAGGAAATTTGAATTGTCTAAATGAAATATCATCCAACGTAAAATCATGGCATTTAAAAATGTTATCCTTCCTGTGACCGGACAGAAATTACCAATAACTTTCCTGCAAGAATGGGAAGATAAACAAAGAAAAGGTTGGGTTCAAGAAACCACAATGGTATGTCACCAGTTTTATGTAGATGAAAGACAAAGGCAATTTAACAACCATTTCAAAATCAGTTTCTGTTTCGATGACTGAAAATCATTCTTTATTCATGAATGCCCAAATTGAACTAGAAAGGAGCCTAAGCTATAACATTAACTTCCAAACTGGTGATAATATTTGCAATCAGAATACTTAAGTTTGCTAGAACTCTGTTGAAAACAGTACAAATGCAAATAAAATTGGGGTAGCTGTTATCTTTGGTCAATGGGGGCAGACATAAAAATAATCATCATTCGAAAATGAGCCTGAAAAGATTGATCATATGATGTCTTCTTATCCATGGAAGCTTGGAACAAATCTTTTTTAAAAGATATAGGTCAGAACACCAAGAAGAAATCAATAACAAAAAGCATAAGAGAAAATTTGCTTTAATCAGCAGAAATTACTGTGTTATGCAATATATAGTAGATGTCTCGGTAGCATCAACATTGTGAGAATTTTCAAGAATTCTGCAAATTGTAACAAAGATTCTTTAAGCTAAATGAAAAACTGTAAACCTTTTGCAAATAAGAATTTTTAAAATATTCTCAAGGGTTCTTAGATAGAAAAACCATTTCAATTTATCATGTTCATTTCTTTTGATAAACATAAGTGTACACCATTAAAAACTTCCTGCAGAACTGTATTGATGAAAAATGTAATGCAACGGCCTGAAGACATGGCTGTGTGAGTTTTCATGCCCTGCTTATATACAACTTATATCTTTTTGGTGGATAGCAGAGAAAAGTCAAGATTTTCAGGCTCTTCTGGTTAATACAAATTTAGTCCTCTCAAACAAAAATCATCTTGCACTGCCTTTCTTACTAGTGTGCATTATGGAGGGTATCATTGAAAATGTTACCATGATTTTTATGAGTTGAGTTGATTTTTATGATTTAATCTTGGGCCTTATGCCTATAATGGCTTAGCCTGAAGGAGAGCACAACAAGTAAGGACCAAATATATATAAGGAAAAAATAGAGATGCTGAAGGATTCATGGCATAGGATTTGTGTAAAAATCAGCATATTGAATATTCACTTGAAGAAGCATAGAGAAGAATTGATAACAGAAAAAATGGGAGATGCAGGAACAAATAACCTCTCTATCTTGATAAGAAAATCCAGGGAATAATAACTATGAGTTGCATCAACAGAAATCGTTAGCTGTTAGTAAACATGGAAAAACTCCAAAGAGCAGTAGGCAAAGTTCATAATGCATCAATTAGACCAAAGCTGGTGTGTTGTTAGGAAAAAAGTTTTGAATATGGTAAAAAAAGCAATTAGAAGAGATAAAGACAAGGCCTTTGGAAAGAAGGGGTTCCAGAGACAGATAGAAGAAGACCAAGATAAATATCTAGCGAAGAAGCATTGAGCTTATCAGGAACCAATGTACTGGATCAAGAAGCAAACCAAAAGAAACAATTTTTAAATATAATGAAGAAACATACCACATCCAATCTCATCACTTCCATCTGCACAATCTGCATGTCTATCACATCGCCATCTGGTTGGGATACACTTTGACTGGTTCAGACACCGAAACTGTGTTGTGGCACAAGACCTGCTGGCTGCCAAAAAGAAATAAATGCTGCATAAATTTATCATATATAAGAAAAAGCCCATTTGAGCGGCCTAGCACTAGCCCATTTTCTCTTGCACAACGGACCGCTTTAAAAATGATACCTATAATCGACAATGCTAGAAGCATCTGTAATATTTATCTGGATCTACAAGGTCCTGTTCTAAGATACTTTTGTGTAAAGTAATTCAAATGAAAACAAATTATTACAATGACCTTTAATGGGCTCCTAGAAAATTAAATATAAACTGCACCCAATATCAATGTGCTCCATTTATATCACAAATTAAGTATATCACAAAGGTCATATAATCATCATTGCAAGATGATCGCAAAAAGTTGGTCCAAGCCTTTTAAAAATGCTTTAACTGCCATGAAAATGTTTTAAGTGTTAATGTAGTTCAAATTCTAAGTGCCTATAGTATTTCTAAACATTTCAGTTGCAATTAATTATCAAATGCATTTTTCTTTTGAGATTTAATTCAGCTTGCTTCTTTTTCCTTTGTTTTGATACTATAATATCTGATGGCTTTGAATCGTCTATGCCACTAGCTTGGGTCACAAAAGATGATTAGAAATATGTTAATTGATGAGACAAGTATTCCTCATGACTTACTGTTTTGCACAAGTGATCAAAATCTTGTATGGTTCAGTTTGCACAAGTGCTGATGTAATCAAGAGTGATCACTTGCTTCAAACAGAAAGGCCTTGGGAAGCTACTTACAATTTATCTACTGTCTGTTCAACTGACTCATTATGCTCATTCTATATTCATTCAATCCAAATGAATTCTAAATTTGATTCAAAATTCTGTTAAAATTGTCTTATGTATGGCTAAGAAAGTTAACTAGGATGCCTTCCTCCTTCATGTGTTAACTACACAAATAAAATTCATCAGAAAATAGTAGTTTGTTACCCCTATTAAATTTGTACACTTACGTTCAAAAAGTATTGGGACACCCTTCGAAACTTCGAAGAAATTTTATGCAACAAATTCGGAAAGACTTTTTTAAAATCTTTCTCATTAAAAAAGTACGGCAGTTATTTCCATGAAATTTTCACAAGACATTGTTGATATTTTGAAGCCTTTTATGTACGCCAAAAAATTAAAAATACATCTACCATAAAATTTCTATAGGTCTCGAGACGAAAACATGGAAGCTCTGAAAACTCAAGAACTGAGTTAAGAGAAGCGCTTAAAAATTGCTTTCTACTATAATAAAGTAAATGGATTTTGCGATATTGCATCAATTCTCGGCTGCTCAATGAGTGCAGCTTTTCTTGTGTGTAAAAAGTTTTTCCGTACAAGAACAGAAAAAAATTTACCAAGGGTTTGCAGACCAAAGAAGTTTACGATGCCTAGGGACGACAGGTCTTTACTGAGGGAACTGGAAGTAATAGGTTTGAATCCTTACTAGATATTATGTTGTCGTATAAAAGGAAGCTAATTTTTGGAACATAAGCAAAAACATGGCTATAGAAGTCATGAAAAATACAAATTTTCCAGCGTTATAAGAAGAAAATGCTCTCTCAAAGCAAAAATTACTCATCGACGATGAGTACAATGGCTTTTCCTTTAATGTTACGCAATTTTAAAAGTATCTTGAATAAATGCAATAATTTAATAAATTTGTAGCATTTTCGTCGATGAAGTAAATTTTTTTTGAAGCTTAAAAGTTTGATTTTATAATTTCTTCAATAATTTTTTTTGTTATGCAAAGGTGAAATTAAAAAGTTGTATTTGTTTGGACAGCTCTAAAATTTTGGAAGGTCATGTGACTTTGCCATTGTTAGGCCATTCAGCCCTTCTGCATATTTTGCTGTTATAATCAGGAAAATCGAAAGAATCCTGTGTTTTCTTGGTTATTCTTCATAAGTTGAAGCATTTTGTTAACTTTTTATTCCATTTTGGGGAAACTTGGGCCTAGATTATTTGTATAAAGACTTGCCAAATCTGAAAAAGTTTCCGTTGCAAAACCAAATCCAACGCAACGCCATAGTTCGTTTATCGAATTCGTCCCAATTCTTTTTGAACGTAAGTGTAGTTTTATTAATTCCCATTGCGTTTGTGTTATTGTCATTTGTTACCATACTGGTGAATCATTCGAGGTAGTATCTGGTAAGATAATTGTATTTTACCAGGTTGTTGATTAAACTTGGTCTAGATTTTATTTGCAGTCTACAGACCTGTATGTTCAAAGAACCAAATTTTCCATTCAAATAGCCCACCTGAATTTTCCACGGAGGACAAACATTAAGTACCGTATCAAACAATAAATTCACAGAAAATATAAAAAATAAAGGTAAAATTTGACATGTAGCTTTAGCATGAAATATTTGTTTTTGGCTACCAGCATTAGAAATACCAGTTTACATATCAAGTATTCTTACAGAAACACAGGAAATTGTATGGCATTCTCAATTGACAGTGAAGCATTACAAAGAAATACTGACCACATAACAGGGGTTCTTCATCACTTCCATCATCACAGTCATTCTCTCCATCACAGACCCAGCTTCGGGAAATACATCGTGCACTTTTTTTGCATTCAAACTGTTCCCTTGGACAGCTTGAAAGTTCTAGAAATGTAAAATAGATTCACTCATGTCATCTTGTTTTATTTCATCAATTCCTAGATAATCATTTTGGCATAAAATGGATTCTCAATAATCTTACTTGGCTGATGAATTTCTAATGTCTTCAACAAACATTGAAATTACATGGAAAATAGGCAAACACCAAATTAATCCCTGTCAGACCCACTTCTGGATATTGAAATCTGGGTCTACTTTAAAAACAAATCCAAGGGTATGTTAGAAATTATGGTGAAAATTAAAATAAAAATTTATTCTGTCAGATATTTTTAAAATTCCAGCAAGAGTAGCACTTTATTAATGTCAAAAGAAAAAAAAACTGGCCCCATCAAACTCCTCCTGCAAATCACCATGTGCAGCAAACGGTGACAATCAAACTTTAACAACGTGGGCTACCAAGTGACATGAACATCTGTACATGTTTCGTGCTTGATTTTCAGGCAGGCAGTCGCAACTAGCGGTAACATTTTTGCAAAAGATTGCATTTAACTTGCCTTTTAATTCAAATGAAAACAAAAGACGTCATCGCTGACCTTTTGGAAAACCATCAAAAGGCATAATGTGTGGTAAAAGTAAGTAGGAAGGCAAAGCTTCACCTCAAAGATTTCCTTGCCATTTAAGGACCGTAATTTCTAGCAATTTGAGATTGCAGAAAAGTATAGTCCATTTGCTTTTCTAAATTGAGATGGCTAAACGTCAAATTTTCATGCCTCTGTGACTTGTAATGGGGAACCAATTATAATCATTTTCTTTTAGAGTCTCCATTCTAGGACCTCGTGTCTTCTTTAGGCCGGTGACTTTACCTCGTTGAACAAGAGATTCCTACGGCTTCAATTTATGGCGCGGAAGATTTGGAGCTAGGAAGTTGAACAATAGAACTATCACGCCTCCATTTTCGAGGTGAGAAGTGCCTCTATATAGCGAAATAAAATCGGTCGTACTATTATCTATAATGACTCCACGACATGCCAGATACAGAGGGTCGTGGACAGGTTAAGTCTTCGCCAAATCCAGACATTAGTTTATTCTGACTATCAAGATATCATGTTACATTGCCTTCTTATAATCACATACCTTTCCTACCGGCTTCTCCAAACTGGGCTTCAACTCTAACCAGTACCAAAAGCAATCCACAAACAGCAAAATTTGTGATGCCCTTGATAAGATTCATTTGATCAGAAATCTTAACAAGCCTTTGGTGAGTTTGCTTTTACTTACAAAGTAGCTACACTCAAGAGGCTGTTGGAAAAGTGGTAAAAAAGTCGCATAACATAACTTCATGCACCACCTTTTACGTAACATTCCCCCAAAAAATAACAAAAAATCTCCTTGGAGGACTCGGGCGATCTCCCTAGTGATCCCTCTTAGCGCCCCTGTGACGGAATTTGCCGTAATCTACAATCTTTTATTTAGAAATAATATAATATATTACACTAGAAAGCGCAATACAAAACAAAGTGTCATTTTCGATGGTGTTGTGGCTGAGACTGCTGCCTTTCTCTCTCAGACAAATCTGCTTGCCCTCCTTCAATTTTTGAAATTTCGTCAACCCCTGTCTACTTCCTTGGGCTATCCAACATTTTTGTTGCCCCGTCTTTTGGAGAACGGAGGTGCAAAATGCCTGGGTGTTATTCTTCCGGAAAGCGCCCTGGAATAAAACCAACGTTTCGGGATCGTGGCGGTGGGATTCATTTCTTTCTCTGGCATTGGGGGCATTTATTGCTCGGCTGTTGACAGGACTAAAGGTAATAACAGCACATTTTGAGGCTTTTAAACTGCCGATTCAGCTTTAAAACCAAGAAAACGAGTAAGTTTGTCGAAATCAACAAATGATTATATAAAAGTATAGACTGATGTGTCAATTTTTGTGACCTTAGTGTGACACTTTAAGCTTTTAAAAGTACATAATGCAAAGAATTTAGATAGGCGAAGAAATAGCATTCACACTCCAAATATTACATACTTTGGTGGGTAGCGATTGGTTAATAGAACAGTCAATCACACTTCAATCTGTTTTATGTCAAAAACTTATCTTCAAACCTGAAAAAACTGACAGTTTCCGGCTTTAAGGAGAGACGTGTGTAGAAAATTTGGAATAATTCTATTTCATTTTAAAAAAATTAAAGTAAACTATAAAAATTCACAAAAGGAAAAACATTTTTCTTAATTTGTAGTTTGTACAACTATCCATGTTTTTTAATAACAAAATATTTCACTCAACGATTCTTTAAACGATACTCAATAACACGAAGAAAAAACTTTGCTAGTTTACATAATTATCTTTCTATTTAGCTAAAAACCTCTCGAGAAATCAAACGAACTACTACAAAGCTAAGTTGTGTTGTGGTGGATACTGACCAAGTTGGACGCCTAAAAATGAATGGATTTAAATAGAGTTTCTGTTGAATAAAATTCAAACGATCAGTATATCTACTCAAAACTTGTTTTCTTTCAAGAAAGTCCTTACTCGAGGATGTGAAGGCACACAACCCCAGTTGTCGATTCCATCCCAAGCTCGGTCATTGTTAGTATGCTATCAAACGGCTGCCTTCCAGCGTGTTGAGGTCCTTTAGCATGATACCCTGTTGATACAAAAAACAATAATCAGATACAATGCCTAAGACTTAACAAAAATACCCCAATTCATTCAAATATCTATCCTGCTGAGCAAGAAACAGCTATTTGTATCCCTAATAAGTCAGTTTTCATCTTATAGGAAGTGCACGACAAGTAATATGTTTATGTTTTATTAGTAAGAAAATTGTTTCGAAAATCAGCTGTTGCTGGAAAGGTTGAGCTAACAAAATTATTGATTTGAAAAAATACCTCTTCACTCTCAAAAAGCGTTTTCTTTGCATGGCAATCCTCTATCATTCTTCGTCCCTTTGAAAGCAGTTCCTGAGCCTTGAATTCGAGAAGGGAAAGAATCATCTATGTAGAGACAGGGGTATACTTTGAAATGTTCATTGTTACATGGCTGGAGATTCATAAAAATTGAACTCAGAAAATTGAACTCAGAAAATTTAATAAAACATTGATAAGAATGACATTTTTATGTTTCAGGCTAAGTCATGCCATAATCTAGTTCTATGCAAGATAAAAGAAACATTTGTTTTTCTTTGTAATGAACTTATAAGTCTTACCTTATTCACATCTGTTTTCAAGCATCTGTAATAAAACATCGCTCTGTCACGAACGTCAATATTTGTTTCATCCTCTAAAAAGCCAAAAGGAAGTATTATTGTAAAATGCAACTACAAAAAAAGATTTAAAACGCGGATGTAACCGAGGTAATGCTTCTAGGAATGCATTTCTACAAACTTTTATAAGTGCGATCAGGAGCAGTCCCCTTTTCTCTGAGTCTTCCCAGTAGTTTCTGGTCAACTAATCCGAGCTATATCTTTCTAGATCGTCTCTTTCTACATAAATTTGAACATTCGTTTATGAGTGAAAGATTTCAACTGACGTGAAATCTTGGATCAAAATGCTCCATAAAGCACAAAAATGGATCGAAAATTGCTTACCGACCAAGTGACTAAAGATTCTTCCAAGGACATGTTGAAACTCAGGTGGCCGTTGAAAAAATAGTCTCACACCCGCATTAAGCAATGCAAGCTTTACTTCAGCAGTGTTCTCTTGATCGATGTTGTCTAGTAGCTTTTCTAATATGTAAGGACTATTTGAAATTCCCTGTAATGGTAATAGTTTGAAAATGTTTGAAAATATTGATAGCAATTTCGTTTCAAGTAACAATAAAAATTGATGCAAATTTTTTGAATAGATATAAGATGCTCCATAGCAAAGCAACAATAACTCGGAACCCGATTACTGCAAGCCTTTACCGTCGACAGAATTTAAGCATCCCTGTTGTCTAAAGAACTAAAACAATGTTCATGATACGCTTAGCAAAGAGGGTGTCATGAAATTTCACCAAGGAAAAAACTAAAAAAACAGGATGCATGGCAGACTTAAAACTCATCTACCTACACCCTCTAGATGGCCTACTGGGAGTGCTGTAATTTGGATACAGATGATTTACGGGCGGAGCCCCAGGCCTCTTTGATACATGCAAGATATTTTTATTTTTGACAGTCCCTAAACAAATGCACTTCTATAATTATTTCCTTAAAAACATTATTCACATACAACATTTAGCAATCTCTCATAAAGAATGAGAAATTTTATGAATACAATTCCTACAATGATGTTAACGAATTCACGCCCATTCTAAACACCGTGAAAAAATAATAATCCCACCCGAATGCTTAAAAGTGGATCTTCAAGAGAACAAGAAATTTCACAAAAACAGGAAACCAGCACATACCTCTCCAAATTCTCCAAGTATCCAAATTAGTGCAGCTTTGCCCGATTGATGGTCTGTCACTTTATCCCAGTAACTAATCATTTTTGCAGCTATATAATTTCCATGAATTTTCATTTTGGACAATATTTCTGCGCGAAAAGTAAACAGAAATCAAGGGTGGTACAAACTTGGCAGTGTATATATGAGGTATGTACGGAGTGCATATTAGTGTATATTAATTAGTGCATACATGAAGTGTAATTAGAAGTGTATATTAGTGTATATTAGTTAGTGTATATAATTTTTTTTATCAATCAAAACCTAAAGAGAAAACAACTAACTTTATTTGCACCATGCAGTGGGGAAGGACATATAGTCATCTGGTCACGACTGCAGATGGTGCTTACAATTCAACACAATTACAATAGTCAATAATAAGTTTGTCTCACATTAGATGTCGGAAAAAATCGGTCATAAAGATAAGTTCTGAACTGTCATTAGACAGTCCAGAATGCCCAAAAATGTTGAGTGTATATATGAAGTGTAATTAGAAGTGTATACATGAGGCATGCATTAAATGCATATAAGTGTATATTAGTTAGTGTATATATGAAGTGTAATTAGAAGTGTATAAATTTGAATGAGAGAAACTGAACTCACCTTTTATAGCATCAAACACGTAGGCAGTGACGTGATCTAAGTTTGACTCCAAAAGACCAATAAGTAATTCTAAGCTTTTATCGGAAGCCAATGGGTGGTCTTTTCCAATTTTACCAATGCATTTTATTCCCATCTCCGCTACAGAGGCATCTGGGTCCATTGCACAATACCTGTGTATTTCAAATAGTAATGGTTTCATCATCCGTCCTTAGCATGTATCTCAACTTTAACACCGTCTTCAACTCTTTCAAAATCCCTTTTTAATTCTTTCAACGAACCTTTGAAAGATGATTTAAAAGCACATTTTCGGAAAACCTCTCCAAATCTGCTGCTATTCTAAGAAGTTTGTCTTCTAATGCATAAGAGACAGTGTATCATAAAAGGTCCCCTTACAAGCCACTTACAAGCCACTCACTGTCCTACTGACTCTGATTCAATTCACCTCCATAGTTGTAAACATCGTCCAAAATTGACAAATTTATTAAATCTTTTTCAACTATCTTGTGTTAAATAGAACTCCTTTTCGAGTGTCTTTTCTAATAACGAGGTTGTATATGCCTTTGACTTAGCAACAATGTGTATCAAGATATACCAACATAAACTCCAAAAGATATTCCAAACCTCAATTCCGATAGAATGCTTTCCATATTTGACTCAGTCACAACCTCTGTCAGGGTGACCAGTTTTAAATTCTTGAGATATCCTGGGTCACTTTCCCTAGAGAAAGAGAAATGAAGTCAAATTAAATTACATAAAGCAACAGTGATGATGGCAGGCTCACCGAGATTAGAGGGCCTTTTATGATTGTACAGATTGTGAATTGTGCTAGGTATATTTACAATTAAAAAGCTACAGCTGAAGTAAAGCTAGACATATTTTATTCTGACGGGTTTGCGGCATATTGTAGAAAGAGCCTGCGTCGTAACAAGTGACCCATCTACGTTATCTGCTCCTGGAAAACACAAAACAAAAAATTCAAAGTAAGGCATATTTTTTAACGTTTCTAACCTTATGTAAAAAGATTTGAACTGCTTTGACAATAGGTGGGCTCTTCCTTTGAAAACCATCAACAGTGCCGGCAGTGCGGTAAACGACAGTTCTGGCGACGGTGACGAGACAACGGAAATAAGTGGAGCTGCAAAAGAAAATATATCTGACAACCAACTGATTTAACGTTGCATCTGTCTCATTTTAGAATATAATTTTTCTTAGAATCTTTCCACATGTATTTGGATGTCCTTGAAAACGCAAACTTTCATCCGTTTTGATCTTCAATCTACAAGTTCTGTAACTTAGTGACCATTTTTAAAATGCCTTGGTACGTATGGGTTTAGTGACCATCAGCTGACAGAACGTTTTAGAAGTTTTTCGTTTGGACGCGGTCTTTTTGAAAATACCGCACATATGGGCGCAGATTATTTTGACAATAGACAAGATCTGCGTTTTTAAAAATATCCAGATACGTCTCGATGGAACATAGGTAACATCTAACACACTTTTTCTTTTTTAGTCCAATCGACAATTGACAATCCAACCGGAAAACAGCAAAGCTATATGCATTTCAGACACCTTTGAATACACACGGGGAAAACATTTTGTCGCCAAATCCTCTGTATTTTTACTAACTAGTCAGTTCATTCTTTTCTGAAACCAAAATAAATTAATTCGGAGCTTTTTTCTTGATGTACCATCCGTCTGTATATTGCAATTTTGTCAGAATAAAGTGCTTCGTCCCATTTAATCCATTCGTGCTAGACGTCTTTCTTCAACGTAACGCTACATGTAATTCTGGGTCATTTCTTGAGAAACATGGGGTTAATATCAACTTGGCGGGGCAAATACCCTAACCATTTTACCCTAACCAGCATACGCCTGTAAAAGATTATAAAGTTTATATCGATTGACTTTATCATAAAAAGTCTGATATATGAAAATCATTATACATCACGTAAAATGATGATGTCCCCCATAGACATAAAAAATATCAAGAAAGACGATCAGTTTTGTGACAAAAAGATACTTGAGAGCAGCAAGTGGAAAGATGAGCATTTATTGTACCTCTTAATCTGTTGTAAACATCGTTCCTTAGAAACAATGTATCCTTTGTAAAGATAAGAAACAATTTGGCAGCTGCCATACTGACTCCTTTGTTTGCATGCTTCAGTCGATCGTCAAGACTGTTCTACAAGTAAAAAGCATTCTAGTACCGTCTGTGAAATTGTCCCGATCAATACTGTAGAGTGCTAGAACTTAAAAACTTCACATTTTCTGTTTCAAATAAACAAAAATAGTACCCAAAAAGCCAAACATTGCTAGAATGGATATTTGTGACTGCTTACATTATGTTTACCTTTTATTTCTAAAGCATGGAGGACGTAAACAAGATATTAACACCAGACACAGAGAATAAAATGAAGCTTCAAGGTAAAACGAAAAGAAAAAGAAAGAAGTTTAAAAATTTGGAATGACAATGCAGGCGACAGTAAAGATCTGTTGTAAACATACCAACAATGCAATGACTTCTTCTTGGCCTGCAGGATTGTATCTGGTTAGGATGGACAGTAGCAGACACTGTGACCATTCATTCACGGTGTGTAACCTGAAACAAAATTCCAATTTATATGGTTTGGGGAAATAACTTTAAGGGTGAAACCTCCTTTGTTATCGGTCATATAGCTGAATAACCGTGTCATTTGGTAATGGCAAGAGAAAACGGAAACATTTGCCATGCATACCTGGGCTCTCTTGGTCCAGGTCAGAACTTGTGTAGACAGAAGAATTCGGTTTTGAAACTTGTCAATCCAGTTAGGAAGTAGATGGCCAATACTGGCCAAAAAAAACACATTGGGTTATACTGCTATTTGTAAGGGCACATTTTGGCCCGCCTGTAAATTAACTTTTATCAAATAGCTTATTTTTCAAAGATTAATGACTGTTGGAAGGAAAACGCCCTTTAAATTATTAAAAAATCTTCACCAGCCGGGTTCAACAAAATTTGATGTCACCGTGAGCAAATAACAAAGGACTTTAGCAACCAAACATGACTTAACAAGATTCACACTTCGACGTACACTACGTTTCGCAAAAATATCGTAAATTATTCGCTGAGAAAGACAAGGTCAGCAAGGTTACTGAAAAGTACTACTAAAAAATTTTAAACCTGTGAACAATTGTTTGGACAATATCTTTGTCGAGTTGAATGCCTGCTTCATCAGCTAATATTTCTTCAAGTGCAAAAATAGCGTTAAAGAAGACCTGTAAAACATTAACATCATTCAGAAAAACACGCCACTTTAGGTTTTACTAAAAATTTGCATCCATCAAATGTCAAACGTTTCATTGGCACATCAACACATGAAAAAAATATATAGCAAAACTGCAAAGCTGTGATCATTTAGGTATTCTTCACAGCCATAAAAGCGACAAAGAGCATCAATGATCGCTACAGCTGTGGCGTTTATCACCGAGATGGAGTGCTTGCCTATTCTAGAGAAATAGAAATACACTAAAATCTCTAGATAGATAAACTGTGTAAAAGTAAAAGTTGGCGTACTCATACAAGGGAGAGCAGATGTGTTATGCAATCAAGTCATCAGAACCCCTTCCCTCAGAAATGCGCATTTGAAGCAGTGCAGCAGTGTGCGGGGACTCTCTCGTAATGGCTATTGTTTGCAACACAATTGCTGCGTTTACATACGCGGTTGGCCATATTCTTACAGCATACCTACGCAAGAGTTGATGGGGCTATTACGAAATTCGTCGCGCTTTTTGAGAAATAGGAAAAAATCGGTATTACTGCTCGTATTATTGACATTAATAGTGATTGAGGTACCACATCATAGGTAGAGCAAAAGAACAATTTTTTGTCGTTATTTATAGGGAGGAAAAGATTTCTAAAAAATTGTGACGGACGGACAATTCGAAACTTGTCCAATAACTGCACACATGTGGTTTGACCTACCAAATAAACGATTGACACCATTATTTACACTTGACCCATTGGTACTTTCGGTGATCAATTGGTACTTTTGACCTTAAAAGTTCCAAATGTTGAGAAAAAAATTTGTTCAAAATGTTTGGTGATGTTTCTTACTGATGTTTAATTGTTAAAAATATTTCAAATTTATCTCAAGTTGGTTGGCTTAGATAGAATATTCAAACACGTGAAATTAATTTTTTCAATGTTTTCTATCCCGTCCGTCCGACACGACAGACATTTGTTTCTTCTGAGGCGATGTGCTTATCCCATTGCTTCAACTCATCCTTATGGGTTCTTTCATGGCACAAAAAGAGAAAATTCAAGAGTCATCCGTTAATTTATGAGACCTTATGAAAGTATCGTTTGTCCGTCCGTCACAGAACTTGAATTTCGTAATAGCCCCTGATGGAAGCAGTTATTGTAGTGGACTGTAGAGAAGGATATTGGAGGCATTTCATCGTAACAGTTGGCGAACTGGACTCGCCCTAGACGAGAATCGGGTTATCAAAGTGCCAACTGGTCCTTTTGCCAGGATCTTACATCACTCTGATTTAAAAATGTCGTTGACCTCGATTTACTACCACTTTATACTGTATTTTTCTTGGTAATAGAACACTAGAACCGAAATACTGTTAAGCTAGCGTCAATTTGTACCATTCAATTTACAACTATGTTAGAACAAGAGAATTACCTGTCCATCGTCATCTTTTATAAGCCCTCTTAGCTGTTCAAGAACACTTGGATCTGGAATCATTCAACAAGAGAGTCGACAGTTTTCGACAATAAAGAAGATCAAAGTTATAGTTCAATATTTCTGACAACAAAGCAAAAATACAGCTATATCTTAGCTCTGTTCATAGCAACGCGAAAAAGATATAAAAGTAATAAAAGAGATATCCTTGGAATGAAGTTAATTTTGTGAAGCAAATTGGGTGTTAGAAATCCTAACGTAAATAACATGAAAAGAGGCGTAGAAAGTGGAGGTGATGGCGTTGTATCAAATAATTGTTCATACAGAATTTGAGTATGTCATATGTAATTCAATTGTAGTCTGTAGACGGTCTGTTTGTTCACCTGTTGTGAGCAATTATGACATGATATGTTCTTTCACGTTCTGTAACATAAAAAGCCCAGTAAATATCAAATATAAATTTCACAGCAAATAGCGAAATATCAGCGTAATAGTATATAGCAGAAACTACCTTTTATGATATCTGGTGCAAACTGAAAAATTTTAACTGTTCCCATTGCAGCAATTTTACGAACATATGCACTTCTGTCTTTAAGACCCTGGAGAAGAGGCTCTTTTATGTACTCTAACAAGTCCGGAAGCCTGAAACATTAATCAAATTCGAATAGAAGGCATTAAAACAGTAGCATAAAATAGATTAAACCAACAAAGATCAATTTTTGGTTCACAATTAATTGGTCAAATCAGAAACCAAGAAAATGGCGAGCGTAGGGTCAATAGTTTAAAAAAAAATCAATACAACAATGTCCCAAGAAAAGAAATGTCCATATTCATCAAGATGTAACATGACAGATTTTCAGCTTTTAAGATAGGCAATATAATATAATTCAAACTTGTGATGATATTATTATCCTTTGTTAAACTTCAAGCTAAAAACCTTTAATTCGTTTTAACTCTCAAAACGAACACATCACTGACAATTCTAAATAACAACAAGGAAATAAAAAGTGTTTGAAAATCAAAACTCTGGAATATAGTGAAAAAGTGTATTTCTATTTCTCAGCACAGCCGGCTTAATTTAAAAAGATGATCCCTGCTAAATATAATTTGCTTCACTCAGAAATTTGCTTCGGCCTGTCTTTAAATCTAAATTTTTTTAGCTTACTTTAGTTCACACATGGTACGCAACGCCAACCCTCTAATCATTGGATTGTCATCCATTGCATCTTTTGTGAGTGTGCTGATCATGAGAATAGCAATATCTTTGTTTGATTCAGCTTGCTCACGAATATAGAGATAGACTAACTTTTTTTGAACCAGATCAGTTGTGGCACTAGCCTAAGAAGGAACAGTTTCTAAATTTATTAATTGCTTATATCAGAGTTCGGGAAAAATTGTCAAAAACACGTAGATATCCGTTGTACTATAAGGTAGTCTTGAGACAAAAATACAAAAATCTATTAGGAACGAGGGCATCAAACATATAACTGGGAGGCAAGGCTTAAAACTGTATTTTGCATGTAGCAATAGATACAATGAGTAAATTAATTAGGTACCAAAATAGACTCTCCAAATTACGACGCTTCGAGTTACTTGACACTATTTCGTGCCACCTTCAAAGTTTGCGGTATCAGAACTTAAAAAAGTATAACAGTGCCAAAGAATGAGTTTGCATACCATCATCATTTCTGAAAACAGGGATGAAACATCTAGACCAAGTGTCATGTATCCAATTACTTTCTGAACAGCAGTTCTATACTTAATTTTGTCTCTTTGCACATCAATATTCTTCAGTGCTGCTCTAAAGATTGGATAAAAAGAATAACACTGTAACAAAAAGTAAAATCAAAGCATATAGTAATTGTTATAAGACGTGACAGCATGACGGGGCAAGAGGGCATAGGCCCCCAAGAGATGGAACTGTTTCATTTATTGATTATGCACGCGGGTATCCTGTCTGCTCAATGCTGATTGGCCAATACCGTCAGAGGAAAGAGAAGTTGCGAGATATCCGGACCAATCAAGATTTGACCACTATGCTGGTGGTATAAACAAAACTGGATGATATAGAGCAAACAGTTTAGAAAATAATTTAGCTTTGGTTTTTATAAAATGTAGTTCTTGTTGTTGTACTCCGTGGTATAACTCTGTATCGGCTACAAACAACTATAAATGTAGAACAGAGGCCAACTTCTTTGATATGGTCGTGTTGAACTGTTCCAAAACCTTTCACATCTTCAGAGCTTTTCTAACTTGGAACCACGAGAGTAAGACATTGGTAATCGATTCATAAAGAATGATATAATTTGTTTATTAATTTGAATGATATAATATCAATTACTCATAGCAGAGACAGCACCACAAAATTGAACCTTAGAGGAGGGGGGCTAAGAATAAAGTTTAGTGACTAGACAGAAGACAATTTTTGAAATCAGGCCTTCTAGAATGGCTAAAATGCATCTCCTACACTAAAAATTAACAAATTACTATACCGCTCTGAATAGACAATTCGACAATGCTCAGAAAAACATTACTGATTCTTAGAGAAAATTTGGGAGGGGAGGATTAATGTGTTGGGGAATTAAAGAAAGAAAGGGTGACCTTTGTTCAGAGTGCACATCAATGCAAATAACAAGAAGCTGTTATATTGATTGCCGGGGTGCATTCCATGTATTTAGGTCCAAAGATCTTCAGCCACTCAGGTTTTTTTGGCATTAAAGGTGCAAACTAATAAAAACATTTTTGATGTTTTTTGACATTTTTGAATTTTTGAAAATCTTTGTTAGTTGTCGTGCTAAACATAAAGCCACTCACATATTAGTTAAGATAAAAAAGAATATAACAAAGACTCATACACCACAGTTTTCTCTGTTAATTGGTTTTTTTCTTTGTCTGGCCTACAATATTCACCCTTTTACTAACTGCTCATATATGCCCTGTACCTAAACAAATGCCCTGGGGGAGGGGGTTCATAGCCTGCATAGAAAATTTATTCACAGTGAAATGGATTATTATATACACACTTAATGATAACAAAGTAAGAGCAAATGATGGCATGAAAGTATAAGGAAATTAAGTTTGAGGAAACCAATTTTTTGTAGATTTCGCTTTTCTGGGTGAATCCATGAGCATCATTTTGTGAACAACCAATTATAGTTTGATCCACAAAAATGAATTCTACAGCTTCTTTTACAGCTCATGTCAAAAATTTCAATTCATAAAATCTCCTTTAATCTATAAGAACTTTGTAAGACTTGCATGGCAAATATGGCTAAGTATGAAATACTGTAAATCCTTGAACTTTCTCTAATTGGAAGTACTTCTGGCTCAAATATTGATTAACCCTAAACATCAAGACCTATCATCAGTGAAATGAACTCTTTATCAGAGAAAAATAATTTCTGCCAAAAATCAATTCCCCTGTGGTGAAAAAATGTTCTAAATGTAGTGTAGTGATGTATGTATTATTATAGTGTGTTTGGGGGAGTCATGTGACGAGTACTGCATTTGGAGAACTAAGATGGCTACTAGCTAAGCTCGTTCCATGCTCAAGATATATAGCAAGTTATTTGCATTACAAAAAAGAAAGTTGACCAATGGTGACCAACAAAATAAACGAATTACAGGTTGAAATTTGGTCAAACTTCCTAACTACCAGTGGTGGCTGGCACCCAAATAAATGTTGTATTAGAATGTAATGACGAGTGAAACAATGCGGAAAAACAAAGTCACTGTAAGCACTGCGCAAAATTCACACTTTAAGGGTTTTTTATCTATCTGATGATAGAAAATATTGAAACAGTTGGATAAATCACGCCACTGCATATTGATTAAATTGTTTCTGTCCAGAGAGCTATCTCTCTATGATTTGCTAAACCTGCAAAAACACGAGAATTTTTTCTATTTTTTCGACATCTTGAATCTTGCAGGTAAGATGGTTCCTTTCACGTTACTAAAAATGTGGTTGTGCCTCTCCACTTCTCTCTTCCGAGTTTCATCCAGATCGCATGCAAAATGGATCTATTTATGCACTACCCTTAGGCTAACGGCCTGTGGGCTAGGTCCTTGTTGTTAGGGTCGCACTGGCCCCATGATAAGCCGATGCAAAATGGCTTATCACCCTCCATTTGTTCCTCAAACCCTGGTGTATTAGAAAACTCATCTTAATACATCAAAAGGAAGGGTCGCTTTTACAGTTCATACATGATTCTTTTTGGCCATTTGCGTGGTATCAACCACTTCATATTAAAATTCAAAACAAGGAGGAAGATTAGCGTTAACTTAAGGGGAACAACTTTGTTTTGATTAAAAATTACTTGGAAAAAATTAAAATTATGTAATAAAATGCACTATTTCTGAAACCAAGATATCTTGCTGAAACCAAAGATGACTTTAAAAGAGCGCAGCCATTTGCTTTTTTCATCACTACACATTTATGAAAAGGTTTTGTATGCAGACTCAGAAGTTCTGTATTTCAAAGTGACTTTTCGACAAGGTCTTGGAACCAAACAAAGAATGCTTCAGCGACTCGCTTCTTGTTCAAATGCGGTACCGCTTTCTCAGAACTGTAGTTCCAATGTATTAGAAAACAAGATTTAATACATTCGCTGCACAGGCATTAACGTACGGATAGGTAGCACCAAAAAATAGATGTCACACAGAGCTCTCCAGCACAAAGAGATTTTGAGTGGTTGTATCAAAAAAAGATATCTAATATATTTAGGCTGTTCGGCAGTTTCACAGGGGCCATACTTCCGTTAATCACATAGATCACCACCAATTCAATACAGCACAATTGATTCTTATCAGTCGTATTGTGCTCGAATGCTACGCAATTTGATTTTGTAAGAACCTCATTTAATAAAGCACTCAGATAAGAAAATATAACTTCTCGATTTCATCGAACTAACAATGAACCAGGTCTCATGTTACTTTATGTGCAATTCAAAAATTTTATGTATTAGACTAATACATTGAATACATTTGCAAGCCGCTAATGCTAACTACTATTAAGGTCCCCACTGCATGGTCAACTTTTTTGGAGTTTGCAGACATTGAGGAGATGATGCCCTCATGCCCCCCACCAGCACATCCCTGAATGAACTACCAAGAGCATAAAGATCCTTGGTAAAACAACCTTTTTTCTCAAGGCTATCAATTATCATTCAACTTTCTTGCTAAGCCTCTTTCACAGTTAGATTGAGTTTGGTCGAATGTGCAAAGTATCACACCACAAAATATTTTCAACTTTGCTGCTATAAGGCACTTAAAAATACCCTTGACATTCATAAAAACTTGAAATCAAGTGGAAGGTGAGCCAGACTATACTGCTTTTTTCTACAAGAAACCATCCCTTCTTCAAGAAATCAAGGCTGCTACCCCTGGCCACTGCAAAACATGTCTTGACCAAGGCTGCAAACTCTGGCAACTTGGTTAACTTTTTTAAACTTTCTAGCTACCTCCATCAAAGCTGTAAATGGGTCTGGAGTCTATGCTGATAAACTTGGCCTTCTTTCACTATCAGTTACATTTGGGGAAAACCCTTCCCCCTGACCTTCATTTGAAGACTAACAACAACTACCTCTACACTTTCGAGCCAACTGTTTGTTTTGAATCCAATCTTGACACAAATTTAACAAGAAAGCACAACAAATATACTAATCAAATATTATGAAATGAAACAGGAACAGCAACACAAATTGTTCTTTTTTTTAACTTTACAACATTGTCCTTTGTACTATGTACTACAATTTTTTTTGCAAAAATAAGCCAAGGACAAACCCAAATTTTATCCATTGCAATTTTGGCTGTTTCTTTTCTCAGTTTTTTCTTTTGCAATTACAACTGTTTAAGTCTTAAAACTACCTGTAAAGAATTAAATGTTTGCAATTATAGTGTAGCTGAATTGAAATGAAAAGTTTTCATTATTGTTATTGCACAAACCAACTTTTTTCTATTTTCTTGAATCTTTTTTATGCTTATTGTAGTTTTTTTTGCAAACCGACTAGCTGGCTCCAAACAATACGTAATAATTTGTAATCTTTTGTTCCACACACAATTCCTTGTACAAGGGCATACTTTTGACTGCGAATATGTAATAAAAGACAGGGGTTATAGTAAAGTTAAGGTCGCCCAAAGCAAAGACACTTGCCTAAAAGTGAAACTAATTTCTGCTTGCCTCAAGACACTATGCATTTCATTTGTTTGGTATCAAGGACAGCGGAATTTTCTACAGATAAGGAGGTCTAAAAGATTTTTTGTTTTGGGGGGGGGGCTTGCTTATAGCCAAAATTAATTATTTTTTATGGTTTTAATTCCATGTTCAGAAATTATTGCTAGGCTAATAAAGCCCCCAGCCATCCCCTCCCGCTTCCGCAGTTCCAGTTTGACAAACACTTCATTGAAATGGTCATCAATCAAAAAGTCACAGTGTATATCATACCTTAATTCGGTTACTTCTCCCTTCCTGTTTTCAAAATAGGGCTCTCTTGGTGACAATTCTGCCATGATGTCCCTTTGTTTACTTCCGTTTCCTCGATGAATTGAAATTTGTTCTTTGAGAAGCACTTGGCTGCAGATTCAGGTTTAGTCAGATAAGTCAATAAATAAATAATTCAAAGCCTTCATATTGTCAGTTTTAAGTTCTTCAACCCCGTTCTTCAAACAGTTCGGTGGGGGGCTGCAAATTTTAATGACATGTCCTTTCTTGTGTCAGGCAATTCAACTCATCATGTTAAAGATTCGATGCTGTCGAGTCTGCGCAATGCAATTGGGTTTAGCGCAATTCGAAGACATTATCAACTAAGGATTGTCGTCGAATTTTTTCCGCTCTGCACTCTCCTTCTCTGTACCTGACCACCAAACAGAGTTTCTGATTGATATCCATCATTTCAGTAAAAGAACCAGCGTCTCCTGTGAGTATTTATCTTAGCGGGATAACATTTGATTAACTTTTTCAGCTGTTAATGTGTTGATGCTGGCCTAGCCCAACCGAGTGGTCTTCGGTATCTCTGCCACAAGATGATACCGTAGTCATCGTATAAAGGAACAATTTATATAAACTTTGTTCTTTAATATCTTTAGAGTCAAGCAGATCATCCAAACTGCCAGTAGTCCTTAATAGGGATTATATATTTGAAATATTTTTTTGTCCGTTTTGTCCCTGGCCTATGATGGAGGACCATCTCATTATTTCATTTCTTTAGTTTACGTTAATAGTACATGTTTAAGAAGATACAAAATAGAGTAAAGAAAAGTTAAATTTCTAAGTGAAGAGATTTTTGAGGTTTATGTTTGTAAGATACTAGTGCTAAAAGCTGACAAGGAGGACAACATAAAGAACTCTAAGAGCTTTTGTGCCAAGCATAATCTTAAAATGACTTAAATGAAATAGAAAAACGATTTCTAGAAACGTGAATCAAATTCTTGTAGGTAAGTAAGTAGGTAAATGTAAAAAAATTCAGCTTAAGAAATATAGGCTAGGAAAAAGAAGGAACGGAAGGAACAAATCAAAGTTTAGAAAAGTACAATAGAAAGATTTTTGAAGATGTGGCTTTGTGGATTGTGTTAAAGCTGTTTTCAGTAGGTAAAATTGATTCCCGCTAACGCAAAAATGCCATTTGAGGTCCTCCATAATTGTAAAAAAATGTTGCAGGATATTTTGGTAAAAGTTGGCAGTGGTTCAGTGTAAATGCAGCCTAAGGTACACCTTGGCAGGGTATGCTGGAGAGACCAGACCACAAGTCTTTGTAGTATGAAAATAGACTGCATGCAGTGTTTCACATGTCTGTATTTCATCCCGTGTGCAATGGTGTGGGGTAAAAATTTTTCATTTGAGCAGGTATCATTGGGAACATTCATAAAAAATATCCTATGGTTTGATCACGAAATCTTCAAGATAAATGGCAATCTTAGCATGTATAAAACTACTTTGCAAGGTCTTTATTAAACCAGTATTGGTATACTTTAACACATTGGAAACTGCCGTTGAATTAGGCAACTTTGACTTCAGGCTGTTTTAGAATCATTGGAAACATATCTTCAAACTTTAAGGTTGTTGAACTTTTGAGAAGTTTTTCCTGAAGTTTAGCCTGACAATGTTTTGCAAACCTTGGACAACTAAGGTGGGTGTAGAGGCATATCCATGCAATTGCACACCTCATACTTTGAATACTAGACCATTTGACCATAATTTCTTGCATTTGTTTGATTGATAAGATGACTAGAGGTGCTAGAGATGCAAATAAATCATATGCAAACTTACAGGTTTAAACTTAATAAAAGTAAGACAAAAATTTGCTTCTAAACAAGCATAAAGATTTATGTTTCAAAATCCAGGTAGTTAAATTTATATTTATAACATTTACATATCTATCTTGCAACTTTATTGCTTATTCACAGACTTTTCTGCACTATGGCACTTATTTTCTTATTGTATTTTAACAAGTATAAGATGCACTCTTGTACATGACATATCCTTATTTCCATTTTAAAGTTGTAACAAATAGTTGTAACAGAATCTTACCCTGTATAAGGTGCAATACTTGCATTTATATTTCAGTGAGCAAATAAATAAACTCTAAAATCCAAAAGAAACCAACTCTGTGGAGGAAAATTTTTTCAGAGCATTTAGAATTATCAAATAGAAACAACAGGTTTTCAAATTAATAAAATTCTTCTTCATCAACTGTTATCAGCAAAGAGGTTCTTACATTTTTTCCAAATGAAAGCAACTGTTGCTCATCATTCCAGCAACTATTTCAACTTTAGGTACTTGCTTTTAATCACCCTTAGCTTTTATCACCTTTGAAAATTTGATTGTCAATTCCTGGTTTTCTCTGGGCTTCTCGATTTCTCATATGCTAAAGCTTATTCTATGACATGCAGTTTAGGATGCATGTGATGCCAAACTAAGTTAACAAATGTGTTGTTGGAGTTGTCTATCTTATGCAGGTTGTTTTAAAGAAAGTGACAGCAGTCCATTTGATGTGTGACAGCCCAGGCAATTGTGGGGAGTTTATTTGGGACATGATTTAGTAACTTGAACCTAAAAATTTGATATTTTGACAATAATAGGAGGGAAAAGTTGTTTGAACAGAAAACTCTGAAAATTAACTGGGTGTATTGCTTGTAAGTTTGCTTGCTTATTTCAGAAACTATAGTATTTTCAATTTTAGGAAAAAACCCTAGATAGTCTTGATAAGTAAAGAAAAACATGGACATTTTTCTTTTGTTTTTTTTGAAAAATATAAGATGCAAGATACACTTTGTGTCACAACCTATGACTATGGGGGTGATTACCTATCAAATTGTGTATAGAATAAGAAAAATTTCAAGGGCCCAGGATGATATAAGACTCAGTTTGTACTACTCTATTTTAACTCTACTTCATTATAATTTCTTTAGTTGTCCAAAAATCCTTACTGAGATTTAATGCTGTTAAGTGATAATTGTTGCCATTTTCCCTCTTTCATCAAGACAGTTTACCAATTATCAGACACTCAATCATCAAGACAGTTTACCAGGCCATTTTGTTTGATGCGAGCGATCATTCGTGATTGTATCGGCACTCTAGCAAACCCAACCACAAAACGGTAAATTGTGAGGAATAAATGTTTCATCAATTAACACATTTCTTGTCATCATTTGACCCAAGAAGTGACATAGACAATATAAAGCTGGTATATGAAAACACAGGAAATCTAAGTAAGCTGAATTAACTGCATTGCAATGGAATACTATAGACACTTAATATGTGAAATACATAAGCACTTGGGACATTTTGCAATCATCTGGTATAATGTCTAGACCTTCACAATGTACATAAAATTGATAAAGGAAGTGCATTTATATTGGTTATTTAATCTTTCTTGGAGTGCATTAAAGGTCATCATCAAAGTTTGTTTTCATTCCATATTACCTCAAATAAAAGGGTACTGTATAACAGGGTCATTTTTATCACAAGAGAAATCATGTGAGCAATGGGCTACTCATGTGGGCTATTTCTTATGAAAAGGCCTGGTTTACATATTCATAACTATCGTTTTTGAAGAGTTTCCAAGCATAGAAACTTCAGGAACTTCTAGAGATTTTTCAGATAAAGGAATAGGATTTCCACAAGATTTCCATCAAATGTTAACATTCTTATTTTATAAACTAAGTACAGATTTTTTAACTTTCTTATAAAGCATCCTTTAAAAAGCCTTTATTTGGTTTGAAAAGTTTCTAAATGATTTGTAATTTTTTGGTAGAATTTCATGTTAAGGTGTGCTACAATCATTCACAAATTTAGATTGCTAATCTTGCAAAGCCTTATCCTGCAAAACAGGTTTCAGCATCTCTAACAACTAATGCAAAATAAAAACAATGTCTTCTTCCTTTTCAACTAATGCAAAGTTGCATAAGCAATGCCTGTGTGAGTTTTGATGCATCTTGTAAATTTGTTTTCTATTTCGTGAATGTCTTCAAAAACAAACAATTCTATCGTAATGTGTCTTAATGTATTTTTCCAAATTGTTCCACTTAATGGATTTACTATTTTTCTTTTGTTTTTATTTTGTTTGTTTGAAAGTCTTGAATATTTGTAAAGCTGGAGAAAATTTAAAAATTCTAAATTACAAAATTTTCTCTTGTCAAGCTTTTTATATTGAATTATCACTGTGTCTTGTTTGCTTGAATTTTCTTGTAATAATATTCATAAATGAATGGATTGCAGTCTTTATCTGATAACATCATAAGTAATCCCCTACATGCAGTTCATTTCCCTTGTATTTGTATTCTGTATTAATTTTTTCTGCAACATTATTATCTTTTAAATTTAGTTATTTGTTTGTATTGTTGGATTTATATGGTATATAGAGAATTTAAATGATATAAACTGAATTGAACCGAACTGAACTTTCTTCAGATTTAATGTGGAAACATGAAATGATGTTGATTGATTGTACCCAGCCCAGCTAATAATTCCTTAAAGCAAAGTAGCTGCAATTTCTTAAATGTGAAAATATTTGCTTAATGGTAGCCTCAAGGAATTTTATCATTATTGTGTTAAAGTTTCTGTGTTTCACCACAACAACCACCATCACAAGTTCATCCATTACATTGGCTTATTCTTGTGATTATTATTTTGTGTAACCAATCAGTTCTGTTTATACTGAATGTTGGTCCTTTTAAGGGAGAGACATGTGAAGTTTTAAGAACAAAGAAAGAGAACGATCTTCTGATGTTTATGCAGAAAGAGGCTTTTAGCATTACATATAATTTTCATTATGATTTATCTCTATGCACCTTTGGTAATGTTACATTTCAAGTGTATGGAAAAAAAGTATGCTTATTGTATGTGGTTTTGTCTCCAAGAAAATGTTTTTTATGATGAAGAGAACTTTTTTTCTAACTTTAGGATTGAAATTCTACATGATTCTGAAAGCAAAAGTGGAGACTATGAACCAGAGTTTTTTAGTTATTACAGTATTAATTATGGCAGTATTTGGTTGTCTGTAATTTCTAATCTTTACTTTGTAAGCTATTTCGGTTACTGTTTTGTTTCCTCTTTGAATTTTTTTAGTAAAGTTGTGATTTAGTTCAAATGCTGAAATTAGGTATTGAAAACTTCTCATCGTCTTCAAACTTTAAACACAGGCACAGGAGGCTTTTTCATTAATTTAAAGGATGATAAAAACGGTCCTAGAAAATAGATTTCTTATGTTCCGGTCTTTGCCCACATTGTAATTTCATGTAACAGAAACACAAATAGATTCGACAGAACACCATCCAACATCTGAAATAACTTGAATTGACAAAATCTCATGTAAATGTTGCTGACTTTGCATGGAGATGTTTATCTTCTTAATGATAGAATATCTTCCTTTCTAGCTTTAACTGGCATAGAGGATACATCAACCTTTTACAAAAATGGCCCAGAGAGGAGGCACACCTCAGCGTCCTAATGGAGTTGCACAGGGGAAGATACAGCCATTTAAATTGGTTTTGCTAGGTTAGTACAAAATCTTTGTTAACTATCTTTCTTTTAGGCAATGTCACACATTTCAATGCTGGTATTCTTTCCCAACACATAAGCTACCAAGCAATTAGATTTATTTGCAAGTGTAAGGTAACAGGCGGCAGACTTTGCTTGGCTGACAGCACACCAGGCTCACATTTGCACAGCTGGTGTCAGTCTGGTGTGGGGAGAACCTTTTTTATAGTGATACTGGCCCAGAAATGGTAGAAAGGGAAGTTTGATGGGGCTGTTGTTTTAACATCAACAGGTAAGCCTTGATGAAAAGACGTTAAAATTAGACCTTAAACATGTTAAAATCAGGGGCATTACATTCATGTGATTGCTGTTAGTGAGTAATAAGGCACATCTTTTGTCAATCAGTGACTTGGCCATCAATTAGAACAGAATGAGTTAAAAAATAATGATGTTAGCTTTTGCAGTGACATATGCATTACAACATAGAAAGACAACAGAGTCATTAATAAATAAGATATTAATTTGATTAAGTGTTGTTTGATCCTTTCAGTGAATGTAAGATACACATAGATGGTCAACATAGAAAGCAAGTTAACATGTTTGAAGTGTTATGGGGGTCTAATTAATGATGATTTTGGGATTCACCATTCTGAGCAGTTTTGGAATTCATCATCATTCTGCTTTCTTGGCTTTGTCTTGTCATAGGTTATTTCTGTATACTATCTCAGTTTTTCAGAGCAGCATCCTTTATCACTTATAGCATCTCATTACAATCCTCAAACTCAGTCAGTATTGTTGCTTTCTTTTTTTGTTCTTTTTATTCCTGATCTCAGTATTGTCTGTCAAGGTAGAGTACAAATTGGGGATGTGAAGAAGTGTTGATGAAAAAAGTTTTGGGTAGATTGTTAAATTCTGAGGGTAGAAAACATTTAAAAACTAAATGTTATGTAACCATTTGCATTGCAATATATGATCAAGATTCTTGAAAAGTCGTTTAAGAATGTATGTTAGGTAAATATGTCTTTAGATTTTATTTGTGTATCTATGCATGTATCATTTTTAACATATACAGTAATCAACATGCAATGAAAAGCTTTGAAACTAGCTTGCTAGTTGTTTTCTACCCTTAGAATTTAACTCTTGTTTTCTACCCTGAAATTTCCTCTTCACAAAATTCCAAATAATTGTTTTTATCTTGAAGAAAAATTATTGTTACCTTTGTTAAATTAACTATTGATTTTCAGGAGAATCAGCAGTTGGAAAGTCAAGTCTTGTTCTGCGCTTTGTCAAAGGACAATTTCATGAATACCAGGAAAGCACGATTGGAGGTAGTAGACTGAATACATTGATCTTAAATTATTTTTTGCACCATACCAGCAAACACGTATAATATGCAACATAGCAAAAATCAGGCGTGTAAAATTTTTTTTCATTTCTAAAGGACCATGGAAGTTATTGCAAAATAAATTTTTATGTGTATATATATCACAACAGCGCCAACAATAGCAGATGTAGATAATTATAAAAAGGCTAGCTTTTCTAGTACTTTGTGTTGTTCAGAAAAATTCACTCTTGTACATTTTTGCACAAGATCAATATGTTGTTCAAATCCAGACATGGCAATTTTTTTCATATGAAAGTGTGCTTTAAAGTCCCCATGATAAAGTTTGAGATTAATCTAACAATGATGTTGTACAAGAATGTCAACTTTTCCCTACCCAATATTCGCCCATTGTCTCTACAATCATAAAGTTGCCATGTGAAAGGTTAGGGCCAAAAACCGATTTCCAGAGGGAGCAGATTGCTAGTATATGACTGGATATAAACAGCAAGCTCTTATATTGACTACTTCTTTGCTGGATTGATTTTTACATATTATAGTTACAAATCTCTGTTATCTGCAACCACTGTCAAATGCATTACTTTCCTTACTTTCTTTGTTTAAGATCTCTCTTACTCCCCCCTTTTCTTTTTTTCTTTCCTGCTTCTTTCTTTTTCTCTTTTTCTTTTCTTGTCACCTTCGGTTTTTTTCTTTCTGGGACATAAGAAATTTTCTGGGACCTTTGATGCTGAAGTCCGCTAGTTTTTCAGTCCCGGTAAAATACTGATACCACAAGTTTAGTTTTACTGTTTCCAAATATGAAGCTGATTGCACTATATTCAAATATTTTCAGTTTTAGATATTTTACATATGAAGTTAGTTTATATTAATTTAATTGGCTTTAAGATGTTTTTAAATGTTGTCACTGATATTACATTACTCAAAGCGTACACCTGGACATGTTTATCCCAGTATGTTGTCAGATACGTTTGTTGGTATCAACTGTCTAGAAGGAAATATGTTCTGATTATTCAATGTGTTGTGTTTGTTTTTTGTTTTTATATCAACATGTTGTATCTTGCTTACGGAAAGTATCTTAAAAATGTCTGTAGATAGTACGCCTGACAGCTTGTGATGATGATGAAGATGATGTGGAATTTCGCTACCGAAAACCTTTTTTTATTTTAAACACTGCTACTGTTCAATTGTCTTTATACTATCATCGTATTTGTTTAATGTAACATCAAGTGATGTGATTAAGTGTTCTATGGATCTAATATAATCTATCTTCCATAGCGGCTTTCCTAACACAGACTGTCTGCTTTGACGATACCACTGTTAAATTTGAAATCTGGGACACAGCTGGCCAAGAAAATATCCTTTTACCTCCAGCGATGACAAATTGACTTTTTTTCCGTGGTCTGACTCAATTGCTTGCATTTTTTGATAATGGCATATATTATATAACTTTGAAGTTTAATTGATTTTTAATAATTTATCATTTTAATTATGTTGATAATGTTGACATTGATAATTTAGGTTTAAAAGAATTTATCATACAACGAACTTTATCTGCCCGTAAACATATTCTATCGAAGCTAGCAGGCTTGGTCGGAAATTAAGTTGATGATTGATCACTTTTGTGCATACCAAAACACGTTTTGTGATCGTTTTGCTTGTAACGTTGATCATAATGCGTTTGAACCATTGTATTTCTTTAACAAACCTGCAAGGTACCATAGCCTGGCACCAATGTACTACAGAGGCTCCCAAGCAGCCATAGTTGTTTATGACATTACCAACACGGTAAGTTTGAGAATGTTTCTTTAAGATATAAACACTTTGACTGATTTCTGAGTTTCTTTGGAGCTCATGCTTTGGTGTTTTTTTAGCAAGTTGTTGTTTGTCCCTTGTTACTGATTTTAGGAAGCAATCGTCGTTTTATGAAGCAATCGTCGTTTTATGAAGCGGGTAATCACAATCATTAAAAACGGGTAATCACAATAGTTTTCTTTTTGAACCTATCAATATTATAACAGTGTTTTTTTTTGCAGGATACTTTCGCGAGAGCAAAAACCTGGGTTAAAGAGCTCCACAGGCAAGCGAGCGCTAACATTGTAATTGCCTTAGCCGGAAATAAAGCCGATTTGAGCAACAAACGCATGATCGAATTTGAAGTAAGTTGGTTTTTTTTAATAATTGATACCATAGCTTCTTAGCAAGGTGCAAATTAGCAAAGAACGAACTAACGCCGAGATTGAACCCAGACCCCCTTCTCAACACAAAACCACCTCAGAAACCCACCTAACACAAAACCCCAACACAGAAATCCCCCTCACACAAAACCCCAACACAGAAAACGTACCGCCCGCAGACATGTGACTCCCGTGCAAAAAAGAGACTCCCGTGCAAAAAAGAGGCTCCCGCACAAGAGGCTGTGGATGATCCCCCGCAGAGGTTGCAAGAAACCACGCCCTCTGCCATCACAAAATTATCCTCAAAAAATATTTGCTCAAGGATGAAATGTTCTACCGTTTCTGGTAAATTGTTTGTTACTTGCGGCTTTTTTGGAGCTGTTTTTGGAAGTTTTTACAAGAAATCCGTCCAGCCATAATCTTGCCATAATCTCCATCTAAGCCGGTTACCTATGAATAACAAAGTTGAAGCGCCCTTTAGTCTGCGCTGCACCAACACTAGAAGCAAGACCGAGAGAGCGTTTATTTGAGTGCATAATGTATAAAAGTTAAGGTAACGGTATACACCAACAAAGCTTCCATCAGCGATTTCTTTGCAAGACTTATAATTATCTACTGCCTTATCAGGCAGATCACACCAGCATCGTTACTGGCTGCTTGCTTTGTCAGTCATGGCAACTGTCCTAAATCCTTTCAACATTACATGTAACGCCAGTTTTTCATTGCTGGCGTAAATGGATACCATATCAAACATAAAACCGGTCATATACCTCGCTGTTTCTTTCTTTGTTTGCCAAAATACAGGACGGCTCGCTCTCTACTTTGAGGTAATGGCTAATCGACATTTGCACCTTCACAGCCACTCCATTTTTTAACTGACTGACTCAGATGTTGGGATAATATTTCAATAACCTTCCAATGTTTGATGAGTTCATTGCAGTACGCTAAGAAATTTTTTCACTGAGTTCATTCTCCTCTTATTCATTGTCAATCTTCTTAAACAAAATAGCAGGAAGAAGTATATGACAAAAAGTTGATAGTAACAATATACCGATACAGCATCCCATTTTCCTAATTCCTGTACAGTTTTCTTCGCTGTTTTTTATCTTGATGCATACCAGGAATTTTTATCAGCAGTTTTCAATAGTTCAGTGCAGGGACGGATTTAGCGGGGAGGGGGGAGAGCGACACTCCCCAATATTTCTGTGTCCTTCGGTAAATTTTGCTTCCATTTGGTAAAAATCATTTTTGGTAGACGGTAGTAACAAAATGACGCCAATATTTTACTTGAGTTACTTTCTTTACCTTAAAGTTAAAAACCGAATTTTGAAAATGGGCGTGTCTATCATTTTCCAGTGACTTGGAGAGCGTGGCACAAGAATCCAATTAGTGTCTAACACCCCTCCCCCCAATCACTGGTGCTTAATCCGTCCCTTGTCCAGTGGTTTCTCACCCTTCATGTATTTCGTTATGTCTTCGGTTTTCCGTTCTTCTATTTATCGTCTTTTGTAGAATATGATGTATTTTTGGGCCCTTAAAATTCCCCCTGATTTTCATCAGCACTGTTTTCTAGGAGGCTCAAGCTTATTCAGAAGAAAATGGTCTTTTGTTTATGGAAACTTCAGCCAAGACCGCAATGAACGTCAACGAATTGTTCCTTGCCATCGGTAATTTGACTTTCTTCCTTCCGATGTTGTGAACTAACACCTTCAATCTGTTTATATATTTAAAATATCAGTTCTTCAGTGTATGAGCTTTTTCAATAAGTCATTTTATTGAAAAAAGATTCATACCTAAGTTGATGGTAAGATATTGGTCCAGTTGCAGGAGTATATATGTTATAGAGTTATATGAAGGGAAACTAGGTAAATATTCCATGTAATACTGTTCCTCGCAGGTGACTCATCTAAGTTCATATAAAAAGTCTTCATACAAATTGCTACGTTGATCTAAGGAATCAATATACTTTTAGTTGTTAGAAAAATTGAGAATGAAATCACTGTGAAGCAACGGAAGTACCCTGGCATACCAGTATTTTACTGCTGAAACAACACGTTTAGGTATTTGTATCTGCCTAAATGGGATGGTAAATGTATGCATCTTAAAGATGGCGTGTTATACAAGCCTTTCCCCTGTCGCACCTGCTAATCCCTGTTTGTAGGTTGTCCTTGTGATATCAGCACAGGACTATCGACTCCCTTTTTCCAAGTTCTAGTTTTTTAGGAACCTGCTAGCACGCAAGCTACCTTCTCAAACGAAGTGATATGAGCAATGTTATTTCAGTTTTTGTAACTTGTTTTCTTTTTTCAACTTGTAGCAAAAAAATTGCCAAAGAATCAAGAGTCGCAAGGTGCAGCTGCTGGTACTAGTGTCCGCGGTGGCGTTCAACTTTCTAACAAAGACACCGAACAACGTCAGAATAAAGGATGCTGCGGTGGAGGAAATTAGATTTATACCTGTTGGAAATGAGAAATGATTTATGTATCCAATGGTACAGACACAAATATTAGGCTGTATTGTCGTGACTTTATTGTTTTTGGGCGAAACGTAGCATTAAGTTACCTTGTATTTTGTCACGCACATCTAATCCTGTCCGTATATTGGTACGAATTTTGAAAGTAATCTCCAGTGTAGTCACTTTCCAAAATTAAAGCATTTAAGGGAGGTCTGTCAGGTTAAAGGGGTCAAAGGGTTTTTGCATTATCCTCTGATATAGTGTATACAAACAGCTATCATTTTATTACCACTAAAGCAGGTAAGCTTTTTCAGAACATTTTGGTAAAAGTATTCACCTTTTATAAAAATATAGCCTTTAATCTCATAAAAAACAGTTCCAAAAGTCATTAGAAATTGTAGGGATCCTTCCCTTGCATATAGGCTTGAAATTTGCACATCTCATGTGAATACTCCTGCCAATGTTTTCTAAAATCTGTCATGTCCCTACAATTTCTCGTGTTAATTTTTGCTAGTGCTTGATTTTGGAAAATAGGTATCATCAATTTCAGCTGCAATTTTTTGTCCCCTTTCCTCTGGCCCAATCTTTCATACAGCGCACTGTTTTTATTAAATTTGTTGTGTCTGATAAAAATATACCGTACTTTTTCAAACAGTCAGTGATTCAGTTTTCTTTTAGTATAATTATAGTAATTAAGTACCATTTAAGCTGATAATGAACATAATTTATTATTTTCCTTTAGTTCCCACAATCTATTATCTGTGAAATATGTATAAATGTTTCCAAGCCTTTTCAAAACAAGACGGTTGTCTTTGGAGCAATTTTATCAAGGGTTCCTTAAGAGTCTGCTTTAGATCGACATTGCGTTTTGAGCCGACTCAATTGAAGGAAAGTAAAAGACCCTGCTTTTCCAATAATTCACTTATTGTATCTTCTGTTACAGCTGTTAAGCAATGTAAATTTATTCTTCATTTCGCCTTATTATTCAAGACAAAATTGCATTTATGTTTTGCCTGAAGTTGAATAATTTTGACAGTGAATGCGCCATGCTCTTTTTGCATTACAAATAGATTTGTGTTGGGAGTCATTTTGTTGTCGTCCTAACCTGTACCAATTCCAAATGCTTCACTCTACTTTGCTCCACGGCAGCTGTACAAATATCAGTGGTTTTAACTACCAATCTGGACCAATTTTATTGCCTTGAACTACCCCAGCTGTAATACCTCTGCTCTTATCTACCATAGCTGTTCAAAGTCCAATGCTTTTCTCTACCCCATCTTTGCCAATTCAGATGCTTTGCACTACCCCAGCTTTTTCAAGTCCAATTCTTTTCTTTGCCCCAACTGTACCAAGTCCAGTTATTTTCTCTACACAAGCCGTACCAAGACCAATTTTTAGCTCTACCTCAGCTCTACCAGTTCAAGTGCTTTTCTGTTTACCAACTGTACCAAGTCCAGTTATTTTCTCTACACAAGCCGTACCAAGACCAATTCCTAGCTCTACCTCAGCTGTACCAGTTCAAGTGCTTTTCTCTTTCCCAACTGTACCAAGTCCAGTTATTTTCTCTACACAAGCCGTACCAAGACCAATTCTTATCTCTACCTAAGCTGTACCAGTTCAAGTGCTTTTCTGTTTCCCAACTGTACCAAGTCCAGTTATTTTCTTTGCCCCAACTGTACCAAGTCCAGTTATTTTCTCTACACAAGCCGTACCAAGACCAATTCCTAGCTCTACCTCAGCTGTACCAGTTCAAGTGCTTTTCTGTTTACCAACTGTACCAAGTCCAGTTATTTTCTCTACACAAGCCGTACCAAGACCAATTCCTAGCTCTACCTCAGCTGTACCAGTTCAAGTGCTTTTCTCTTTCCCAACTGTACCAAGTCCAATTCTTTTCTTTGCCCCAACTGTACCAAGTCCAGTTATTTTCTCTACACAAGCCGTACCAAGACCAATTTTTAGCTCTACCTCAGCTGTACCAGTTCAAGTGCTTTTCTGTTTCCCAACTGTACCAAGTCCAGTTATTTTCTCTACACAAGCCGTACCAAGACCAATTCTTATCTCTACCTAAGCTGTACCAGTTCAAGTGCTTTTCTGTTTCCCAACTGTACCAAGTCCAGTTATTTTCTCTACACAAGCCGTACCAAGACCAATTCCTAGCTCTACCTCAGCTGTACCAGTTCAAGTGCTTTTCTCTTTCCCAACTGTACCAAGTCCAGTTATTTTCTCTGTACACCAGTTATTTTCTCTACACAAGCCGTACCAAGACCAATTTTTAGCTCTACCTCAGCTGTACCAGTTCAAGTGCTTTTCTCTTTCCCAACTGTACCAAGTCCAGTTATTTTCTCTACACAAGCCGTACCAAGACCAATTCTTATCTCTACCTAAGCTGTACCAGTTCAAGTGCTTTTCTGTTTCCCAACTGTACCAAGTCCAGTTATTTTCTCTACACAAGCCGTCCCAAGACCAATTCTTAGCTCTACCTCAGCTGTACCAGTTCAAGTGCTTTTCTGTTTCCCAACTGTACCAAGTCCAGTTATTTTCTCTACACAAGCCGTACCAAGACCAATTCTTAGCTCTACCTCAGCTGTACCAGTTCAAGTGCTTTTCGCTTTCCCAACTGTACCAAGTCCAGTTATTTTCTCTACACAAGCCGTACCAAGACCAATTCTTATCTCTACCTAAGCTGTACCAGTTCAAGTGCTTTTCTGTTTCCCAACTGTACCAAGTCCAGTTATTTTCTCTACACAAGCGGTACCAAGACCAATTCTTATCTCTACGTAAGCTGTACCAGTTCAAGTGCTTTTCTCTTTCCCAACTGTACCAAGTCCAGTTATTTTCTCTACACAAGCCGTCCCAAGACCAATTCTTAGCTCTACCTCAGCTGTACCACTTCCAATGCTTTTCTCCACCCTGTCTGAAAATAATAAAAAATAATTCCTAAGTGTAAACTATGAAATTCAAAGCGACATTTTTGAAGGAATTTTTTTAATCGAATCAGAGATGTTGCGTGCCTATCTCCGGTATCTAGGCTATTCCAAAGTTTAGCACTCTTAGACGAAAATGATTTCTGTCCATTGCATTGTTCTTTGGGAGCTTTAAAACAATGTTTGTAATACATGGCTGCCATGCTGTACCTTAGAAAGTTTTTGTGAACATATCACTCTTATATTTGGAGGCTAGAAGGTTCAAAGACTTGTGAAATCGTCCTGATGTGTTCAATCATGTAATTGGCTGTTATGGACTACCTAGATTCTGAATTTGATTACTAGAGGCATCAAAACCTGCAGCTCTGTCGCGGAGCATCTGAAGTTTCGAGATTCCAGTCATGCCACAGCAGCCTGGAAAATATCGTCAAATAAAAACAGAGACAGTGTTTGAAGTTCCTTAAAGAAAACTGTAATTAGCGTTTTGCTATCACTTTGCTCTTGATACATGGCTATTACAATCAATCCATTTTCTCATTTTCCAGCCAAAACGTTCGCTTGTTTTATTTGAATCTAAGACTATTTTTTGGCCAGTGGTACGTAAAAAGCTGTCTTCTACTATCACCTTTTTTAGAATTTAGTGAACCCATTGAACAAGTGCCTAGTCTAGCTCCCTAATTTCAGTGTAAAAGGGGATTTGCGCGAGCGATCTGATATATTTAATATCGAAGAGAACAAGCAATGATAAGTCCGGCATGCTACCGTTTACTTTTCGACACTGTAAATAGGTTTCCATTGAAGAACGCGTGTCTCGGAGATGCATTTACTATCTATATACCACGTGCATACATTACATGAAGTATTTACGCAACATCATAATAGGTATGAATCACCACAATGCTACCCCTTTTTTGAAGAACAAAGTCCCATCTTTTAAAGTTTAAAAGTCTGTTTTTTCATTTCATCAAGTGAGATGGTATTGAAATTCCATATCGAACAGAATTGGTATTCTTGATCGCTTTGAACGTCATCATTATTCTCTGCCTCTTCATTTGGATCTTTTCATTGTTCTTTGAATCCCTGTTCTTTGTTTCTCTATCTCGTCCCTCGTTTCATAATGTGGTACTTTCTTGAAATGCGATATGTTTCTTGTGATGATCTGACTTTTGTTCTTTGCTACTACTCTTATTTCTTTAATCTGTATGACAGTGAGCCGCTCTGGATTAAACTTTGATGTTATCTTGTTTCTTTTCTTTTGTAGGAAAATAACAATGTATCCATCTTTAGTATCAATTTTAGAATTTCGGCCTGAGCAGAGTAGTATACACAATCTCTACTTCTGGAAACTTTGTATTTGTCAATGACCCCCAATAAATATTGTTGAGAATCTTGTATTGGTCCTAAAAAGTCAATCCCTGCATGATGCCAAGGTATGTTTTCAGTTTGTGTTATCTGCGTTGGCTTAACTAATTTGCTTATACTCACTGCTTGGCAAGAATTAGGGCTTCTATTAATTCTTTAACTTTTTGGCTCATGTTTGGGTACCAAATCTTTTCTCTCAACAAACTCTTCGTCTTTTCAATACCTTGGTTGCCTGTGTGCTAGCTCAGTTGCTTTGTCTTGTAAGACTTCTGGGTTTATAATTCGGTTGCCTTTCACTGTGCACCCATTGTGATATGTTTTGTTTCGCATGCTTCGGTTTTTAGAGTTATATCTATCTACCTGGCGAAACAAAATCACGATGGAGAAAATGATGCAGAAACCATGAACTAGAGGATAGGTTGTGTAATTTCGAAGTCACATTTAAGCGTTGGCTCTAAGTGTCCTGATATTTAACATCAAATTCTGACGAAAACGTTCAATTAAGAACGCTCTCTGCTCCTGTACCTTTATACCCCTCAATTCCTTCCCATCACTCTGCTATTCACGCGCTCGAATTGATGAGGCTCGTGTACCCATCCAGGGTACTGTTTTTTTGTGTGCTTTTAGTGCAAAAAACATTTTTGAGAAATGGGTGCTTTTGGTCCTTCTTGGAATTGAAAATCCTTTAAGGCTATCTGTCGTGAATTATTGGTAATTAGGATTATCACAGTGTAGCCTCGTGTTTTCATTTGTTTCGCCACCTCATCCCCCACGAACACTGAATTTTAATTGTGCCGTAGTTCAGCAGCCAAGAAGACAGGAAAGGAACATCGGTAGAGAAAAATGAAACTCGTGAGATTTCTTGAAGCAGGCTCCTTTCTTTACTTCATTTAGATTCCACAGAAAGAGCTTCTCACCGGGAGAAACCACTCAAAGTTCTGCTCCATTGCATCTGTGATAAAAATCATTTGCAAGTAAATTTTGGACGATAAAGTTTGTATTGGCTTCTGAATTTATCATTAAAATCTTGTGCAGGGATGAGACTATCATAGTTATCTCTAAGAACAACGACATTGAAGAAAAACAATGAAGACTAAGGAACAGTTGTTGGCGAAGTAATTTGAAGTTAGGCCGAAGTTTAAATCTCCTTTAACATTCCTAAGCTACACGGTCCTTTTGTCTGTTTCGACTGCTTGTTGGTGGGATGTCATTTTAGAAAATTTAGTGTGGACTTGAAAGAACAATGGTCGGTGGCTGATCTTATCACAGCAATCCCGCTTATTTACGAAATCGTCTAGATTAAATTACTTTCCAAGAATACAATGGTATCCTGTCGTTGTTGCTATGCACATGAACTATAGTGCTAACTTGCTGGTTCAGCTATCAACGAATGTTTCCGCAAGGAATGTATTGAAACTGCTAGACCGGTTCGCAGCACACTGGAAAATTGGTATGTACGAATAACACATATAAATTCTTTTGAATTTTATTGCAGTATTTTTTTTAACAAAACCCTATAACTGTAAGCGAAATATAACTTTGTTTTACAATGCTAAGGTAATAATCACGCATTATTAATTGTCCTTTAGCGTTTAAATGCTAAACAGCAAAGCTGCCGTATGTACGTCCAGCTTATCTTTAGTAGGTAAATGTATATAATCATAAATAAATATAAAAGAATTCGATGGAAGGTTCGTGGTAGAAGTTTAGGAAGCTCACCCCAGAAACAAAAACAAATTGCATCTTCATTGAAACACCACATTAGAGTGGTTCATGTCACTCTTTCTATTACCACTCTAACTTGCGAACTCTAAATAGAACATTTTGAACTTTGCAGTTTAGAGACTTGATGTTCTTAACAAATCAAGCTGCAGGGTTTCAGAAGCATTCAAAGTTAAGCCACAACCAGGATGGCACACGGAGCGAAGCATCTAGAAACAAGAATACAGGCCGACATGTTAAACTACATGTCAACAAGGCCCAGTCATTCGATTACGGTGGGTGCAGGCAGGTCCTTAAAAACAACCAAAAGGAGGAGAAAACGCACCATGAGTATATGCCAAAGTCTGCACCAGGCTCACCAACAGCAGGACGAAAAGCACCGCTCACTTCCAAACACTTAAATGCTGTAATTTCTCCAAAGACCGCCCTTAGAAACTCCCAAACATTGTTGAAGAAGATAGGAAGCACGGAAAAACTAAAAGACTCCGTTACCTATACAAAAGGCAATACTTCAAATACCCATCTTAATCAGATTGCAGCAAGATCGTTTTGTAATCTCACAGTTAATGAAACGAGAGACAAAAATCTTTTGTATGTTGAAGACTTTCGCTTCCAAAAGTCTTCCTCTCTTCCTGAACTTTCTTGTTCATTCGGCGCATCTCCAGAAAAAAGGAAATGGCAAACTGTCGCTCCCACGTCTACCGATGGTTTACCAAACATAGAAGAAAAAGAATTTACAATCTTCAGCACGGGAGACACAGATGAAAATAATCGAGATACTTCCTCAAGCTACAATGAACACATGGATAGTGGACCTATATCTGCAGATTGCAGCCAAAGGACAGCAGAGGAATGTGATTTTGAGGACAGGCTTATTCCGCTTCACGCATCTGCTCTCTTTACAGTCAATAGAAGTTCTTACAACAAGGGTGCGAATAAACGCCGTGAAATGATGTTGGAAAAAACAATGTTGGAAGATATTTTGCCAGAAAAAAATCAATGCTTTGCTTATGGGGAAGGACTAAACAATGCAAGGAAATATCAAACGTCTTCATTCTTTGTTGAATTTTCGAAACTGACGTCTTCAGTGGACATTGAAGTGAAAGTTACGGGGCCAAGAATTCTACCACCTAAAATGACGGTGAAGCAGATTAAAAAAGGAAAGTATGAAATAGAATATACACCAAATGCTGTTGGTAATCACGAGATTAGCGTTAAATGTCAAGGGGAACATATAAATAAGAGCCCATTTACTTTCAGTGTTACTGAACAAGTGTCCACTGTCTGGGTTTTAGCTTAAAAGCGCTCAACTATGACTTATCAATTTACGAAAAGCTTTTATCAATTCGTTTCAAAATTATACGATGTGTTAGAAGAAAGACTTTATCGTCATAAACTCGAATGGCATTAATATTTCACAATTGCCTTCTAATTATCGCTTCGTCAAAAGCACGGAAAATTACACCCAAATGAATAAAGTCGCTGCTTGTCCATGCTCTCTATTTTCAATGCAAATATTACATCATTCTACAATCGAGCAGTGGCGTAGATAGAGGGGGTCATGGGGGGCAAAAAAACCCTCTGCAAAGCTAAACAGCTATTCTGTCGGATAATTTCTTATCTTGTCGAAAACAAAACAGGGTTTTTAATTTTTATCTAAGTGTTACACAGTCTTTAAAGTTTATTATAATAATTTCTTCAGTTCTACTGTCGTTATGTTTCGTTATCGTTATGTTAATCTGTGTCACAACTTGTTGAGTCTGTGTCAAATGGTACACGGCATGCCATAAAAATGACATTTTATAATACGCAAAAATACATTTCAATCTAGTATCATATCTGTGTGTTTCTTTGGTCCTAAATATTTGGAACATATTCAAGAAAACATAAAAGATCGTTGTCTGTTGTCAGTTTTTATCAAAAGTTAAAAACCTTTTATTCACCAAGAACTATCACATTTGATTCTGAAGTGAAATTTATTGTTCAGTCACTCATGTAAATGATCAATTACAATCAAAACCACCTTAGAAAAGGGGGTGCTCTCTCCTCGGTTAGCTCATCTACTGAGAGAGCTCCTCCTAAAGAAACTCACCTGCAAACAACATCTTACGTGACTGCTATATATTGTCTGTTATTATAAGTATTTTGTGTTATGTGTGAAAATTGTATGTAATTAGTTGTAATGTAATTGTAGTAAGATATTGTATGTAGAGGAATTTTAAAATATAAAAAATGAACTAGATTGAACTTTGTTTAAATGTATGAAAAAATTAAAATTTTTTTCAGATTTTTGTCGGAAAATCTCAGTTTCGCCCCTCCCATGAAATTTTCTATCTACGCCACTGCCACCGCACCAATCATAATTATATTGAAACTTCTCGTAAATAGACATCTAAAAATGTAGATGAAGTTATAAAAAAATATGTTAAATAACTAGTCCACAAACAAAACTAAACGGAAGTCCTGGGTTCTTGGGCCTTAATCACCAAATCATGTTCATAATTTTGCAAAAAAATTGGTGACTTTTGACTGGTTCGTTCTGCGATTCAGCCAATCACTTTGAGTGTGGGCAATCACACCTGGACGGGCGTCTGCTGTGTCATTGTTTCCTTTTGACTCGAGAAAACAAAATACATCTTCAAGGCAAGATACACTCACATTTTTGATAAGAAACAAAGGTCGATGTTGAGTACTCCAGTTTCTTAATGTTCTGGAAATTTCAATACATATTGTTTCTTATGAGTTTCTTAATCATGATGTCATGAATGATGTTATGAAACGTTCGTGGCCTCTTTTATCACGTCAAGAGATTCGCTTCCGTTCTGATGCTGTATTTGGGTGTGGGAAGTATATTTTTATTCCTTATGTCTCAAGCGCTAGGCCAACAGGGCAATAATGTTCTTGGATTTTACAAAATTTCGTTGCTCTCAGTTTTATCACGATTTAATTGTTTCTTAATTTTTTTGCTTCGAGAACTGAAGTTTCTTATTTTTTTTCTGACTGTCCAGTACTCGTTTCTTATAGCCAGTTTCATATAAAAAATTGAGCGTATTGCCTCATGATACAAATGGCCGTATCAACGGGGTGGAATTATAAAGAATCCGGCTGTTTGGGATCGCAAATATGACCGCTGGCCGTATTGACGGGAGTCCGCATAAACGGGGTTTTTTATGAGACTATGTATGGCCGTTTTTCCGGGCCAAACAAATGTGGCCGTAATAACGAGGTGGCCGTATTAACGAAATGGCCGTAAGGCGGGGTTCCACTGTACCTTTTTCGAAATGACCTTGCACTAATAACTTCACTTCAACTCATTCAAGGCTTGAAAAAGGTCACGAAAAGCCGTTTAGTGAGCGCTAAGCAAAGCTTTGTTAACAAAGATTCCCGGGCTTAGCCCCAGATCTTCTCGAATATAGTGAAGCACTCAGATTCTAGTAACTACGTAAAAAAGAAGGCACATCAGTTTACTTTCAGATCGTACCGATTACTTCACAATAGGGTAAACAAAGTTGTTGGCAAAACTGTCGAGTCATTTAATGAATTAAAAAGCTTACTACCATTGAAACTGAGAAAACCCTTAGGAAAAAAATTTCACTCCTTCTTCCATTGTATCATCCCCAACGATGAGTTGTGCTTTTCCTCTTCTCTCTAATACCTGCAGTGCTTTTTTCAGAACAAACATGTCGATTCCTTTGAATTCTAAAAAAAGATATTACCGTGTGAATTATCGGAAAAGTGCATGAAAAAAAATTGGGGAAAGTACTTCATAATAAAGAAATTGTTGGGATAATTTTGCTGTTTGTACCAGATCGTTAATGTAAGGAAAAAAGGAAAAATGATAGAAAGTAAGATAGAAGGGAATGGACAGTAGCTCTAGGTCAGCTCTAGGTCAACAAAAAGGCAATTTTAAACTGGCGACCATTTAGATTGGAAATATGGGTGTGATTATCAGATGGTTGTTTTCTAAATCAATCTGTTGATAAACATAATATGTTGTTCTGTATTTGATGATTTTCTGGGCTGATATTTTTGCATTTGGATGTTATTAACGTTTAACAGAAAGCAACAAAAAAGTGACTGCCTAGAATAATGATAAAGCATGTTATAACGACTGTCTATTCAACCGTTATTCAGAATACAAAAATTGGCGAAAAGAATGGCCTAAGTGATTAAAGCTGCAATCTAAATGAAAAAGAGGCAAAGGAGCAACTTAATTGTTTTCATCGGTATTATCAAGTAGGCCACTTTCGTTATCTTTTAGCATTGTTTTCTTTTGGTATATTCGGCACCCCTAAACAACGCTTATTTAAATAATGACACTCCACATCTTGCTTTTGTTGCAAAAGACCAAATTATATGATGTATTTTTCATAAAGGTATTGCCAATTTATACGAAACAATGCCATATTTAATTGTTGCAGGAAAGGACAATATCGCTTTTATAAGCTTCTTCAAATAGGAATTGGCATAGTCGGACATTGTCCGAAAATATGATACTCCTGTTATACACTGAAAATATGACACTCCTGTAAGAGACTGCAAATATGACACTCCTGTGACACACTGTGCATAATTTCTTACTATGTGAACTTGTCTGACGAGACGATGCCAAACTAGGAAACATTCTCACACATGCGATAACGCTATAGAAATGTCTAAAAACCGTCTAACATGCGTTTAATTCGATTTGTAATACATCCCGGATGATAAACTGACGCAAGGATCGCCAAGTTGTTAACAAGCGGTTTCCATTAGAAAAACCATCGACGCAAAGATCGCAAGAATCGCAGACGCAAAGATCGCAAGAATCGCAGAGATAGAAAATTTCTCAAACGCAAGAATCACAAGAATCGCAAGAATCGCAACAGACGGAAAAGGGCAGTTTCCATTAATACGCAAGGATCGCAAGGATTGCAAGGATCGCAAGTCACAAATTTCAGCGATCCTTGCGTTTATTGCGTTTTGCGATCATATGGAAACCAGGCTTTAGATCACATGTTCTGTTAAGTCCTGTTGAACGCTTTTTATGGCAATGTGTTTGTCTCTCAACATGTAGTGTGACGCTCGTATTGTCCTGTTAATTAGCTTTTGTTTATGTTATTAGGTTATTAGTATGTGTTGATCACGTTATAAGTTAAGCCCTGTCCACACTACACAAACTAACCCAGGTTCGCCCCAGGTTTTAGCTAACCCAGGTTAGATTTTGCAGTGTGGACACAACTAACCTGGGTTCGCCCTGGGTTAGTTTAACCCATCTCCAGAGGTGGGTTCGACCTAGGTCGAACCCAGGTTAGTGTTCTAAATTTCTAGTGTGGACACAAAACCTGGGGCGAACCTGGGTTAGTTTTTTTAACGCATGCGCATATTTGAATATGTTTTCATTTTGCGCGCCGAAAAATAAAAATACGTTACATGCAAACACCAGGCAAGATAAAGAAACTTGCAAAAAAGATCGTGGATCACTATGGAGCCGCGAAGAAGTTCCCAGCTTCATAAGTATCTGGAGAGACGAAAAGATTCAAGAACAGTTGGATGAAAAACTGTACAAGGAAAAAACATGTTTACTACATCCAGATAAGTGAAAAAAAAAACAACTAAAACAGTCTTATCAGAAAGTTAAAGACAACAACAACTTGTCAGGAAGAGGGAGGAAAACATTTGAATAAACTGCAACTTCGGCAACTTCCATCTTGATCGTGTTTATGTAAAATTTGTTTTGTGTCGTTGTTTTGTTGTTGTTGTAATTTAACTACGCATGCGTAGCGTCAGCTAACCTGGGTTCGCCCCGACTTTGTGTCCACATTACAAAACATGAAAATCAAGTGTGGACAAAACAGGGTTCGCCCCAGGTTAAATTTAACCTGGGGCGAACCTGGGTTAGTTTGTGTAGTGTGGACAGGGCTTTAGTCTTTCTATTGAAGCATTAGAGACAACACCAAAGAAGTAGTATCTTTTGTGCGTTACTTATTGAGGGCCTAGACCCTTTGGCCTGGCCCGTCGCTCCACCAAAAAGCTGGTTATTAACGGGCAATTCACCGTCATAACAAGAAACGGGCAATTCACCCTGATCGTTACATATCGAAGAAAACAGAGTACAAACCGTCATTTCCGACTCCTTCTTCACTAGTTAGTTCATAAAGGGTGCAGACTGTGTCATCCAAACCATTAGTTTTCACCTATTAAGGCAAAAAGACTGCTAGTGATAAAGGCTCAAAAAACAGGGACAAGAGAAATAATTTTAACTGACCAGTCCATATGCATCAACCAGAGTAGACCCAGAAAATGAAAGAATATAAAAACCATAGGACTTGTCTTTGCTTTTCAAATCTTATAAAACCGAAAAACAAGGGTTGTGATAAAAGCTCAAGAGCAGAGGCAAGCAAAAGGAATTTCACTTTGGACTTTAGTTTTTTCGAAGGGATGTGTTGGATTGCCGGTGATGTGTCGCATGCCCTTAATGTTACACCCAACCACGCCCAGTAGTTTCAGGAATGTAACACAAAATATAGAGCAGGGAAAATCCTAAAGTTATCAATGTGAATATAGAATATTAAATACTAATGTGAATAAGGTAACGGGACTCGAGCCAACGTTCTCAGAAAATACCCTTCTGACCGGCCTCAGAGCTCCCCGCTCACAAATTGAATGCTTAGATACGATAAACAGTTTTCTTAACTGCAAAGGAATCATGCAGCGTTATCGCGTCTTGTTGCTATGGCCACAGCGTATATTGTCAACAGTCCAGTCAATCTTAAAATATCTAATTACAGCAAGCCTACATAAAGCATTGCATCAGCGCTAAAAGTAAACACAAAACATTAAAACGAGCCATTTAAACATTTTTTATTTATTAATTCTTCATTTAACAGGGTAAAGTAACCAAATAAAACATAGATGGTTTTCAAAACTGCCATGTAAAAAAGAAAAATATTAATCGCTAAAATAAAAAATATAAGAGTAAAAATAGTTTTGCAATAAAACAATGACCGGCAAGAATTAAAAATGGTCCCTTAATGTTCTGGACTTTTCAAGACGGGTTTCAATTTGCTCCAAGGTTTCCAATTAATTTTGATTTAGCAATAAGGTCATCCCATAATTCCCCTGTTCGTAGATACAAGACACAAATTTGTCTATGAATATTCAAAATCTTTATTCTTTGAAAATGTCTGTCATTGTTGTTTAAAAACATGGGTTTTACCACTACACGGTACTCAACATTACATGGTTTTATGCTGATCAAATGAAATTTCATCAGAGTTAATTTCACGAGGGATGTTGTAGAATTTGATTTCACTAGGGGTTCTTATTTTAGCTTATTGGTATTACTCTCATTTGGGTGTCAATTATCATGCTTCAGTTTGGTAATTACGTCCTTAGGTGCTTCTTTGATGCCATTGGAAATTGGGCTTCTGTACGAAAGTCTTGGTCCCTTGACTCAAATGGGTGTATTTAATTGTTTTGGGTCGGGATTATCGTGCTTATTTCGTAGGCTGTTCCTTCGCCGTTCTTTTCTCCCGTCCCTCCCTCCCTATTTAATATCAAGCGTAGTGTGTTTCTTCAAATCCTTGTTTATTCTTTTGTATTAGGCTAGGGTCTGTCTACATCACAGAATTATTTTGCAAGTTCTTGTTATTTTTCGTTTAGAAAAGACTAGGCTCTCAATTCCGTCGTGTTTTCTCTACCCCTCGTATATCTTAGGTATCTAAAGTTCTGGGAAGGGAATGGACAAGAAAAGTTCACTTTTCCCCACCATAGAGCCGATGCACCAGTCCTACATTAGATAAACTTTAAGCTGCTTGTACTTGAGACTATAAAGCTATAGCAAAGGTTAGGTTTTTTGCATGGGTTTGGTGAGGCAACTTGTGCCGATGCACCAACGGCCAAACGTTGCTTCCTCTGGTGAGGGAATGTAGCCTCAAGACCTGATTTGATGAGGGATGTGGCAACGTCTTCTGAGGGAGCTTTTTTATTTAAATTGTTGGAATGCATTTGTTGATCTTTTTTCTCTGAGTAAGAATTTAACTCATGCAGCTGGGGTGTTGAAACAAATGCAAAAAACCTTTAGCAAAATGCATAGGGGCAATTTCAAGCCCCACTTCCAGTACTCTTGTTCGGTGAGGGACTGCTGTGGGGGGGGGGGGGTTAACCAGGCTGTAGACCCTACAGAAGTTGCATAATAAATGCTGTAAAAATTGTCAGAAAAAGTAGGTCCGATACGTGGCACAAATTGCTGAATGGTGTGGTAGCTCATTACTTTTCGAACATGTTTGTCGAAAATTCTAACCGAAATGCCAGAAGGCTGAGAAATACTGAAACTGATCTTTCACCACCAACTATTAATCGACGAAATGCATTGTCCTAAAGCGAGCCTTTGCTTTGAAACCAACTTGAACCGATGTTAAATAGACACCGTACTTTACCACTTTCAAGGAATGATTCATAAATTCCCTACAATGTTAAAGCTAAGTTCTTTCAATATGATGATTTTTAAATTGTAAAAAACGGTTGCCACGGCTCTTTGAAAAGCATTTCTGATGAACTCGAGGGCGTACCTTAACAATTAAAAATGAAAAGAATTGAATGAAGAAGTACAAGTATAGAAGGCATGAGTTGAAATGAACAAAACAATTTTGTAAACGTGAATTTTGTAAAGTGGAGTCACCGGCTGAATGGCATGCACGATTGAAGCATGCACGATTGAAGCATGCACGATTGAAGCATGCACGATTGAGGCATGCGAGATTGAGGCATGCACGATTGAGGCATGCGCGAGTGATGCATGCGCGAGTGATGCATGTATGATTGGGATCAATTATTAGAAAAGTAGCCATCTCAAACAATAATATCTTTCTCTTGATATCACTTTGTGTCATTCTTTGTTGTAAGCGAGGCTAGATTATCTATTGTGGCAACCTTCTCAGTTGTGGCTTGGACAAAAAATGTGTTCTGCTTGTAGCTCGGGGGGAGGAGAGCATATTGTAAAATATCATATGCATGTTTCAATTGGTATCTTGTAAAATATTTCAATATTGGGGTCCACCCCTACTTAGTCTAAAAGTTATCGAGAAAAAGTTATCGAGAAAAAGTCAATATTTCCTCAATAACATTTAGTTTTTCGTTCACAACTGGATTCAATTTGTTGACATCGTGTTTGTCACTTTTTTTCGGGGAAATTTTGTGTTACATCTCTTTTGCTTACATTCACTAGCCTTGTGTCCTTTTTTTTACAAAATAAGAAGTAATCGGTCTAGCTGTCTAAAATTAACTTTCATAACAGTGGTTTGTCAACTGTCTTCGTAAGTGCGTAATGACACATTGAATTATTGAAATGAATGTTGCTTATCCTTTTGTGTAACCAATGTATTGAATGCATTAAAACTGGCTTCAAGTCCTTTTAAAACCATTGCAATAAGGGTAGAAGCACCAATTACTTCATCAGAGCTTTAAAGTGCTGCTGCTGCAGTTTCTGCACGAATTACATCATCTGTTCTAGTTACCTCTCCTTTCTTGCTGAGGGTGGCTAGCTGAGTATACAGAGCAATTATCTTTGGTTTACTTCAAATCACGTAGTGCTCTCTCAATACTTCTACTCAGTTCTCGGTATGGAATTATATGATATGGACCTTAGAAAACCCGAATAAAAAATGAGATTGGTGAGTACACTTTTGTGTCAGGAACACTAGTTACTAAGAATTTTTGGGTTTGCCTTGAAAGCCTCTTTGCACAGCAAATTCTTAATTTATAAGAACCAGTAAATTGAGGTTCAGACTAGCTGTTCTTAACTTTTCCAAAACTTTGAGGCTGGGTTGTTCTTAATTTGCTCATAAAATATTAGGGTGTAAGCAGTGCAATCGCTAGCTATCGTGGCCAGGATCTTTTGCCAAAAAATGTGTGAGACATATTTTATTTACTAACAATTTGAAAATACACCGACAAAACCTCTCTAGATGGCAAAATGTTTTTGAGATGGAAATTTTGGAGGGGGTTTCACAACTTTGTTTAAAATAATAATTGACTGTACCTGAGCCAATGTCTGTTCTTAATTTGTTCTCAACTTTAGACCAATTTTCAGGCTCGTGTTCTTTATAAACTTGCTCCAAAAAGACTCTATTGTCAAAATCTCACAATGGGAAAAATCTATTGGAGCAATTGTCCTCCTCCTTTATATAAACAAAGGCTTGTCCCTGCAGCTAATTTCCTTTTAAATAGGCTATGAGGAGTTCCGATGCAAATTGGAAGGTAGGGGGTCCAAGGGCAAAAGAAAGACCCATAACAAAAGATTTTGCAAAAAGCTCTATTGTCTTGCAAAAAAGGACGGGACATGGTGTCATTAGCACCTTGTCGTGGGAGTCCTGGTTGCTTGAATGCTTTTTTTCTGAATGCTACATCTTTTCTTAAGAAATGGCCACTATCTGGAGCAAATCTCTGGAAACCCTTTCTAATTTGGGATTCCAAAGTATTGACAAAATAGATTTGAACCTCAAAGCGCCGCCATTGTTGATTATATAGTTAAAAAAGGAGTTACCCAAGCATTAATGACATCAGCCCACTCTTCTGGCGTTCTCCAGTAAACGAAGCATCTGTTTTTCGTTTTGGAATCTTCCCATTCAAGGTTACCTAAAAAATTTATCAGTATCATAATCGAAATAACAACGAACAATGAATAGCTGGAATTTAACTTTAATGAATCAAAGTGCATTACCTCCATAAAAATGAAAAAATGGTTCGAACAGTTTTTGATGTTATTTTTCGCCGCAATGAAGTTTTAACGGCACCTGTCCAACGTTTGTGACCCCAATGTTTCAGCGTCGAGGTCATATGGTCAAGGTGCACAAAACAAATAACTTTAGCGCCTTATCAGGGTTTCTAATTATTGTTGTTGGGAAATTTCCGTTCTTCGCAACGTTATGCTACTCTTGCCACGAAGAAACATGCATCCATTGTGCAATTCCAGTTTGCAAAATATGCTGGATTCCAGATCTGGATAAGGAAACAAGAGGCTGAGTTTCAGGCGTATCTGTTGCAATCAATAGTTGCAGAACCAAATTTAAAGGTAATTTCCAAGAGCACTAAAATTCTGGCCATGCACTCGTTGTTGTGGATTTGAATTCGATCAAGTGACAGTTCTGGAAGATATTGTAATGCTGTCATTCAATTCGTCATTTGTTTTCTGTATATCGGTATTGACAACGAAATCAAGCTTTTCTAAAGTGATCAGATGGTTTTATGGTTTAGATACTGAAGTTGTTTCGATCTTCTTGAAAGTCCCGGATTATTCCATTACCCTTCAAGTATTCCGTTTGCTGAAAGGCAATTACACGGCATTGCCAAGACCTGGCACTGAGGGTGCACGTCCAGCATCATTGAACACTGAAACACATGCCCACCGATTCTCCGGCATGTTGGCTTAGCCTTGCTTATCTGGCTATCGGTTGTCGTACCATCCCCTATCATGGTTGTTGCAAATATTGGCAGCAATGTGTGTGCAAATTGCAAATACTTATCCATGTATGTCTTCCGTACTTCTTCTCCAGTGTTTGTACATGTTGGTAGCATATGGTCACCATGCTTATGTAATTTGGCAACATCTGGATATCTTTAATTTGCTCTTCCTTGGCTGCCAACGTTTTTGAAACATGAATTTTTTAATATCTTGTGTCTCCTTCTTTAACATGCCCAATCTTCATCAGTGTCAGCCTTTATTACAAATCTAACCCTCGCTTTGATCTTCTTCTATCAATTTAGTGTATGCCCCTAGTTCCGCTTGTTTAAGTTCAGGTTATGTTGTATCTTGCTTTTCAGCAGCTTTATTTTTTTCTTCTTGCCATTCTTCTCATATTTTCAACCAACACAGCCTCGCTTGGGCAAGTATGACTACACAAGTTGATTCTTCAGTGTTTTCTCTTTGCCTCTCTGAAGAGTTAAATCCAAGAAGCTCCGGTAACAATTCTAAATATTGTCAAGTCTAATTCTCTATTAAAAATGGATCAAAAAGCACCGATTAAGATATCAGTGTGGTGCTGTTGTTATATTAGTTATGATAGCAATCCTTTTTTTAAAAGGTCAAAAACTAACTCTTGTCAAACTCTACATGGGTAGCTTCAAGTATTCATCGCGTAGAAGAAGAGGAAGAAGTCTCCGGGAAAATGTCATTTTCTAGAGGAAATAACGGAAAACTGGCAATATGTAGGTGTGATTTACTTGACTTTGATTCTTGCGACCAAGAAGAGGAAGGGGTTAGGAGGGGGGGGGGGGGGGTGGATGGATTGGATTGTTGGCATAAATCATGAGACTGAGGAAATGCCGAGATACTATTTTCCCGGCAAAATTAAAATTTGAAGGAATATTTTTCTGCAATGTTGGCCTTAACTAAAAAATTCGTTTGTTTAACTGGTCTTTCTTTTAATCGTCCTACTGTTATTGCGAGGCCCTCTAGACAAAAGTCAAGTCAGGTGCATTAGATAACAAGGAAAAAGCTAAAAGTGTTTGCAAAACTATGACTTGATGAAACCAACTCTTACGTTGCTCTTCAAGAAGACTAAATCAGACAGATGAATATGAGTATTATATATTCACCTCGTGTTTCTAGTTTCTATTGAGCATATATTTTAGCTTTCCTTTCCAAGTGGCGTACATTGGCGGGTGTGTTACTCTTGTAAAAGTACTTTTACTGTCATTTGAAGCTTTTGGAGTTTTTTGCTCAAGCATCATATTGGCGTCTTTTTATAGAGGATTTGTGCTACAAGAAGCTCAGAGATCCCAAACGAATAATGGCGGAAATCGTGCATAGGTCCATTCTTTGCGAAGTGAAAATAAGAACCAGTCCAACGCTGTAGGCCAATTGGTCCATCATAATACATCTACAACAGTTAATAATAGGCTTTTAAATGATATACTATATTTTTTGCTGAATTATAGACTGATTTTCTAGAATCAGAATTCGCAATGTTTGCTTCCTTTGGTGTCTCTCGCGTGGCAATCTTTACTCATTTGTGACGCATTGAAAATTTAATCCTAATACTGCATAAGCAATTCTTTCTCAAAAATGCACTGTAAAAATTCTACTTCAATTTTAATTAAATTCTTATTCTGTTTTAAAGCAAGCAAAATCTACGCATACATTATTGACTGTTTCTTTCTTTCTCAATTTAGTTCAGAGAATCATGCAAAGAGAATCAGAGGATCATATTCCACATTGCTTTGACAGAAATGAACTGCACTTCTATCTGCAATCAACAGATTATCATTGACATTGTAAAGTTTACTACACTTTGAAATTATAACATCTAATCAAACACAAAATGGTCGACGCTTTGTTCAATTAGTTGTTCTTGAGAGCATTAGTTCCCAATTCCCTCGGTCATTCTTCACAGTAAAGACAACAACACATTACTCGGTAGCTCCATTTTCATGCTTGCTCTTAGAAGCGTGGTTGTGGATATAGGACCTGCAACCCCGTATGCAATTTCTATGCACAAGACCGATGAAACTGACGATGATAATGTCTTTTTGGAAAGCAAAGTGTTTGGTTAAAAAACTTTCACTTTTTGTTAGTTTATGCAATTTAGTTGGCTTTTTAGCAGTATTTTTGCAAACACTTTGGCAACGGTTCTTTTTTGTACATTCGTGACAAGTTTTCCCTGTGTTAGGAAACAGGTGTTTACGTGAATGTCGGTAAGAATAGAGTTTTTTAATTGTTAAAATCACAAAATCTTACTTTAGAAATTTTGAAATTGGCACTCATAACCTGAGGAAGCATCATGAAAAACCTCCAAACGCGGAACATCAGTTAATTTTGTTACAATTTGGCGGATATTGCCACATCAGCACAGGATCCTCCAAAAAAATAAAGTAACTTGTTAGCAAACTTCAAATCTTTTATTGGTCATATAATACCCGATGTATAACATATTTAACTGAATTTGTATATTAATATGATCTATTGAACTGATTTTGTGCAAAATTTACTGGCATGGTGCTCCGATACATCTAATATGCGGAAAAGATTAGCATATATTCGAATGTTGTAGCCGGTCTTGCTCTAGATGTGCTTTTCGACGGGACTTTTTTTTGAACGGCACGGCAACCAGAGACTATTTTATTCAAGGATCAGTATCGTGACATTCGTTGGTTTGAGCAAGCTCACGTTGTCTTGTATGGTATTCTGTCAAATTATCTACTTCCTTCTGGTTGTATCTTTGGAAATCCAAATTTTTCTTTGGCAGGAATTGCTTGATCAACTGATCAGTTGCTTTCTTAAAGCATCAGGGTCTCCTGCATCGCTAAGGGTTTGGAAAATTGGATAGATTTAATTCCCCAAGAAGTATTCTTTGTCGCCTTCCTTCTTCGATGTCCATTGATGCCAATGCTCAAGATATTCCTTTCATCTTTGGCCCGTATTTGGTGAGGCGTGTTGGCCGAAAGGCGTTGTAACCTCCGAAAGGTGATACAAAAAAGTCCAACTTGCGATATATATATATATGTATATACACATATTAATTCAGATTCATGTGTGTATACTTCCACATATATCAGCAACTAAATATCGAGCTCATGTTTCGAAGCGATTTCTCAAAATGTCTGTCAACGCATTGGCTGACGGGAGCAAGGACTAAGCACCACCCTTTCCCAGGACTCGATCATTTCAACTCGATCATTTCAACTCGATCGTTGAAGCTGTAGGCCTAATAATCGTGGAGAGATATACAGTTTCTAACAATCGCAAGTAAAAAAAGGTAAGAGACAACGATGATCATATGTAATATTTAGCTAAATCCCGATAAATCTCTTCCAGGTATCGTATTCACATGAATAAGTCACGTGTTTACAACACTAGGAAAAAAGGTTCCAATTTTGATAAATGATTTACAAATTGTTGGATTCATATCATCCGCAGCCCTTGACTTCGCACATTTTGGGAATTACCAAAGGAATGAATAAAAAACTGACAGATAATGTATATAATATGCAGGGAATATTTCTATTGAAGTAAAGATAGAAGAGGCTCTTACCTTGATCTTTCAGACGCTCCATAATTGAATTAATGCCCTCAGTCTGCAGCCGTCCTTAAATCAGGCTAAGGAATTTGCGGTAAAAACGGTAAAGTTGAGTTCTATCTTTTTGATAATGTAAAAGTTTTGTTGTAAATTTTGGTTGCATTTAGTTTGGCTTCTATGCATTTTGTAATAAACTTCTAGTTTCTGTATTGCTTTTTTAAAAACAAACAAACAGGAAATGACTAGCGTTAATTAACCAAGCACTTTAGGCTGCACCAACCTGAAATTAAGCAATTATTTTTTATGCTTTTTTATTCATTTAGGAATATTCTCAAATCAATCTTAATTGCAATTCTCTTCAAATTTCGTTTGCATTTTCTCTTCAAATTCTCTTTGCATTCTCTCTTCCAATTTCTATTTTATTTTCTCTTTGAATTTCCTGTGTATTTTCTCTTCCAATTTCCATTTTATTTTCTTTTCCAATTTTCTTTGTAATTTTTCATTCAATTTCTGTTTTATTTTCTTTTCATATTTCCTTTGCATTCTCTCTTCCAACTTCTATTTTATTTTCTCTTCCAATTTCCTTTGCATTCTCTCTTCCAACTTTTATTTTATTATCTCTTCAAGTTTCCTTTGCATTTTCTCTACCAACTTCTATTCTATTTTATCTTCAAATTTCCTTTGCATTCTCTCTTCCAACTTCTATTTCATTTTCTCTTCCAATTTCCTTTGCGTTTTCTTTTCCAACTTCGATTTTATTTTCTCTTCCAATTTCCACTTTATTTTCTTTTCTAATTTCCTTTGAACTTTCTTCTTCCGATTTACTTTGCATTCTCTTCTCCATTTTCTGTTTATTTGTTTTTCTATTTCCTTTGCCTTTCCTCTTCCAATTTCTAACTTACTTTCCTTTCCCACCTTTTTTGCCTTATTTCCTTCCATTTCATTTGCATTTTTGTAATCTATGAGTTTATGTGAGTTCCGTTATCTATGAGTTTACATGCCAGTGTGATTCTGGCTACGTAGAACGCACTACCCAAATATTGGAGGGTAGAATAAAACAGCATGTTCCTTCTAGTATTAGAAACAAAACTCATCCCCAAAGAGAACAGTCACCTCGGTCTTGCAGATCTAAAACTACAACTAAAACATACGATTCTGCTATCTAGCAGCATTTACTGGAAAACCCAGATTGTGTAAAAAATAACAATGGCAACATGTTTCGGATTATTGGTAAAGCCCGATCGTCGATCCATCTAGCAGTTCTGGAATCTATCTACATAAGCACGAAAAACCCGCTTTTGCGTAGACAAAAGAGGTTCGTTTTCACCTTGGGACTCCACTGGTAACATTCTCAATAGGCAAACGGCACTGGTTGGACAACCTATACAGTCATGTGCTCACGTATCTTATTGGCCAATTTCGATCCACAACTGGGTATATATATTTTCTAACGTAGAGTTTTCAATCTATTTTCTGAAGTTTTATACTCTGAAGAGTGTCAGACGAAAAAGCTTTAGTATACTCAAATATTTGCTACTTTCAAAGCTAGTTTTTGCATCTTCGTCTCACATTTCTTTCGCAATATCCCTTCCCATTTCTTTCCCATTTCTTTCCCATTTCTTTCCCATTTCTTTCCCATTTCTTTTGTATTTCCTCTTCCCATGTACTTTGCATTCTGTCCTCCCACTTTCTTTGCATTTTTGCGTGGATGCTTCATCCACTTGGATATTTAATTACAAGTCTACGATAGGAGGTGCTCTCTCCTCGATTAGACTATCTACTGAGAAATCTCCTCCTTTGGAATTCCCCCAACATATGAAATCTGTATGTAGGGAATTCCTTAAATTAAGGAATTCCCTACATACAGATTTCATATGTTCTCTTAGTTTAATTTTTGATGCTTATCGTTTGTTTTATATCTGTATCATTGTATTTGATGTATTTTGTATTGGAACTTGTATGTTCTGTGAATTCAAAAATGAAAACTGAAACGATTCTCTTCTATTACCATTGCTCAGCAGAGGCAATTGGAAACTCGTTTGAACTCAACTTAACTCAGTTCAACTGCGCAGAAAATCGAGATCCACCATCGTCAGCCGTCTAAAGTATTTTGTGAGGGGTTGTCTCAAAGGGAACAGAACACAGATGATAACAGACCGTCGCTGCTTCCTACACAGTCGCTTTACGATTTATTGGAAACCAGGCTTTCAAACATATCATCATGGAGTAACTCCGAAGAGTTTCAATAGTAAAACTAGGCCTAATTTTAATTTGACAAGTAGGGGACACAAAGGTTTAACCTAACTGAAAGTACAAAATTTATTAAAAAATATAACGAGAGACTTAAAGAAGATTATATTTCTTGATGGATACTGTTAATTGCTTTGTTCCAGAAAAGAGAGCTGCTCTGGGCATCACCGATATCTATTTTGTAGATGGAGTGATATTTACAATACTGAAGCAGCAAGGAACACCAGTCCTCTAACTGTTTAGTACGTGTGTCTGTATTTGGTTGGATCCTAAAAAGGAAACAGTGGGATAAATCAGTTCAAGTTATCAGCGACGTCCTTTTATATTCTAGCCCACTTTATGTAACATATTTCACATTACTGGCCTTCATTGCCAAGCACTGTTATGAAAAAAGAACAACATAATATGTTAACATAAGCTTCTCCATCACACCCCATTTTTGCTTACTTTTTATCTGCTTCCCGTTTCTTACAAAACAAAACACTTTTAAACATTAAGTGATTACTTTCTGGGCCGTTTATACGGAGAGAAAGACTGAGATTTATTTTGCTATCACTTAATACGATTCTTGTTTTGAGTCTTTTTCTGAATCAGTTCATTCAAAGCCATATTTACAATGATAGGCAGTATGCATAACATCATTATGCAAATCTTCAAATATCCTGTCGATATTGTTCCAAATCATGTCACCTACAGTATAAACCCGGCCACCTTCGCTGATTCCTCAGTCAGGTAAGTCAGCAAAGCGTTGTTTATTATTTTTGAGCAACGTACCCTGCAGATGTCGTCTCTTGCTGGCCATGGCATACCTTTTTGCAGATTGAGGCAACAGTTAGTGTTTGCCTTTAAACGGAATTTGCAGACTAAAACGGGCTGCTAGATTTTGGATTACATCTTCAAGCCTATTAAAGGAGGAACTTCTGAAGTTGCAAAAAATACCATATGGCGGACAAACCAAAATCCCCTACATGTTTACAGAGCCTGGCAAGATTCTAAGAGATTTGAGATTTTTCCAACAACATCCGTCTGAAAAGTAATCTAGTACTTTGAGATATGGTTGCTTAAACTTCACATACTCTGTAGTTATTTTCTAAACTTTCTAGAAAAATGGAGTATAACGATTTGTGTCATCTGAAAAAGCACAAAGAGACATCTACTCAACTTGATTAGAAACATCTTTATGATAGAAGGTAAATTGGTGCAATACTATAAAAATGAGTGATGAGAACGTTGTCACTTAAAAAATGGATCAAGCTGGTATGTAAATAATCTACCCTTCAATGTATAGCCATTATATTGGAAAAGGCTTTGGGTAAAATGAAAGAGACAAATCAATATACTGTATCTTTTTCATTGTAAGTGTTTTCCAACAAATGGGGAACTTAAAAAATGTAGACTTATGCAAGATTTCCAGCCAAGCAAATGGCAACAATTATTAAAAAAGGGCTTATCATAACTTAACATAACAGGGGAAGCTGGGAATAGAAAAACTGTTATTAATCCAGCCAATAAGTAGCAGAAATTATTGAAGGAGTGGGGACTTGCCCACCTCCAAAAATGGTTTTTTTCAGAGACTCTGGGCTTTCAAACCCCTGATAATTTGTCAGAAACTTTCAAACCCTTGATATTCTGATAGGTCTGTGTGTAGTCTGTTATCTTGGTGGAAAATTAATATAGATTCTGCAACATAGGTATACCAGTTGTTTTGAAAGCCAGAAAAAAACATAAAAACCACAAACCAGAATTCAACACATGGCACACAGACCTGATGTCAAATATTGCAGTTCTCCTGCCAAAAATATTTCAGTAACCTATATTAGAAGTTGATTTCTTTCAAGGGAAAGGGGCTGCTTTAACATTGAATTCTAAGGGCACAAATGACCTTTGAGGCTTCTGGACTGTTTTATTGATGCCGCCCAGCAGCATTTATTTGGTCAAGATGCTTTTAGGAAAAAGCTTTCTAATGGTGGACCATCCTGACTAGGGTAATTATAATCAGACTGTAAATAATTCCTTTAAAAACCCTTGATAAATTTCCCATCTTCAAACTTCGGTTCACAAGGCACTGCCATAGAATTGAGTATTTCTTCCTTCATCATTCCAAATCATGGGAATATGTTGTCAGACTGGCAGGGATGATCTTTAGTTGAAGAAATCTTTGGGGAATGTCTTTTTCGGGCCTTGCAAGGAGAGATGCTTGAGCTAGAAAGTTCCAGGAGCTTGATTCATTGAACACCTAGCATGTTTATGCTGTCTAAAAACTAAATGCAAAAAAACCAAATTTTGTCATTGATGATATTCAATCAAGCACCTAGAAAGTTGAAGATGCACAGTTTGTCAAGCACCTGCCTTTTGCACCCCAAAGAACCTTGGCCTTCTTTTGCTTTTAAGCGTAAAGAAGTTAATATCTTAGACCTTCTAGTTCAAAGTTTCCAACAACCTGAAAAATACCAAAGCACACAATTTGTTTCTTGGTAGGTAATCTCATGAAGTAAGCAGATGAGCAGTCAATGTCACAGAGTATGTTATTAGAACTGAAAGGCTAATAATATTTAAGGAAGAACCAGAGGCTCTAATCCCTGTTTTCCATGATGGATGCATCACATTGCAAAGAAAATTGTGATTCACGTTATTAGAGACACCAACCTAATAACAGGAAAATTTCACTAGGGCCATTGTTGACTTTTTCAAAGGAAGATTCAAGCCAACAGAATTTCAGAAATGAAGGCCATTGACATATGACATCCAAATCACCAAGAGTGCATTCCATGGACTTTGGCCAAAAAGTCTTTGGCATACACGCAAGTTCTCTTTTGGTGTTTGGTGTGCAAACCAATAAAACACCTTTTATTTGTGTTAAAGTCAATAGTAGGTGTGCTAAAATGAAAATCTATTTTAAATTTATCTATTTTGAATTAGAAACTTGATGTAAAACAAGCAATCTACTGTAATGATGTAAAACACATTACATAGTTAACATGAGAAAAAGTGAACTAAATACTCATACTACCACATTCTCTATTAATCAGTTTTCTTTGTCTGGCATACAGTTTTATTAACTGCTCATATTTTCAGCCCTAAAAAAACTCCTTCATGGAACTTCAGCATACCGTTGCACCCTGGCAAATCATGGGCTGGGAAATCCAATATCTAAGTGCTACTATGCATAAAGCTGAGGAAAAATAATTTTATTAGACTAATGACACTTTAATGCTGTACAATGCCCCTGAGATTTTCAGTTGCAATTTTATCCAATTGTAAAGATAAAAATATATTTTATAAATTGTAAAAAAAGACTTTTTAGACAAGTACAATTTGCATTATTTTACATTTGTCGGATGACCTCCAGGAATCTGGCAGCCGCTATTTGCACTGGAACTCACTAAGATAATTTTGCAACAAAATATCTTCGAGAACAGGAGGAAATCTCAAGAAAATTCTAAAAGAGTTTGTCTTTGGTCTTAGAAGATTTAATTTCTTCAATTTTTTATAAAAACCAGTTGTTTTCAATTACATCAGGCCTTTGACTTTGACGGGGTTATTGAAAGACCATGATGTTATTTGTTTTTGAAATTTTGGTCACAATTGCAACATAGCTAGGTTTATTGTCTTGCTTAAAAAAAGGTTTTTGCAAATAATCATTACTTGTTTCTGTGCTTGCCTGGGGGCTTTCCACATATAATTGGACAAAATATTCAGCATTTATTGACTTCGCACACAACATCAGCTTGCAGACACCATTAGGCCCAACCAATAGTTGGCCTGCCCTGGCCTACCATTTTTTTAATTTTAGTCAGCATTCTTAACTTGTTGTTCTTGTAAATAACATTTGTTGAAGACTTCCTGCAACCAAACTTTTGTGCAGTTTTAGCAAACAAATGAAATGCTAGACCCAATTTTCTATTGTTTCTCTTTATCTTTCTCGTCATTTTTGTGTTTTTGACATTGAAACTAAAACATTGATATTTTCCATTTCTCCCTGACATTTTGTCACTTTTCTAGCATAGAGAGGTAGGAAATAAATTGAATTTGTTAGGAATCCCGTTTTTGCTGATGCCATTTCTAGAATCCTGCCAAAACAGCAAGATTTGTTTAATCAATATTAGAATGCAATATAGTTTTGGAGCTGCCATTTTGTTATTCATTGTCCTAATACTTTTGTCACATAAGTGTAGCTTACGCTGGAGATATCTGGCATAGACTAACAGTTTTCCATATGTCTTTCTATTTTTCATTGGCATATATCTGGCATGAGCTTCACATGGATGACAGGCTAATGTACACTAGGGTATCAAAAGTATTGCACCACCTCGAAGGAGGAGAAATGGCGCATGAATGATCGAAAGCTATTGTTATGCAAATTAATTCTGTTTTTAAAGGGCCAACGGCAATTGGTCGAAAGCAAAACAACCACCAATCAAAACTTCAATCTATTTAGAGCATATGTTTTAAAAATAACAGTAGAAAACGTCTTTTAACAGTTTCAAATTTCAATAATTTGACGGGTAGCCGCAAACTTTTGAAACCACAAAAAGCCTCCTTGAAATGGATCCATACATTTGGCCAACGTATACTAGTGGAATTTCGTATTAGGCCTGGAAACCTCTTACAATTAATGATTCTCTGGTCTTTGGACCACCTTTTGGATTACGGTTTGTAACCTTTTTCATGTGAAGTCAAACTTTTTAAGTGATGTTAAAAATTGCACTTTACTCTGACTATGTCAAAGCTTGAATTTCTTTTGTTTGGAAATAATTCTTTGTAAAAATAGTTTCCGTTTACTCAGGTAAATTTTTCTTTTGTATTTTTTCAAAACACTCATTATATTTTCTGTGGACGGATTTTGAGCTGCAAAACCTTGCGCAGTGTTGAGTTTCATGCCTTTTACTGCCCTTGGTGCTGTACGCAGTGAAAAAAAACAGACAAATTCTTTCCCCTCTAACATCAAATTTATTTTGGTCGCCCACTTCTCGCTTTTTTTACTACTGTAACACTCTCGAGAAATCTTTTTTGATTTACCACAGCTGTTGTGTAGCTGCATCTAACTTGGTCAACATTTTTTTTAAAATTAAAGACCACTTCCTCGTAAATGTTTTACAGCGACTCGCCTCTCATTTGACAATTTTGTTTCCTCAGGCATGGGCTACATTTTTACAAATAAAAATGTTTTTGCGTAATTTATACATTTCTAACTAAGTTTTCTATGGCGTCAGCAAGATTGGAAAACTTTTCCCGCCAAAGTTTGCTCTAACATGCGCTTACTTCACCCAATTAATGCATTCAAATGTTTTGCATGGTCAAAAAGTCGACAAAAAGTGCCGCCATTTTGAGCAGGGTGGTGCAATACTTTTGATACCCTAGTGTATTATACTTGGGCAGTGTTAAAAAGTAAAAATTGTTTGTTATGATTTCATGATTTTTATCGCATTTATCTTAATCATTAGTTTCATTGTGATTCATGATTTGCTGATTTGCTATGCTGAGGTCTTATACTTGGGCAGTGTTTAAAAGTAATAATTGTTTGTTATGATTTCATGATTTTCATCGCATTTATCTTTATTTTTTTAGTTTCATTGTGATTCATGATTTTTAGAACGATTTTCAACAAAAGGGCATTTTATATATTGTGCCAACATTCGGGGAAACCTAAGACACTAGAAGGAAATTTTCCAATTATCTTACATGTTAAAAGATCCTTTTTGTAATGAAAACTCTGGCTACACTGCAGTTTAGTGACCCACTTTTTTGTTTCCTGGTCAGAAGTTGAATTGAATCACTACTACCTAGCAACAATGATGCAAGCAACAGCGAGAATGAAGATTTGAAGATATTTGTTCATAACTGGATATGGAGTAAAATTAATAAATTTAATGATGAATTAAAAGGGGTTTGGGGGCGGTAGCAAGACAGCAAAAAAAAGTTAAAGAGCAAAGTCATCCAGACTGACTTTGAAACTGATATTTAGCGGCAATCGTACAAGAGTGAATCTTTAACTGGCTGAACTTCTGTACTTGAGCTTTTGATTGTTTCAGAAACCAGGCTAGATTGAAAGGTTCATAATTCAATTCAACTTCCGACCAGAAAACAAAAAAGTGGGTCACTAAAGTGCAATCGTCTCAAAACTTTTACCAAAAAAGAGCCAATAATAGGAAATATTCAAATAATCCAGTATGGATTCCATGGCAGCTGCACTCCCAATAAATTTTTATAGATTTACAAGTGCACTCTTGCACACCTGAATTTGGGCATTGTATTGGCATGGTTTCGGGTGTGGGTCAAAATAAATTTTTTTTTCAAATATGGCAAAATGACTTTAATTCTAAATTTGTTTGCAACTTGGATTGGAAAAAGTGTTCGATCCTCTTGAGATCAGGGCTACCAAAAAGTTTCAGACCTGTTTTAACTGTCCTCTCAAAGAGTGAGGTACAGTCATGGTAAAAAAGAGGGAGGTACAGTCATGGTTGCAATTGCATTTTGGCTACTAAAACTGGAATTTTAGGGCGCAAAAGTGTGAGTGGACTTCAGTTGTATTCTAGCTCTTTTAAAGGCCAACATGGAATTGTAGATAAGCATGTTGAGAGCTTATTTGCGGGAAAAACGGGGTTCTTCTCTACGAGTTTGATATGTTCTTTGAAAATTGCCATTTGGGCAGTGAAATGCATAGGAACAACAGCGGCAGCTTGTAAATTTGTGGTAAAATCGTGGCAGCTACCCAACATAATTCTTAAATGAGACTTTTTCTACAATTTTAGAAATGCAAAAGAAAAATCGACTTTCATTTTTTAAAATGGCACCCTTTCTTTTTTCAAGTATTTTACTAGCTGCTACCCTGTAATAATGTATTTCTTCTGTCCAATTATTTCATTAATGTTCAAATATCCATGAAGTTTCAAAAAATTTAAAAATGTCATTTTGACCATTCTGATCAGAAATCAATTTTGATTTTCTCAATTTTGACCATTTTTGAAACATGGTACCTAGTTCTATGAGGGTAGCTTACCCTAGCCCCTGAAAACAAAGAAAACCCCCATATCTCCTTATTAGTAATATGTATGGTTCTGAAAATGCCATAAATGGACTCAGCACCATCGAAAACCTATGGGTAGACATAATGTGTGATAGTGTATCTGATAAGCTTCAAATTTTAATTCAGACAATCACTGCCAAAATTACTTGGAACACCTAACACTTTGCACTGTGCTATTCTATTTTTCATTTGTTTTCTTGAATACTACCACTTCCACCCCCCTTTCCCTTCAAAACAATGTTGAAAGTATAGAAAAATATCAAACAATTCACAAGAAAATAAAAGTTGGAAGTGGAACAGATTATTCCTGTTGTGGACTAAGTTTGCTAATATATATATTTAGGCCTATGTAAACGAGGATATGACATGCGCGAACTAGGCCTACGGCGCCTGATGATAAGGCAGGCAATGCTCATATTGCAAGAAAAGTGATGAAACAAACTGCATGGTTCTAATATTATTTTGTTGCTGTGCTGATAATTGTCAAACCCAAAGAATTCCATGCTTTGATAATGGCTAGTGGACTTGCATGCTAAATTTCCATAATATGTAGCTTGAAATATTCAGAATGAATGTCTCTAGAACTTGTTGTTAGTAGAAGAAACACAAATGATTCATTGTTGTTGCTCGTTAGAGACATGCTTTGCATGTTTGAGATACAATAAGGCATGAAATTAGTGTTGTCTTAGCCTTTTCAATCTTTATCTTATAATGTGTAAGTTGAGAGTATTGAGATTGTTTCAGAGGAGAACTCTTTATTTTCTGTTTATAATCTGTTTTGCCAAATTAAGAATAATTAATTTAAAAGAAATGAGGTGTAGCATGAACATTGACTAGAGGAGATTAATTTTTTATTTGTAAAAATAACACTATTTGTACTTGTAAGTACAATAGTTCTAAGTAAGGAATTAGGAAAGGGTCATCAAAAGTGAATTTATCTTGTCATGTATCAGAGCAAAACAATTTAGACATTTTATATAATGATGTGAGAATCAATTCTAATCGTGTTGTGTTATCTAAAAAAGCCTTCCTTCAGTATCTGACAGTTTAATCAGATGAATCAAACTGCTCTTAAAATAGTAAATATGAATAAATTGAATGTCAGAGTTTAAAAGCAAGTTAACATTTAAAACAACTTAAAATTTTAATTTCAGATTTTAAAAACATGTTTAGCACCTAAAGCCAAGGCATTCTTCAAAACATGTCTCAAGAAAGGTCTCAAAATTATTTTTTTGCAAATTACTAAAAGTTTTATGCCCTGTGAAGTCTTTTCTGGGTATTTTCACAATAGCTAAAAACACTTTTCTCAAGGAAACTGATCTAACCTTAACTTAACTTTGGTTACCTTGCTGTGGTGCCGAAAACCCTGTTTATTTTTTTGCCCAAGTGCATGACCAACTCTCCACAGCTGGCTTCGCCACTGGGAAGGTGATAGAGTAAAATCATCTGGGCTCCAAAGTACTAGTGTTCATGGAAGAGCAAACCACCACAGTTTTGTCACCGTTCTAATCTTGCATGGAACAATGTAAATGGTGTCACTGTGAAGTTGAAAAGAAATGGTGAAGTTGAAAAAAAAAATGGTGTCACTGTGAAGCCCCCTTGCGAGCCAAGCAAGCAGAAAATTTTTTCGAAAATCTGAGGCTGGATCTTAATTTGTTCTTAAATTAGGAGGGTGTAGGAAGTGCTATTGCTAGCTTTTTCGCTCTAAGGAGGTGTTCAGGCCTCATTTGCCAACAAAGTGAGTGAGACAGCCTTAATTTGCTGACAAATTTGAATATTCACCGAAAAAGCACCCACACATCGCTGATTTTGAGAAAAACGTTGTTGAAATTTGCATTTTGCAGAAGCTCAGCCTCAGCTTGTTCTTAATTTGTTCTTAATTTTTTACCAGTTTTGAGGCTCGTGTTCTTATAAAATTGTTCTTATAAAAAAAGAGTGTACATGCAAGAATGATTTTTGTAGTCATTAACTTGCAATTGTTTAAAACGCTTTATTTTGTTGTTAGCTTGAGTTCCAGACCCAAAACTAAAAGTATTGGGTCAAATGTGCACTTTTATCACAAATGCACTCTTGCACTTCTGGCTAATAGCTTGTGCACTCCCGAGATCTCGTCGAAAACTGCCATGAAATACAGACAGACCAAGAAGCGATCAAAGCTTTGTAACAGCTTTCCTCTGTTAATATTCATATATGTATGAGAAAGGTTGTATTGCTTCAAAGAGCGCATTCCAGCGAACTGAAAGCACCCATTCCAGCAAAACAATTTTTTAACCCTTCTGTAGTGGCAGCAATGATGCTGCCTCAGGTAAGAAGCAAATAGTTTACTTGTCCCAATATGCAGTATATATAGGGTTTGAAGTATATAGGGTTAATAAATAGTATATAGGGTTTGAAGGCCGGAAAGAATAGTGTTTCGATTTTCGTAAATTTTTGTCTATTTTTCAAAACTCACGTGAAAAATGGCGGGAAAGAATACTGCCACGGCCATTCGAAGCCTGACTCCATCATGTCACTGTGAATTCATCAATTACGGATCCAAAATGTAAATAACAATGACAGCACCAGCTCACAGCTAACACAGGCGACATTCGTTTTCGACCTAGTGCGCAAAATCTCGCGCAAGTTAGCCAACCTCGTTCAATTTTTGCGGTCGCTGTGAAGCTGTCAGTCGGGTGTCAGGGGTGTCAGGACGAAAGATAAATAGGCCGTAAGCTGTGACCAAAAAAGGTGCTCCAAAATCAATTTTCGTTGCCCGCACCCGGGCACAACTTCACCAAACATGCATCTCGTGAGATACGGGGGTCAATAATTTCTAGGTTTTATGACGTCATCAATACAGTCAAATTATTTAAAAAAACATTTTTCGACACAGAAACTGCTCTCACCAGCTAGATCACTTTAAGTTAGTATACAAACGTGCAACTTAGAGCATTGTCAAACGCTTCGTGTCTGAGGAGATGCCTTTTAACGGTTGATGACGTCATCACCACATCATCATGTATTATGGTCAAAACCATCTGTTTTTGTAGTTTACACCGTAGTTAACAGCATGAACGAGCTTACAGTTGGCAAATGCGAGTAAGCTTGTTCATACTGTACAGGTTATTCTCGTACAGTGCTGAGGAGAGGGGGGTCAGGGGGGTCACTGACCCGGGGGCCCATAAATAATAACTCAATTGAACAAAATTTCTAAGTAATAATCCAGCCTCCCCATCAACATTAACAAAACATAATATTAGAGACAATAATGACAAAAGGTCCATGAAGTCTTGAAGAAATTTTTGTTAAGAATTTCTCATCTTTGTTGGCTAGGGTTAAAGAAGTTCAAAAGTATCTGAATGTTACGAAATGCGATTGCAGGGTACATACAGGACAATATGTATGTCATACAGATTTACAATATGGCGTTCGCATCTATTTGCTACAGTGTGTCGGTTGTGGTCCAATTTAGTTAACGAATTGAGCGTTTTTCATTTTCTAAACTCTGAGAATTTCTAAGAAAATTTCATTTTCATGCATTATGGTGCTAAGATATCAGTTATGCTCAAATTATATCAAACAGCGGATCAGGTATGGTAAGTATGATATTTGATGCGTACATTGTATATCGATTGTATTTAAGAAGTGCAAGGTTGAATGAAGCAGTGCGATATGGAAGGAAATAGAATAAACAGTTGCCTAAAGTATTAAATGAACTTGTGATAAATTATATCTCTTCCATTAAATATTCCTAAGTCTTGCGCCTAACCCACTTATTTTTTATCAGTTATTTAAACGTATCATCTTGTACCTGTTATTTTCTATTTATTTCTAATTCACAGGAGGGGTGAGAACCATGGGTTTTCCGACAAAAATCTAACAAGCTTCTATAATTTTCTCATAAATTTCAACATAACATAACGACATCAGAACTGAAAAGAAGATCATTTGATATATTGAATATTCTTATGTTTATTTAGATACAAATTTTCTCCCATCTAAACATAACATTTAGATAAACATAGACAACCACTTGAAATTTTTGAAAAGAGCAGAGGTTTTCCGAAAAAATAGCAGTTTAGCTCTACAGTGGTGTTTTTGCTCCTTCTGACCCCCTCTATCTACATCAGTGCCACCGGCGCAGTTTAGCCACCATGGCAATTTTAGCAACCAAAATAGCCACCCTAGCAGTTTAAGCAACCATAATTTTCAAAAATTTCTGGGGAGCATTCTCCATACCTCCTAGAAGCGTCTGCCTTAGGCATGCCTTATAATTTAATTTTTGTCCTGACCCGGGGCCCATAAATTCTCTCCGCGGCCCCTTTCTCGTATACAGGTTTTGAATAGTTAATGACGTCATCCCTTTATGATTTTTGTACTTTACTTTCTTACATCAGGTTGGAATCAATAATTTTATGAAAACATTTCAGCTATTTAAGCTTTGTAAACGCGTTAAAAATAAAATAGTGGTGGCGCCAGCTGTAGCAGAGTGGGAGGGTAATGGGCGTGACCCAGGAGACTACGCCTTTACTATCTCATTTTAATTGTTTTTATGCCAGGTGCATCCTGCCCCTACCCAGTGCATTTTTCATCAATTTTAGGAGAATATCTGGACAATGTTTTGCAAGAGGGGAGAGGGGGGGGATAACCGTCCATACTACCCCTTGGTGCCGCTACTGGAAAACAGGAATGTCTAAAACAATTGGTGCCCTACTGGAGAGCAAGAATGTCTAGAACAATTGGTGCCGCTACTGGAAAGCAATAATGTCAAGAATGTATCAAACAACGATCCATTTGTTTAGCCGACCGCCATGTTTATTTTAAAGCAATTTGTACTTAGGTATTACCCGGACTGTGATATAGACTCGTTCGTTTCATTTACTCTGATGAAGCCCTGTTTGCCGGGGCGAAATATTAGTACACTCTTAAATTTAATTTATTTTGAAAATTTATTTCGTGACATTGGATTCTCGTCGTCGTATTGCTTTGTTCCTGTATACCTGTGATATAGGCCCGAGAATAATTAAGCAGCATCGGCTTTCGGCATTCCATGTTATACACCTTGCAACAAGAAAGACGCAGGAGATTGCTGAGCCTAAACACGTAAAAAGCGCGGGAATGGGGAAGTTTGAAGCTGAATTTCAAGAGAATTGCAGGTTTTTACAGTTGACAACAAGAAGATTCGTAATCAGCACGAAAAAACACACAGGAAAATGCTTATTAAACGTAATGCCGGAATGAGGGCAGCGAGACCAAATAAAAATCTGACACAGCTTACGGCCTAAAATAGCAAAACTCACACTACTCTGTTTTCAAATGAAAACGGAGTCAAATTAATCCGTTTTCGCCTTGCGTTCACACTTCTCTGCTATGAAAACGGAGTCGTTTTAAAACGCTAATGAAAACGAATACTTTCGAATACGCTCCGTTTTCAGTGTGAGCACCAAAAACGGAGACATTTGAATAACGCTAAAAACGGCAACACAGGCACCGCGGAGCTTTGAGAAAAGTGGGGGGCCTATTATAGGTTTGCGACTTCACGGCTTGGACCCTATTTTTACGTGCGGCCTCCGGATTTAAACATGGTTTATCTACGGACTGCGGTTTCAACAAAAGTTGCGTCTGGCGTCTTTCGATATAAATTCGCAACGGTTTACGGCTTTTATAATACCGTTGCGGCTTTCAGATGAAATAACGGTCCGCGGCAAGGCTTTTCACTTTACACCAAATGTTTTGAAAAGAGCTCCATGTCGAATAGGAGTAACGTAAGAATGGACAAGCTACTGTCAGTCATTGCTATTAGTTAGAACAAGAGTGGGAGAGGGAAGCAGGGCCGGCCAACCAACAAATAGGGTTCTTTTACACTTGTCAAATGTTTTCGAAGAACATTGTCTCCGCAAGTCGGACAAAATATCTACGTACAGTTTTCAGAATGATTCATGGGATGGTCAGTCCCAATTAATTCATAATAATAGGGGTTGACGTAATATTCATGACTAGGGAATTTTCAGAAGATAATTTAAGAACCTGTATAAAGATGTGGAGCAATTAATCTAGATATAAAAACATTTGTATGATGCTATCTGGTATTTTCGTCTATTTTTTTGAGATAATATAAGCCAAAACTATTTGCGGCAGATTCTATGCTATTGGCTTTTTTACTAATCATGAAGTATGAAAAGCCGCCTCTTCTTTTAAGTGCCTCCTTTGAGAATATGCCCCGAAAAAGTTTGAAAAATTTAAAAGAGCAACCAAGGCGTAATATGGTATCTTAACAGCTCTACATATCAAAAGTCACTTGAGTCAATGCTGTTATCAAATAGATAATTCTAACACAACATTAAAAGATGTATTCAGTTATTTTGTTATTTCATATTGGGAACCAAAGTTATTTCATATTTCAAAACCAAAACATCTAAAAAGTCATATTTTCTCCCCGAAAACTTTAATTATTTCATATTTCAATTACCCTTTATAGGGCCTCTTTTGCTATCGCGGCCGCGTCTTCGCGCTTAATTTTATTGCGGATTGCGGTATTTGGTTGATTTTTGCACGGTTCTGCGGCTTTTGGTCCACCTATAATAGGCCCCCAAAAGTGGGGAGTCTAAAAAAGTGGGGGGGGGAAGGGGTTTTAAAACAGTATAAAATAAGGCTCTTCTGGTAGTTTGATACTTAATATTTGGCAATTTTTGCAAAAAGTGCCCCCTGCTCCGCGGTGCCTGCAACAAAATACGTGCTTTCTAGCACATCGATTCTCAAAGATTTTGAAATTGAGAATTCACAATTGAATGCAGAGTTGCGGAGCAAGGGGGGACACGGGGGCACAGGCCCCCCTGTTTGCAAAAAAGTATAAACAAGTGCCCCTTTTTTGAAAAGTATATTGCGTGTATTTTTTCACTGTCAGATATTCTCCCTTTAGAAGCTAAGTAAAATAACTTGAATCTGGGCGTTGTTGGAGGACCATTCACTGAAATTTCCTTAAACTTTTACTTGGTCTTGATGCAAAAAGTGCAAGTGCATCACTGAAAGGTCCGCATCAAATCCTCGGCAGGCACAGTCAAATGGTCCAATGGTTATTGTGTGTATTCCTGAAAGTAGAAACTGGACCCCTATCTCTGATTCTGTTTGCGTAAAATGTACCCTATTCTTTGACTTTGCCAAAATTGTGTAACTCTTTTCACTGTGAATATTCAAGCTTGAGCAGGAATTTTCACTTTTCTAAAAGTGTTGTAAAATCAAAATTGTCATCTTTATAGGCGATTCGTAATGCCATCTCATGGAGGTGATTTATTTTATTATTAAAGCTTCTCTCACAGAACATCCATATAAAAGAACAGTAGTTGAACTGGGAAAGGATGAAGACCTTCATAACTTGTTTTAATTTTACAGTATCCATACACTTAGCGATACGGGATAGAGTATGTAACTTTTGTATAAGGCTATACGGGATAGAGTATGTAGCTCTTTTGTATAAGGATGTTACTTGTGTTTTGAAGGATAAAGTCTTATCTAATATAATACCCAGTAATTTTTCTTCTGAACTCTCAGCAATTACTTCGTTGTCAATTCTTATCGATAGGTTGGTGTTCTTTTTACTGCTGAAAAACATCAGGTGGCATTTATCTCAATTTAATTTCATGTAATTGTCCCAGAACCATTTAGATAATCAATATCATTTTCTAACTTACCAATTATTTCATTGTGCATATGATCACTGACATATTAAGTTCTGTCATCCGCATAGTTGCGAACCATACTGTCAAACACAAACATAAATAAATCGTTTATGTAAATGTTGAAAAGGAGAGGTCCGAGGACAGAACCCTGAGGCACTCCATGGCTTATATTCTTCCATTCACTGTAAGATCCATTAACTTTAACACGTTGCTTTCTAGAGTTCAGAAAGCTTGATATGAAATTTAAAGCTATAAATGAATTGAAGTGCATGGATTCTCTGACCCTAGTAAAATGGCTTATGCTATATTAGTTTATTTACGTGTTACGTACGAATCAGGTTAAATAAGCTCTAGGTTAATCGCGTCTAAGAGTAAGGTCACGCCCATCAAGCAACAAAGCATACCTCGTCTTGAGCTTTTAGGAGCTTGTTTGATGGTCAAGCTTGTTGAGATTCTACAGCAGGAATTACAAGGGTGCGTCATCGATAAATATTTCTGGGTAGATTCAATGGCTGTCTTATGTTGGGTTAAAAATGCTAAGCCCTGGACCCAATATGTCCGAAATAGAAATTGTAGTAACCTAATTGACTATGCGCAGGAGCATTACTTTATGTGACCCATGTTTATATAGTTTCAGATTACAGTTGACAGTATTACAGTTATGTGTGTAGGCCGTTTGAAGTTAATATAAAGTTATCGTTCTGTTTCTGTTCAACCCATGCGTTGTTCTATCTCCTTCACATCTTAACAGAAACAATAAAATTCTACAAAGGTCTAATAGAGAACAATGGTTCTATTGTCCAGGTCCGTTGAACCCAGCTGATTTACCTTCTCGCGGAAAGTATCGGGATATACACAACAACCCTTTGTGATGGGAGGGTCCCGAGTTCCTTTAGCTAGAACACAGTGATCACAACATCTGTAGCTATGAGATCACAACACCTGTTGTTGATCTAAACCGTTTCAGTAGTAAGAGTAAGTTACTTAGATGTATTGGGTGGATATTACGATTCATTTCAAATATCGAATCTGCAGTTGCTAAGTCTAAGTTAAACCAAAAATCGACGTTAACAGTGTCAGAAAAAAGTGAAGCTGAAAATGTACTTATAAGGTCGATTCAAACCGATTGTGTTGCCAAAGAAATTCACTATTCGTCGCTTAGTGATTCAGTCAAAAAGTGGATGAAACCTCCATTTTTTGTCAATCAATTCAATTTATATTTGGATACAAATGAGATACTTCATTGCAGGACACGTATCGGAACTTCGGAAGGTCTACAGTATCGGATTCAGGTAAAAGACCAATACTTCTGCCATCAAGAAATAGGTTTTAAGAGTTGGTCATCGATGATTTTCATAATGGGACAATAGACACCCTCAATCTAATGAGATAACGATATTGGGTATTTCGGGGGAGGTAGCAAGTAAAACGCCTTGTCCGCCGTTGTATCATTTGTAAGAGGTTAGAGGGATTGCCGTTTAAGACCGTAATCAATCCAGAACTACCAAGTTTTCACGTAGATGAGGCACCTCCATTCTCCAACGTCTGTATTGACTTGGCAGGTCCTCTTCTGGCTAAAGGAAAGGATAAAGGTGATACACTTAAGAGCTACGTTTGTCTGTTCACGTGTGCTGCTACTAGAGCGGTTCACTTGGAACTGGTTGATTCGTTAAACTTCGAGACCTTTATACGAGCCTTTAGGCGGTTTTGTGCTCGTCGAGGTATGCCTACCTTGCTAATTACGGATAATGCAAAAACATTTAAATCGGCCTCAAAAGAAGTCAAGAAATCATTGCGATTATCAAGGCCTTCGGAATATTTTACACAAAAAGGTGTCATATGGATATTTATTCCAGAATTGTCTCCCTTTCATGGAGGTGTCTGGGAAAGATTAGTACGTTATACTAAGAGGTGTTTAAATAAAGTCATAGGTCGTGCATTTGTTTCTTATGACGAATTAACTACGATTTTAACCGAGGTCGAGCGGGTGATTAATGCACGCCCTCTCACGTACGTAGTTGATGATAGTGACGGATTATCTTACCCTCTCACACCATGACAATTAATCAGTGGTAGAAACTTGTGTAAAGTTCACAACGATACGTATTTTGAAATTGTTAACACCTACCAAGGACTATCTAAACGAGCTAAGTACAACAGGAGACTTCTGTCTCAATTCACTAATCGTTGGAAGAAGGAATACTTATTAAGTTTGTTAGATAAGTATAAACCTCTCAGTAGTAACAATTCATGTTTAATCCTAACATAAAAATTAATGATGTTTGTATCATTCGAAATGAGCAGGTAGAGAGAGCCTTCTGGAAGCTGTGCGAGGTAGAAGAACTCTTAGTTGGAGCTGATGGCTCAACAAGATCAGCCAAGGTTGCAGTTATGTCAAGTGACGGGAATAAGAAGGTATTGGTAAGACCTTTAAAACATTTGATTCCTTCGGAAATTGAAACTTCTCACTTGCCTCCTGACAAGCAGTTAACCAAGTCAGCGCAGCCTGCTAATACGCCCGTGCAGCAGCATGTAAGCACAATGCCTGCGCAGCAGCAAAATCAACATCTACTGCATTACCATTTCAGGCAAGGGGTAGATCTAAACGTAATACAGCCATTATAGATGAATTGTTAAGAAAAGAGTGAATCATATTGTGAATCAAACCGGGGGAGTGTGTTGAAAAAGCAACCCCCTGGTTCGAAGTCACATGATAAGCTGTCACGTGACAGGAACAATAATGCACTTTTCAATTAGACATTTTATTATGTTGAATTAAGCACGGGTTAGGACCGCACGTTTTATAAATATTTCATTTTCTGTTATTTATAAAATATGAAAAAGACAACATGATTGATTTTCTATCTCAAGCTCTCAATTAATAATCGATTTATAACACGTTCTGTTGCCAACGTTTCAGTGTTTCTTCAGGAGTTGTGATTACGTTCTCATGCTCGTCCTTGATGCATGCCTGTTGTGACTTGAACTTTCTGATTTTCACTTGTTTTACTTCTTCAAAGAGCTCTTTTGATTTCCTGAATCTGTTATATTCGCCGATATTTTCGCATTCGGCTGACAACCATTCGTTTATGTCTTTACGCAGGCTACGTTGAGTTTCAGAAGCCAGTTCTCTATACAGCGTTTTGTCATTATGACGCCGAGCTAGTCGTTTCTTTTCCACAAGAGCTAAGGTTTGTGCGCTTATCCATGGTTTGTGCCAAATCCGCTTTCTCTTTCCAGCACTGCTGTAGCTACTCCTTGCCACTGCTCCTTCATGCTGGTCCATTATCTGATAAGAGGATTGATTTCTTCAGCCCTAGGCGGACTTTCGCTGTCACGAGTGTGTGGTCAGTATCGCAGTCTGTTCCTGGTCTTGCTTTTGAGTCAAGAATATATGCTCTTTAACTATTCAGGCATAATATGTAGTCAATTTGGCTACTTGTCTGTCCATCTCGTGAGATACCTTCTTTTTTGTTGGGGAGATGAGATGCAGCAAGTTCTTGAGTATGAAATGAGTACCCCCGCTTTAGGGCCATTGCACATGCGTATTATATATTCTGAGTCAAAGAGGCATAGAACCCTCCGAGAAAGGAACAAACAGAACTTTGCGGTCGGAGCTTATCATTCACATTGACATGGGAGTTTGATCATAGCAGAAATATCTTTCATACTGAAAAACCTGCCTGGATTCTCTGTTGTTTTATGTTTTTTGTTTGTATTAAGGCTCACTTTACTTCCAAAGGTAAGCAAAAACATCGAGAATTTTATGACGCGGCCCAAGTGTTTACAGAGAGTAGACATTCGATGTAAACAATACAACCTGATTTTAACTGACCTCCGACAATAGAGCCAGACCAAGGCAACTAAAACAACAGACAACGTACTTTCAATTCAATTATACAAATTTTTAAGGCGGAAAGCTTCGAATTTTGATCTTCCCCTTTTAACTACATCTACAAAAAGTTTCGAAGAACCCCCTAAATGAAAAATAAACGAAAATACGTCCTTAAATTATATGCGTAAAATTCCTCAGAAATTACTAAAATTACTGTTCTCGACATGTTTGCGAGATCTCGTTGTGTTCCCTGGCTTTTGGTGTTGAGGATGGCCCGGGATTTTGAAGGGATAATTCGTTAGAATACGCATGCGTCCCTGCCCCTCCACGTTGATTGGCTCGAACAAATCATTAAGCCTTTTGTCTCAAACAATAGGAGTGAGATCTCATCTCCCCAACAATTTTATGGTGTTGAAACATCGTGTTTGCTATAAAAAATTTCGTTTACTCTGCAGAAATCTGCCAATTAACCCCCCCCCCCCCACTTTCACCTACTTCACTGTCTCCACTGTCGCCTACTTCAGCGTTGAAATCTCTCATTTATCCCGTACATTTCAGATGACCTAGCTGAGTCTTTGACAGTTTGTAGTTGGTTATAGAAAGCTTCAGTTTCCTTGTCTGAGTGGGTTGATGTGGGTGCAGATAATTGTGTTACTGTGGTTGGAGCAGGGGTAGTATCTAGTTTGCATATTATAACCATTTCTGAAATGGCATTTTAGCTCAGAAGAGACTTAAACGCTTTTCCAGTCAGCACAATGGCAACACCACCCTGTCCGTTTTTGCTTGCACTATATAGTATATTGCTTCCGTTATGGGTAAAATGTCCTTCTCCACTTCATCTGACTTCAGCTAGACCAGTCACATCCATCTAGAGACCTGATAATTCGTTTAGCAATAGATCTAATTTTTATATTCTTAGCTACTCCTTGAGAGGTTTGGTGTAGTCGCTTTAACAAATTTATGAGCCGCACCATTTGTCTCCCCGTGATTTTCTTCCCCAGTACCAATTTGGACACCCTAAGACCTGAGGGCTTCGCCGTTGGGTGTCATCTTTGTGCCAGTGTTTATAGCTGCCACGATTGATCTGTAGGAAAGGGTTAGGCGAGAAAAGTTTTCCTTTGCTTTTTCTCAAGGTGAGCAAATAGAGCGACATGAAGATAGAGCAACAAAAAAAGAGACTTAAAGCCATAAAAAAGTCTTATAGTATCTTCTGGGCAAATTGAACAATTAGAGGTGATTTAATGAGATCTCGCACTCAGATTTGTTCAATTTTCGCCTGATCAATTCACAACACTCCTCAGAGGATTCGCGTCGAAATCACCCTTCAGTTTGCACTCTTGTAAACATTCCGTCACACGCAAGCTAAAAACTTCATTCAGGAAAACTTCTTTGGTACCATAACGGGGTCTCGAATATACGTGAAAGGTCATTTATGTATATTTATAAATCATCAAGTAAAGGCTCGCATTAAGCGTTGTGGTATCAAATGCCCTGTTCTATACAGAAAAGATGTATACAGCTCTGCCTTTACGTCATTGTGCACTCTATGACCGACGATCGGTAAACAGTAATGTTCATTATTTATCTTCATTTTATCATTTTGAGGCCCTGACGATGACGTACAAAGCCGAAACAGAAGAAACAACTACCTTTGTTAACGTGAAGACCCCAGGGTGGTTTCAAAAGTCGTCGGGTTGAAAACGGTTGAAAACACCTTTAGGGTCTGTATTATAAATTTTTTTAAAGTTTTCCTCTTGAATGTGGTGCCCCTTCTGGCTACCATAAGCTTAGGGCCTGGGGTCATGGCCCCTTGGACCCATAAAAACTGCCACTGTTAATAACATAAACTGCATATCTGAATTAAAAGAAAGCTCATTTCAAAAAGTACATTGATGGTTTAATGAAAACATTCATGAATCAATCAATCTTGAAATTTGTTCCAGGTATATTTTTTTTACTTGATAAGGCACATGCATTAGCATTTTTCAAGTACTTGCTTATGAAGAGTTTTCAAAAGACCTTGATGTACACTTTATATATGTTAAAAGCAAAAAATTGTATACTAGCAATAGATGAAACACAATGCAAGCTTTAAGAAGTAATGAAAATACTTCTATTGCACGGGCCCAAAAAAATCAACATTTAACTTAAATGTTACAGGCAACTGAATTAAAAGAAAAACCTAGATTTTGTTCACATCAGTGTAAAGCTAGCCTTTGTTCATTAAGAACATCAAACAGTACTTTATATGAATAAGCAGATCTGTAACATACCCACTTATCTGGTATACCTTTGCCAGGGAGCAGCACCTCCTGTATTTGAATATCAGAGCCAACTGAATGGTTAACCTCAAATTCAACATCTACATCCAAAATAGATCTATCTGAATAGTCAATTTCAAATGGCAAGATTATATGGCACCTTAACGTCTGCACTGCATCTGCTGGAACTTGTTTTTCAAGCACTGGCAAATCCCCTAATCTCCAGACAAGTGCTTTGTACTCTGGCTCATACCTAGCTGTTCCAATACTTACTTCGAGAAAACAAGAGGTCTTTCTTGCAATGCCTGGCGCAAATGATTTTGAATTTGATTTAGCTTTCATGTATTGCCTTTTTCTTGTAAGGCTCTGTGCCCGAATAAAAACTGATGACCAGGAATCTGGAATCCCAAATCGAGCAACGATGCAGTTCTTTCTATATCGCATTATTTTGCCTTCTCCAGTGACCCTACATTCTGCTTTGATTTCTAGTGATTTTATGGATGTAAAATTTATACAGCCTTTGAACGAAAGAGGAAGCGCATGAAAATCTCTTGGGTGGAACCTCATTAGCTCAAAACTACAGCCATCAGGAGGCTTGAAAACAATCCCACCCTCTATCTTGGAAGCTGCAATATCAACACATGGATGGTATTCAACATTCGGCAATTGAATCCACTTATTGCTTTTCAAAAGCTTTTGCCTTCCCCTACGGTTCCTTTGTTTATTGTAAGTTTCTACATCATTAACAAAAAGAAATAAATTTGGAGCCCCTGTTACAAAAGCTCTTAATCTTATCTGACATGTTATATTGAATCTTTTGACATTTCCTTTACCATCAAGTTCATATTGACAAATATCATCACAATCAATGAATATTTCTTCATGTCGGTGTGTGATTCCAATGTCTCTATGAGATTTAATCTTTCTAATGACATTTTCAACAGTTTCCATGAAATGCTTCAGAGACCGAATGTCTTTTGATGCAATCTTCAATATAGATGTATATGATGGGAAATGCTCAAACTGAAATTTTGAAGTGACTTTTCTCTTTTCCTTGTATTTCACATATTGTAGCTTAACAGAATGCACTTTTACTTGGCTTTCATTTCTATCCTGCTTATGAAGTGTTGGTAATGTGAATACAAGAAAAGGGTGCAAAGAAATCTCTTTTATAATTTCTGATTTCCCAGTCTTTCCAGATATGCATATAGTCTCATTCACAACTGTTACCTTTGCACTTACCCATCTTCTTGAACCAATCTTTCTTTTTTGGCCAGGATATCTGTAGAGCAGTGTCCACTCTTTTATTTCATTTGCAGAAGGATAATCATCGTTTTGTGGTAACTGATTTTCCTTTGCATACCATCCTTTCAAACTTTCAGTAGTATCGTCGTCAATTATGTTGTTTAGATCCTCTTTCTTTTCAAGAAGAGCACTAGATGCCTGAAATAACAGTACATCTGGGAATTGCTTTCTTGTATCTTTCAATAAACTATCATTGTCCATGAGGTCTATGTCAAAGGTCTCATTTGAAAAGCTTGAGTCAGTATCATAGCCAATTGATTCTGGCATATCTAATTTGTTTGTGTCACAGGCCGTTTTATCGATAACATATTTATCAATTGTATGGTTAGAAAACTTTGCAAGATCAATAGTACTGTTGGTCGAAACATCCAAGGTACATCTAGTGGAGACTAACAGATTCAATGGATTTAATGGTGGAGAAAAACGTGATCTTTGGTTCTCTGTAGCAATCACCTCCTCGCCATTTTTCATTTCATAGCACATTGAAAGATCTTTTGGCGGTTGCTCTGTTGTAAATTTACTTTGAAAGCGATTTTCTAAAGAATTTTCAAATGGCTCCCATGACATAGCTTTTGAATTTTTTAGCAAAGGTCTAGTGTTTTCTGGGCAAAGAGGACCAGTTTGATTACATTTCTGGTTGCTTGTGGCAATGTCATCTTGCTTTGATTTCTTTGCATCTAACTGAACCTTGAATGGTTGAAAAGCTGAAGCTGTGTCAAAAGAACCCTGTTTTTCCCTTGGCTTCTTGCATAGGGACTCGCAAGCAAAAGAATGTTGCATTTTCCCTTGTAACAATTTTGTGTTGTTATTGTGTCCTATCTTATTGTCCAGCATTGTGATATCATGGAAGTGTGAAACAAATTTAGTTTCTAGACAGACACTGGCAGTTGTTGGGGAGGAACCTTCTTTCTTGTTAATACCATCGTTGCCTTCAAAGGTAACCCACGTTGCTGAATCCATTTTTATCAGAATCAGTCCACAGACAAGAAGATAAGTTTGGGAACTTCAAGAGACTTTATGTTCAAATTCCTTGTATAGCATCATCAACTGTCTGCAATTTCATTGGTGTGGTAGAATCTTTTATTCATTCGATTAACTTTGGTTCTAATATATTCATCAATAACATTGTAAGGTGTAAAGAAGACTGTTAATCTCCTCTGCCTTTGAGAACTAGAATACGAGACGCAATCTGTGTCCTAAAATTGAAACGCTCATTCCACAATATTGACGCCACTTACCAAAAAGTAGTTTGCGATCACAAGGGCGTCGTCATCTACCATCATCATGGTCAACAGCCTCCTTTTTTCAGGGATTCCAATCTAAGCAAATTACAGACACATTGTTGAACACAAACTTTCATTGTTTTCAATAAACACCTGTACTTTATAAAACAATACGCAAAGAAACTGGATGATAGGCGCTTATTGGTTGGCATGGGCCGGCCATAGTTACGTGTAGCAAGTACTTTTCTCGCCAGTAGGCCTATTTATTGTAAACAAAACAAGCCGGCTATCATTTAATTCAAATGGTTCATCAGCTTTCCAGATTGAGGTGCAAGTCTCCTCGTCTCCCGTTTTTAAATCTAACCTACCGTTTTCTGGAATTTTTTTTAAAAATCTTTATAAACAGGCGGAATACAGAAAAAAGTTGACGGTCGCACATTAAAACTACTCAGCAGGTGGTTTGGGGCCTCCCTTATTCAAGGGCGGAGCCATGAAAGGGCCCAGCCCCCGGGGACCAGAGCAACTAAATACATACATTATTTATTATTCCTGAAGATCTCCTGAAGAGAGAGTTACTCACGAAACAGGCTTGTAGAGATAAACAATGTAGTCTTATTTTCTTCAACTCTATGATACATTATTTATTATGTATAGCAGGTCAGAAGTAGTCAGCATAAAGCTGATGTAGACCTGCTTAAACTTAACCTAGGATAAAAATTTAAAAGTACAATTTTTTAAAACGAAAATAATATTGTTGAATTTGCTGTGGTTGAAATAACATCTAGTAGTTTTTAAAATTATCCAAATCTTTGTTTTTGATTATTTTTGAGCTGTTGAAGCTTGCTGCATCTATTTCTTTAGAATTTTTTGAGAGGGTCTTTTGAAATTTTCGTAGTTTTTAATTCTCTTGACACTTTCAGGCAGTAAGCTTCACAGTAGCGCTGATCTGTATTTAAATATCTCTTTTTCTTCTGTCTTTAATCGTGGTACATTGAGTTTCAGGTTGTCTCTCATGTTCCGTAAATTTCCACTTTTTTCAATGATGTTGCTAATCACGTCAGGACAGTTATCATAACATGCCTTATGTGTTAAGCAAATTACCTTTCTTTTGTACATGTACTGTATTGACTTCCAATTTGCTTTTTTAACACATCTTCATTTTCTGTCCCCCTAGGTATCTTGAGTATAATGCGTGCCACCTTTTATGTAATTTTTCTAAGTGCTCCATTTTTGTAGAGGAGCAATTTTCCCATACAGATATTTCATTAGTCGATCCTGGAAGGATTCCCTTGAAGTATATTGTTTCAAGGACTTCAGTTGGCAGACTTTTCATTCTTTTCAGCTGTTTGATCTTACTGTTCATATTGGATGCAGAATTCTTGATATGTGTCTCCCAATTTTACTTGCTATCGACTATCATTCCTAAACACTTTGATTTTGATACATAGTTAATGACCTGGTCCTCTATCTTGATTGGTCTCCCAGGTCCAATAAAGGGCCTCTTTGACAGTAACATTACCTCTCTTTTATCAGGGTGTATCGTGAGGCTGTTTTGTTTGCACCATGTACTAATTTCATCAAGAGCAGTTTGTATTTTTGTTGAGACTTCATCCATTGTGTCTCTAAAGTAGAAAAACTCAGTATCGTCAGCAAACATTTTTAATGTACTCTTACTGGGAACATCAGGTAGATCGTTAACATGTATACTAAATTGTTTGGGCCGAGAACAGAGCCCTGAGACACCCCTTACTGCTTGCTGTTTCTAAGATAACTGGTAATGAGATCATATAATGGACCAGTAATGCCTGCAGCTTGTAATTTTAATGCTAGTGTTTTGTGGTAAATGGAGTCAGAGGCTTTTTTGAAGTCGACGAACAAGACACCAACAACTTTGTTCTCCTCAAGTGCTTGTTTCCTCTGTTAGATGTAGCATAAGAGTTTAAGTTGACAGTCCTTGCTTGAACCCCCATTGGTGTACACTAGATATACCACCTTTAACAAAATGATTATCCAGCTCATTACCTATTACCCATTCATAGATCTACTTGGTATACTGAGAAGAGAGAGGGGTCTATGATTCCCTCCCAGATTACTTCCCTTCTCTGTAATTTTAGTCATAAGATTAGTTAGTCCCTCTGCAGCTTCTGTGGCTACTAACTTGAGATCTTTTGATAATACATTGTCAGGCCCAAAGCCTTTGCCAGGTTTCACTCGTTTCTCTATGCACTTACTAACCACAGTCTTATCGATGAAAATATTGCTTATTGTGGGAGCGATTCTGTGAAAGTGTTGTTTTTCTTCAAAAGGAGTATCAGGTTGGATGTTACTGGCTAACCTCTGACCAATTTCAGCAGAATTGATTAAGACTCTCTGCTTTTTCGTTGTTATTAGTTAAAATCACTCCTTCCTCTCCTCTAATTGGACCGATGTTTGCTTTCTTTTGTCCTTTCGTTTCTCTTACTATTTTCCAGAACTCTCCGCTACTGTTAGCATTTTCAAACTTATGTTTCCAGTAGTCAGCTTCAGTTTGTCTAAATATGCGAGTGACATGATTTCTCTGTTTCTTATATCGGGTCCACTTGTCTGTGTCATTTGGTGATTTCTGAGCTTTCTTTGATAGTTTGTATCTAAGATTAATTTGGTTTCTAATGGCAGTATTAATCCAGGGCAAACTTTTCTCTCTCACTTTTAACTTTTTACGTTTCAGATGATCGTTTATAATGCTCCAATATAGATACTCCCAGGTCCATGCATTGTCACCTATATCGTCAAAAACCTCAGCTACGTGCCACGGTGTCCTTTCAAACCCAAGATTTACGTCTAGATTTTTATAATCTTTCATTTCTCTCAGTTTGGGCTTGGTCTTCCTTCTGAAGAGATTTGTTACTGCATATATAAGATGATGATCAGAAATACCAGTATCGTAAACCCTTGAAGTCTTAACTTTAGATTTGTTAGATGAAACAATCAAATCAATGGTAGTGGATGACTTCTCTGTAATTCATGTAGGATCTGTTATTACATTTTCCATATTCAATGGATTTGAAACTCCCAATAGCCTTTTCCCGAGATTTTTCTCTGCTTTAGTCTTCCTTTAAAATTCAAATCGGAGTTGAAGTCCCCTAACATTACAATGTTTGCTCTACTCGGCCACAATTGCTCTAAGGTCTCAACTTAGATGCTAAGTTTCTCGTAAAATGTGATGTCATGTGGTGGACGGTATACTGAGCCTACTAAGAGCTTTTGAGATGAGATGGTTATGTCTATCCAGATCTGTTCAATATCTGATGTTGTGTATAAGTCTTCTCTTTCAAAAGCAGTCAGTGTGTCTGAGAAATTTATTTGGCAGTTATTATCGGTAGCTTTGTCTTTCCTTGCCTTGTTGTAACCCGCAATTTGAATCTGTTCGTCTTTAACCTCAGGCCTTAAATGAGACTTGGTAATTGCATGAATGTCTAGCTTAGTTTCCATCAGGAGAAATTTGATTTCTGATTTCCAACTTAGTTTAAGGCCACTCATTTCCAACTTTGTTTTCAGTTCATCATACTTGTTTTGCCTATTCTCCTCCTCAATAAGTACTTGATCTATCGTACTGGTAATGCATTTAGTACAATGACATCGTTGATTCGGAGCTGACAGTGCTTCATAGGCACCTCTATCCATGTCTATACAACCTATATGATACCAAAAATCACAAGTATCACGGCAAATTGCAAGTTGATTTTTTCTAACTGACTTCTCTGGGTATCTGATAAGGCCAGGATTTGCTTGAACATCACCTGATAGTCTGACTGCTTTATGCCTGCCTGAGCTGTATCCACTTCCATTCACTATCTGTGGCTTCCGAAAAGTGATTATTTGACAGCATTGCTCTTTGCTCTTTATTGACATTTGTAGAGTTGAATTCGATACATTTTCCAATATTTACAGTCAGTATAAGGAGTATTATTATCATAAATCTTGAAGAGCAAAAATTCATGATCTCAATTACTAGGTCTAATTTTAAAGGCAAAGTGCCCAAGGAATCTATCATGTCGATTCTTTCAACCTCAAAAAAATTAGAAAAACTGATAAAACTTTGCTCAAGAAAATCGATTCGTCCCGCAAAGCAAGACTGATATACTTTGTTCGATGAAAGGCCTTAGGAGAGGAAGTTGCGATGCCAACGACGTTCCTAGGTCTTCGCCAGGTGGTGCCGGACTGAGGAACGTTTTCAAAGTTCAGCCAGCTTTGAAAAGTTCAATTTTTCATTTAATCAAAACTTTATCCCTTCATAAGTTATTCAAAATTCTCAAGCAAGTCAAACACTCAGTTGAAACAGTATTTTCTGAGAGCCTAAAGTTAACACCCCCTGTGCACCTCTTCCGTATAGCTAAAGGTTCAAATGAGTCTCAAGCGTGACAATTTTGAGTCTTCTCCTTCAGAATTTCCAACCTCATCACTTTCTTCCCATTCCAGCAGTTGTGCGGCACAGTAATCTAACATAGTGTTTACAGACATTTCGTGCCGCACAAATATGCGAAAACTTGAACAGCGATTGATGAGATTCGGTAAAACATTTGCATAACAAAAGGCCCTGCTTTTTTGTGCGGCTCGGACAACATACTTAAAAATCATCCTGTTCACGGTTTAGCATGGTCTTTCAATTCCTCCTGGGCGTGAGAACGATCAAAGTCGGCCCAGTGTTTATTGGGTAAAGAGAGTTAAAAGTATAAACTGTAAGGAGAAAAATAAAGGATTATGGTAAATATGATTGTCTTATTTTAAGGACTGAAGGCGAAAACTCAATTATGAAAATCTGAGAGTCTTCCGTGCGACCAAAAGATTTTCCCAGGAAATAATTTTTGATCAATGTTAGAATTTCTATATATTTTAAAAGATGGGGCTTTATACATTTAAAATTTTCCAAAATTCCGTAAGAGCAAACATAGGGATTCTGCATTTGAAACTCAATAAAGTTCAAGGTTCCCAATTTAGTCCTGCAAATATCACAGAGATCCCAACTTTGTCATGCACTTCCAAATGTGCATGACTAAAACACTATGTTTATTGATGCGAAAAAATAGAAAGGCCTCTAAAAACATGATGATTATTACGTTTTAGTTATGCACTTTTGGAGTGGCATGACCTTGACCTTGATCGCTGTCAACAAACTGCAACGTTTTCCTGTTCGAGTTCGAAAAGGGGGCCTGAAGAGGAGATACTCAGTCTAGATCATGCGGAAAGTGTTTTCATGAAATGTTACCTTGCAAGAAAGATAGCAGCGGAGATATGAGGAAAAGTAACAGTTCCATGGTTTTAAAGGATTGATGCAGCAAAAAGTATCCAGAGTGCATGTTGGAATTTTTTGTCAAGAAAGATGTTCCCTACAACCTGCGTACGAAGGAACTATGGAACATCCCTTCAGTGAATTCTCAGCGCTACGAAGTAAATTGCCTATCCTTGAGAAGGAGTCTGTTATGGAATGCTTTTAGCGATGACCTAAAACTGACAACATCTCTGATGAAATTTGAAAATGAAATACGTTGTTGGGATGGCAACAATTGACATGCTACATTTGTACGTAAGTTAAGATCGTTTAACCTTTTTCTTTGTATTATATATTGTATGCTGTAAATAGTTGGTGTTAATTAGCTATCATTAACTAGAAATAAACCAACTGTAAAGAAGTTTCTCTTGAATATCTCTAGAACTAGTTGTTAAAAGAAGAAACACAAATACTTCTGTTGTGCTTTTTAAGGCTGGTCGGTGTATGGTAGCAAAATCCACAATGAAATAAACACGATATATATATATTTATTCTATTTACAAGTTATTATTATAATTAATTCACCAAGAGGGATATGGTGATAGCCGTTTTTTAAGTCAAGAACGCTAAAAACTGCGCCTCTATGAAGCTTGTCAAGCAATTCATCAATTCTTGGAATAGGAAACGTAAATGGAACAGTTTTTGAATTTTAATGCACGATAGTCTACGCACATTCGATAGCTTCCATCCTTCTTTTTCACCGTTACAATTGGTGAACTATAAGGAGAAGTTGACGGTTCAATGATATCGTTCTCAAGTAGTTCGTCAATTTGTGATAGAATCTCTTTACGCTGATTGTATGGAAGACGTCGAGCTGGCTGTGAAACTGGTACATTGTCCTTGAGATGGATTTCATGATGAGCATGACTGACAACAGGCACCTTTGTAAGATTTTTTTGGTAACCTGTTAGAATGCGTACTACTGTAGATCTAGTTACTTCGTCTAAGTGTTGTAACTTAGGGCTGAGTTCATCTTCTGATAAAGTAGACTCATGTACAGCT